CAAAGCTTCCCATATCGCAACTAAATTTATTCGTTAGCTTTTCAAACGTCCCACGATGTCACTTGTGTCTTACCCAGTTTTTGCAATTTATTAATCTGTCGTTTTTACACCAGAAATACGGTGTCTAAATCTTACTCATTCTCTCTGTTATTGTTGGTATTGTTGTTCCTGTTGCTGTTCTTGTGGACACTAGCTTTAGATTGCTACTCCTTCCTCATTCGTGAACGCTATTGGATAAAACTTGGTAAGCCTATACTGTGAGTCAATAAGAAGACAGTAACTGGGTCCTTCTTTCGATTTTTATCCCTGTAGGCCCGCAGCCAATATTTCTAGCATGCTTACAAATACAATTTTACTATAAGGTCCTCCCTACTAAACACACTATACATTTTTGGAAAGCTTATAACACTATGAACATCAATCCAGAGAGTTCCAAGCAAAATGTTTGCAATACATGTAATTCGATTTAGGGCCAGATGAAAATTGTGATAATTGTCAAGTAAAATCTATATTTATACTAACAATTGTGAATTTTACATAACATTAAATATTAGCGAAAACACACAATGCCGTCATCTTCGGCAAAGAATATGGTATTGGTTAAATTTAGGATTTAAACCAGAATGCAGAAAACACAATGGACAAGGGAACATACAGAATTTTGGAAATCCATTAACGGTAATATAAAGTTATCTCCCTTTCTGGTTGTTTACCCAGAAATTATGGACGGAGCGCCTAGTCTGATGAGCAAGGAGATATGTTATGTTTATGCAATATGGTTATGAAGTAATGGAGACCAGAATATGTCCGGAGTTGTGTAAATCGCATTGAAACCACGTGATTTTTGCCACTAAAATATAAATCCACACCCACATACCCTTTCAATTAGACACTACATTATTATTACTACAGGTAGCTGTAAACCTCCAGTTCAGATATTTAAAGTAGCTAAGTCTCTAACTCAATATGATCCAAAATCTTCGACATTGAAAACACGATTTATTTGTCGGCTTAAATCAACATTGATGTTGTGATCTTACCGGGAAAAGATGGCTTTCTGATATCCAATATTTAAGACAAAATAAACATTTTACAATTGGTACGCGAATCGTGTACCATAATGCGTTTCAGCGCTATTTGTAATAATGGACTCGAAAAACGAGGCTAGCCATATTCCACAAGTCATGTCAAACGGTGACGCTATATTGTTATCTGGAGAGCAAGCCCAATAAATAATATCGGTGTAGACTGGAATAACCAGACGCTAGAGATTGAAATTCGATTTAGAATACTGGCGTATTTCGCCGAACCTAACTGATTAAAAATGTAAATCAATTTATATACATTCATATTACATTATTGTATGCGTTGCGACCCATTTGTGTCAATTTCTAGGTCCCAAATATTAGCGACTTAGCTCCTTTAATGTTAAATTACAAACATTTAAACTGAAACCGTATTTATAATTGTGTAATTTGCTAACAAATATAGATATAAAATCAAACTTCGGCAGTTACTCTTAACTTTAAATGTCATCAAAGTTAGTCGTTATCATCATCGCTGTCACTACATGTATAAACATCAAATTCGGTTTCTTTAACAGTCTCTTTGGTTCATTTTCACATTTACTACACTTACACAAATTAAATATTTACATGTACAAGACAACCCCGGTGAGGTTTTCCCTGTCAGTGGTAGGGGATGGGAGGGGCTGGAAGGGCAATGTCCAATCGTTTAAACAACATTTGATCTAACAAACTGAATCGAATTGAACAGCAGGTAAGGGACTACATGGTTATAGGGGCCCAATCTCAGTTGAGAGGAGGGGGGCTGAGCCTATTTGCCCGAAAATTTTCTTTGTCACCCAAATTTTCTGAATGAATCAATCATTAACTAAAACGAATGTTCCACAAAGCTGTGATGTTTGTTTATTTTAATTAATAACACAATAGATTAATACAATTATATTTCCATGATATATGGTCACATTCTACATTCTCTGATGTTTGTGCCCAAAAAACAGAAATGAACGGTTTACCGAATCTGGGAGGTTGGGGGCATAGGGGCATATAAGTTCTCCCAAAACAGTATTTCTACTAATATATCTGTAAACCTTTAGTTCAGATTAGATTTGAGACTAAATTCCTAACAAATATTTGAATTGAACAGCAATTTTCTCACTAAAATAGATATTTAGCGAAAGCTAAATAATACTGTAAGGGAGTGGCAATTGTAATGAAGAGAAAAAATATTCAAATGCAGTTTAATGCCTAACTGCTGGGTATCAACCGGGATAATGAAGATGTACATACCCCATTCATTATGCTATAGGGAGTAAATTTGGTCCAAACAGCGACGTTACGGTCTACTCTTTATATCGAATTTCGAGTTTTAGGTTAACAAGGGGAAAAAAAGGTGGAAAGTTTAGGGAACTGTCTAGGTCAACACGCGGATCAAACCCCGGACCTCCTGATTAGTAAGCCACTGACAAGGGGAAATCACGCCGGACCAGTATAAAACCCTGGACCTTCCGGTAAGTGAGCCAGCCCCTTACTGAGTCACCGCGGCTCCCTTGCATACTGATAAAACTTACCATGGAAAGCAGAAATAATAGCTGTGCATGTACAATGCCCCACCACCCACCCACACACAAACACACAAACTATAATGTATTGCGTATGCTCATCTTCATTATACGGGTAAGTGCAGAACAGTAAGACATTAAAATCCATTTGATTTCTTTTCTCTTCATTACAATGGTGTCACCCCCATTACCGTATTTAGTTTTGATCATATCTACTCTAGTGAGAAAACTAAAGATATGTAGATGTTATGTTTCAGACTAAATATTTGTTAGAACTTTAGCCTCAAATCCTATCTGAAAAAAGGTTGAATGTTTATAGGCCCTTGTCTGTAGTTCAAATCCTATTCAGTTTGTCGAATAAAGGATAACCCCTTTTACCGTAAATGGATTTCCAAAATTCCGTATGTTCCCTTATCGTTTATGTTTTGGGCATTTTGGTTTAAATCAAAATTTAACCAATAGCATATTCTTTGCATAGGACGAAAGCATCGGGCGTTTTCGCCAATATTTAATTTTATGTCAACTTCACAATTGTTAGTATAAATATGAAGAGTGGAGGGGAAGAACGATCTAAGTCACATTTTTGTCTTTTAACATAAAAGGCAAAATAGACTTTTGGACGAGAATGTTTGACGCGAACAGAACAACCAGTGGGTTTAATTACAAGTTCAAAATGGTGTTTAATACGAACCATAATTACCAGTACAACTGACTTCAACTTTTCAGGCAAATTAAGGTTAAATAAAGGGTACGATGGACTTGTATTTGTCCTGGAGGCCATTTCAGAAGGGCCTTGGTTCGATGCGACTCCGGTCGTTTTTACCTGAAATAGATTGTTCCACAAAAAGCTTATACAATTTGCTACCAGATGGCGCCATTGACTGGGGTTCGTTGAAAAAGTGACTTAGATCTTTCTTCCACGGGGCTCTGCATATAACATTTACTTGACTATCGCTATTTTCATCTGGCCCTACATCGAGTTATTGCAAACATTTTGCTTAGAACTCTCTGGATGTGTGTTCCTAGTGTTATAGGCTTTCCAAAAATGTCTAGATTGTTTAGTAGGGAGGACCTTGTAGCGGAACTTCACGCTAGAAATTTTGGATGTAGGCCTACAGGTAAGAAATTATGTTATAACTGTTCATGTGCATGCCCCGGTGTATGGTTCGCTCGAACTTGTTTTCAGTAATTTAATGGTCTTTCATATGTCATATACTGACGCGTGGAAAGCATTATATAATTAATGTTGTGTGTGTAGTCGATTTTGGCTGTTGAAAACTTGTTGACAGCAAGTATCGTTCTAAGTATGTAATATAGTAAATTCGTTTAATGTGTATTGTGTTGGAGTTTTCTCTGGGAATATATAACCTTTAACGTTGTCTATGTACATTTAATTTACAATACATACTATTATAATTTAGTACATAAATATGATGCATGTTGTTAGCCAAGTTATCTAAGGAAATCTCTAGCCAATTAGGGTTTCTTTATCTAGAAAATGGGGTGCATGAAGAGTCACAGAATTTTAGGCAAGCTTCAATAGGAAAGCGATTCAGGGGGCAAAATTTCACCACAAAATAGCTTACGTTTTGGCTGAAAAATTAAGATTTGTGGTATTGTAACCATGAAAAAATATGATAGCTATTTCTATAACACATGATAAATAAACCTTACATTTAAATCTGATGCTGTCTACCAGGACTTATTACGTGAGGTCACATTTTCGGTATATATGCCAACTGGGGTCTAATCATAATCATGTATTGGGGTGTACAGAAAAATAAAGTACTAGGTCTGGGAGAAAAACTTTTCTAAGGGTCTAAACAGAACATCCCAAGTCGTATCCTTTTAAGTTTAGCATATAAAATAAGTTCACATAGCCAATATATCAAATAACAGTGCGGGCAGGGCATTATAGAGCTACGGAAACAAGACTTGCATCGTGGATACTCATGAAGGTGTAGTAGAACCAGTGGTAATGTCATCTCTCGAGAGACATCTGTTCCAAAATGGGAGACGTTTTACTTAATTGTGTAATATTTGACCATTTCGTAAGCATATTTATGGCCAAAAATCGATATTTTGTCTCCTGCTAGTAGATGCCACGATCGATCTCATATTTTCCATTTTTAATTGGTTATCTGATATAAATTTGCTTCAAATTCCTGACCCCACAGGTTACCGCCCTCGTGTGGTTCTCTCATGGGCGCATTCGTAACCATTAAAAATGTTCCTTTAATATTGACCAGACGTTCATAACACCAGCATAAGATAAGCTCCAACCCCAGGCAAGTGTGGGAATAGTTACAAAGAATTGCTGTTTGTCGTCACATTACGCATACGACACACGAGGCGAATTAAGGCTTCTATGTTACATACTTCTTAATCTGGTACATGTATTTAAAATCCCTTACAGGCTGTATGATTAGAGAATGTGGCCTTATGCGAGATCGGGATTATCAAAAAATACGGAGATTTTTTCCCGTTCTTCTAAAAGAATTGAATTCGAAGGACTTGTGTATAGCATTATTTAGTAGAGGAGTATTCAACGCAGACGATAAAGAAAACATAGAGGCAATAGAGGGTCGAGCAAATCAATGTAACAAACTTTTAATGACAGTGATGCGATGTGGCCCCAACGTATTTCCAAAATTCTTAGATGCACTTGCTGCTACAGGACATCATCATGCGAGGGATTTATTAGAAGCAGGTGAGCTGATTTGACCGCCAACTTATCTTATTTCTATGGTAAAGTATGCATAAAATGACGTTAATGGATACCACTTGTGTAGAAGCAGACGTTAAAGAGATAATGTACTACTACTACTATGACTGGTTATCCCATCAATGTATTAAAGGACAATATTGGTGTCAGACGTCAGTCATTATAAAATATGTGATAGAGCTCGTTAAATACATCCCAAATATAATTTTAACAAAGAGATCATTGCTACGATAGCTGAGTAACAAGCACGTGAAGAAACGGGAAGTGACGTCAAACATGACAAACAGTTGTCCTTCTATATAACAGACTGAAGTAACGAGCGGTAACAGACAAACGATCGAATTTCATTTCACTGATAATTCCGTTGAAGTTGACAAGTTATTACAGTATATGGGACGGTGAGAGCGTATCTCAAAAATAGAATTGACTGTCACCAGATAAGGGACACGAGAAAAATAGAAAAATCACGAACGAGCCAGGGGGGCAGGGCGGGGGGGCAGCTGCCCCCTAACTTTCGGGCAAACTGACTTTTCGGGCAGACGGGTAAAGTGAAAAAAAATTTTTATTTCATCTACTTGGCAAAATAAAGTGCCCAAAATCTAATAAAACACTAATTTTACGGGCTGGAATAGCAGGAAAACGCGTTTGCGGCAATTAAAATTTCAAAATTTTCTCCCAACGGTCCCGTCTTCGTGGACTGGAAACGATTGATTGGAATTCGAGTCAGCCACCTTAATAAGGCTATATTAGACCACTTTGTTAACGGGCTGAAATAGCAGGAAAACGTGTTTGCAGCCGTCAAATATTCCAAATTTTCTTTTGAGGGGGGTGAGGGTGGGGTGGAGGGCAAGGTAAGCTCCGCTCTCTTCGCCTGTCAAGGAAGACTGGCGCTCTCTGTAAACCCAAAATTTTTTCGGGCATATCGGGTTCTGCCCCCCTAACTGTCATCGAGTCCGTACGCCTATGTCAACTGAATTATCAGTGAAATGAAATTCGACCGGTTGTCTGTTACCGCTCGTTACTTCAACTATCGTAGCAATGATCTCTGTGTTAAAATTATATTCGGGATGTATTTACCGAGCTCTATAACATATCTTATAATGACTGACACCAATATTGTCCCTTAAGCACACATTGGCATCGGGGACTATACCCCTTGGAACAAAATATGCTGTAGGAATGGAAATATTGATACTGAGAAATGCTTAGCCTCACATCGACATGTCAGATGGCGTGCGACACTCAATTGATGTTCGGAGTCAAGTATCAAACGAAAACACACGTCATAAACAGAGCTTCAAAATAATATTAAAAGTCTATAACTAAGATTCGTTTCATTTTAACCATCCATCATGTCATCTTTAGCTAACATCGAGAGTAAGAATTTACGGGCCGTTAAAACCCTTTAGGTGGCATCTTTCTGGTTGGGTCGCTCAAGAAAATGTCATTTGTTCATCATTGTCTAATTATTCAGTCTATGTTGCCCGGTTGAAATTTAGACATAAAATGAGCCTTTCGGCCGAAGAATTGGAAACAATTATACTAAGACAAATACTAGGGGCTACTTCAGAACTAGGATATGCGACAGGCAACATGTGTTTGTGCATCAGTGTGAACACTTCAAACAACCGTTGTACAGAAGATAAGGTTTTCATGCAATGAACGAGGAGAAAATCACCAGGACATTTTGGAAACTGGAAGCGAAAGACGCTTGGCCGGATACCAAGGAGTACCCAGTTTTCAACGCTGGAATTGATCAATCTCTTTACAGCTCATCCGGAGCACGATCGTATGGGCGATCGTAATATAGTGACATGAAATGGGGTTTAACGTCTTACTTTTCTGAACCGACTGGGCTAATGAAGACGGATGATACAGTGAAGAAAATTAATACTTCAGTTAAAGATACATTCCCACGAAAGTATTTATAGGGTAGTTATTTCCAATAATAAATATGGCAAATATAGTATATATCGAAAGTAGAGACGCCAAATCATACTAAAACAATACTGGATTCCCTGAAAAAACAAAAATATGGGGCAAAACTGTCAGGGTATAACTAACTGGCAATCCGACGGCTTATCGTCTGCCAGCTTGACTAAGCGGCGGAAAAACACGTTGGCAGAAGATAATGAAAGAATGTACGTAGGCTTCAATAGCTAACGAAAAATACTGATATCAAATTACGTGACAAATAAGTCTGCTTAAAATACATGTCTACGGCATTGGGTAGTTTTTCCAACTAAAAGATTTTGAGGTTGATTTCAAACAAACGTTTGATCGATAAATTAGTTTGAATATGTTTTACTCTAAATCACAGTTTATACTGGGAAGGCATCTTTAATTTCAATAGTTCGTCATATCCTTTTGGGTTCGATTTGTTGCTTGGGTCGTAGGCATATGCCTACACTGCCTATCGACTATTCGATAATTCGCCTCTGTGGAAGTTCCCCTTTATGAAACATGTAACATAATCAGATCATCTAATAACTGTGGATTGGACTTCTTTAATTCAGCAAGACGGTAACAAACATTAAACTACACTACATGTATAACAACCAATACATATTATAATATTGTAATCTTTACGGCCATCGTCTTAATTCACGTCTGCCTCCATGGTTCTGTGTTGAGCTACTAAACTCAACTAACTGAACTGACTTCATCAGAAACCTAAACCAATTTATAGGTGGTATGAAGTTACATATTATTGAATAAAAAGAATTATGATGACAGCTGAATACTAATAAATAAATAAATTAAAGGTAGGCGGGTTCTCCGACATGACCATTTCAATATGGCAGTAGCCTATCTTAACAATAATCATATCGATGTTAGAAACAGCGGTTAGGTCAAAAGAACAGCAGAGACTTCACCCTTTGTTACAAACATAATAGATTTTTGAATTTATTGATCAGATAATGGGATGTTTAAAGTTACTTTCTTCACTCCACACAACGGCATCTCGTCTAACGGATGGGACAAAAACAAGAAATAGCTAGAAATATAAATAAATGTAGGCCGTAGCTGTGCTGCCTGGGCAAACTTTCGTTCATAGCCCGTCTTCGTTAATAGAACTGGACCAGAAACGTAAGACATTAAACCCCATTTTATTTTCTATTCATTTTATTCACTCCATTAAACTCTTATTACAGATATACCCGAAGACGACCGTGGGGACCCAAGTAAGTATATATTATCTGTAATTATAACCTTTTTTCCGGAGCACGAATAAGTGTACAAACAAAAAAGGGGATTCTGTTTTGGGGTGGCGGGGGAGAAATGGAGTTTAATGTCAACTCGACGCAAACTAGGTCATTTCGGGACAAACACACCCACGAGGTAGGACAGGCGACGATACTCAAACGAATTCTTGTTGTTTAGCTGACTGTGCCCTAATCCTATAGAGTGACTATAGACAGACATCAATGTGGAATCGGCGGCGTAAACACTCGTGCCCACCACCGACGCGCATGGGTGCAACTTGATGTAGCATTGTTTCATGTTTCATGTGTGGACAGTACACAGTACAAGTTACAAGGTTAAATATGCCTCGCTCGCCTTGACAATTTTGCTCGATTTTAAGGCTTTTTTTCAGAGATTTCCGAACGTTTACTTAGACGAAAATATCAGCCAAAAAGCTCTTGGAATGGCTACAGATGCAACGAAATGACGGATAATTTGCCCTCATTTTGCGGTGCCCCCCCCCCCCCTTTTTCAAAATTCCTAGATCCGCCCCTGCCGTCATGGTTTCCAAATTAAAATCCCTGAAAGGGAAGTTGGCATAGATCACAACAGGATTTGTTGCCATTAGAGGACGAACCCTATCGATATTAAGTATTCTGCGACTTCTATTTCCAGAGTTGCTCCCCTTGTAGAAATATAAAATTTGGTCAACGTCCAAGTTTTCCTTTAGAAAATGTTGTTGTCGAGACATTGCAGCTGTGTGGTTATCTTTAATATATCTCTCGTATTATTATTTTTATTCTCAGGTCATTTTGTTGTAAATATAAATTTGCCAGATATTACCTTCCATCCAGATTACAATAATCGTAATAGCTACCAGTTCAGATGTTTATCGAACGATCTGGAAAATTCTTGTAAAGAGGTGTTAAGAAAACATGGTTTGACTGAACTTGAGGTTAAAGTAGTAGACGCAAGGTATGTTGAGTCAGATTTTGTATGGATACATATTTCAAAGGGCAATACTTTTAACACATAAATCCATTCACATTCTAAGATTAATTGTCAATTAAAACTAGTATTTATCAAGTGTGTATTAATTACCGAGATTTTCCTATATATCTTTTATAGAGAAGGATCAACAATAGCAACCGTTGTCTTTACTACCTACCCGAAGACTAACAGTAAAAATCTAAAACCAATCCTGGAACAAATTATGGAATCAGGATATATTGGGCCATATAAAGTGTCAAGAGACCATTTTTCATTTTGTCTTTTTGAAGGTAAATATAACACTTTTAATCTATATTAGAACCCACAAGTAAATGTTCCACACTGTAATAAGCTTGTATTGAAACAGCACAAATTAGGCGCCTCTATCTAACAACAAAATGTGTGTTTAAACAAATAAATGTGTGTTTAAACAATATTAGAAAATAATATTTAAGAAACTTGTGTTGTATCATAGTATATATACACCCAGATATCAATACTAAATTCAAATTAAAAGAAATAAGAATACATTATGGATGTGTAAATAATGAGTTTTAACATCTAAATAAAAGCTAAACGCACCACTTGCCTGCAGCATTACAGTACTTAATCCATGTGATACATAACAAATCCAATACTAGTGAAACTATGGTATACACCCCCACCCAGGACCATCCCCCAAAAATAAAATAATTAAAAAAATAAGATTAATTATGCACTAAACTATAGTCCTTTAGACTTTTAAAGTGCAATGACCTACTCATACTCCCCTTTTAAGAAAGGAGTAACACATAAAAAAATATTGCTAAAGATTATAAATCTAAACAGACATTTTTCCTTACTACAAAAGAAAATGCAACTTTCGTAAATAAAAGTACACTAATGATTATGATACAAATAAAACAATACTAGGTTGATAACAATAAGTAACGAGAGCATCACTACCGCTGCAATATACGTCCACATTCCTGGTACTTTTTAAAATGAAGAGAATGAAATATAAAATTGCTACATCGACTGCAAGATGACAAGAGGCAAAGAAGGCAAGACGTTGGGTTTGTTTTGCCAAATTTACACACTAAATATTAACATAAGAGTGGGTGTGACACCGCTCCTGTGGGTCGGGGCATGCATCAAAATAATATTGTTGCTGTCTTTGCAGTATAAGGAATACATATAAGGGACGTCATGGGTTAGGCCTATGTGGTTTTTTTTTATTCTTTGGTACCACTTTTATATCTACCCCTAATACATTTACACCCTATACTCAATCATTCCCGAGATATTGGAGTTTTAACGTGCCAATGGCGGCCATATTGGATTTATTCTAATTACTCGGAAACCTATCTTTTTATTTTTGATTCATGCTAATTGTTGGCCGTATGAGTTATGACGCCACAAGGGCGGCACCTGGCATTGTTTTTTCTAGTTGTTTGGTAGCACTTTCCTATCTACTCGTAATACAATTACATCCTTCAAACTCTGTCATAAGCTGGAAGCTGCTGGGGTCAGAGGAGGACTGATGTCATGGTTCAAGAACTATCTTGAAAATCGACAACAGTGTGGCGTCATAAACGGAATATCCTCGGATCCCAGGGGTATTCCCGCTGGTGTCCCACAGGGCAGCGTTTTGGGACCATTATTATTTTTATTATATATAAACGACATTGTAAATAATATACAATCGAACATCCGACTTTTTGTTTATAATACCTCCCTGTTCCTAAAAATAGATGACCCAGAGGCATGCGCACTAACATTAAACAAAGATCTCGAAGCAATCAATTCGTGGGCGGAAACATGGCTAGTGACATTTAACCCCCTCAAGACAGAAACTTTAACCCTCTCCACTAAACGTAATGTAGTGAAACCACCCCTTTTAAAGGGACAATAACACTCAGCTCCAGTAAATAAATATTAACCTTATTCTAAGTATTAGATGTTTAAGTGTCCTACCTGTTGTGTAAATTATCCATTACATCCTATTTTACTTGTCCAGAGGGTTCGAAAATATTTTTAAATCCAAGTCACATTTGAAAAGGTTTATGTTAGGCTTTTCAAATCATTTAGTTGAATTTTTCCAATTTTTTAAATTAGGTGTGTTAAGATGAAATTTGTATCATCAATTAATTGGAATACTGTAAAATAGTACAATTTGTTGACCAGAATAAAGATTGGGACATATTATTCTGTTACAACAAGAGTGGTATTGGGCCTTTAATGAACTCAATATGAATAACGGAAGTAACTGAACATAAACACCTCGGACTTATCTTTCAAAGCAATTGTAAATGGAAGAGCCACATTGATAGTATAATTAGCAAAGTATCAAAATTAGTAAACAGTCTTCGCTCCTTGAAATATCGATTAAATAGAAAATCGCTACATACCCTATATTCTTCTTTCATTCTGCCGCACTTTGATTATGCCGATGCTATCTGGGACGGGTGCACTGACTACTTATGTAATAATCTCGAATACCTCCAGCTCGACGCACTATGCACTATTTGCGGGCAGTTAAGGGTACTAGCCATGCTTCCCTCTACGCGGAAACTGGGTTTATTCCACTCAAAGAGAGACGAAATCGACATAAATTAAAGCTACTTTACAAAATCATCAATAACCTAACCCCTCCTTATCTTAAGAATCTCATAAACCTTGAACCTACAAACAAATATTCCCTTCGTAATGAAGACAATTTAAAAAAAATTCGATGCCGTACTGGCTTTTGTGCTAAATCATTTATCCCATCCAGCATAAGAGAGTGGAATAAACTCGGTACGCCTGCAAGGAATTCTAGAACTCTGAAAATGTTCTCCGATCATCTATCCAAATATGATATTAACGTTCCTTCGTTTTATTATAACGGTCAGCGGAAACCTCAAATAATTCATTGCAAATTACGACTTCGATGGGAATAAAAGCTATCGAATATTGGATAGATACATACCCCGATAGTATCCCAGATCGTTTTTCTAAACGATTTATAATTGGCGCTCTAAATTTAGTAATTTCAAATAACATATTTTTCTTCGATACCCATTATTTCTCACAAATTAAAGGAGTTGCTATGGGTACAAAAGTTGGTCCGACATACGCAACATTAGCATTAGGTCCTCGAAGACATTTGGTATGAGAAAATACCCACAACCTTCGATAAAACCTTTAGCGACATGATTAAGCAATCGTGGAAACTATTTCTGGGTGATTGTTGGTGCGTCCTTAATATAGAAGATACAGTGATCACCAAACTCCACGAACTCTTAAATAGCCTAGATGTCGATATTAAATTCACTGTTGAATCTAGTAAAGTAAAACTAAACTTTCTCGATGTCACGGTGAACCTTTTACCGAATGGTCAGACACACATCAGTATCTCAATTTTAATTCATGCCATCCTTCTCATATCAAACGTAATATTCCGTATAATTTAGCTAGGCGCGTGTGCACCATAGTTTCACAATCGGATATCAAACAAATACGCCTTAATGAGCTAAAAGGTTTTCTAAAAAAGCAACACTACCCGGCAAAGCTAGTAGATGATGCCATTCGAAAAGCTTTAAGTTTAGATCAGAGCAAATTAAGGTGTCCAAAAACGATTTGTGAAACAAAGAGTCACGAAGAAGTTGCATTAGTAACTACTTTCAACCCATCACAAGAAGATGGTAAATCTATAATTAATAATAATCTCCATATTCTTAAAAATAGCCCGATTATGGATGATATATTAAATAAGACAAAAATAATAAATAGTTTAAAGCAACCTCAAAGCCTGGCTAAATTACTAATCTCATCAAAATTTGAATCAACTAAAACCATACCCACAGTTAACAAGTGTAATGAATCCAAATGTAAAACGTGTTCAATCATAATTGAAGGTTCATCCATAAATATCACGGACAATTTTACATTTCATGTAAAACAACCAATGTCTTGTAAATCCGATTACATTATATATGTAATAATTTGTCCGGGCTGTAAGGGTAGATATATCGGAAAGACCATAAATATGCTTAGATTAAGAATGAACCTCCATCGACAACATATTCTTAATCCGCTATACAGGATGGTACCCCTGAGCCGACACCTCGATGTTTGTGGCAAATGCAATTTTAATGTATTTCCATTATATCAATTAAACAGCAAAAACAACGATCTATTAGAAGCAAAGGAATCATATTTTATTGAAAAATTCAAACCATTGCTTAATTCAAGGTGTTGATTTTTGTTATATTAACATTGTAGTTGTGTAAAATATAAATGTTTAATCAATGTTAATGATACATAATGTATGCAATATTATCTTATCGTGCTTGTTATAGCCATTATAGTTCATTGTTGTAACCATGACGTTATTACGTCACATCAATTGTTGGAATTGGTAAAATTTGCCTGAAGAAGCTTAATAAAGCGGAAAATACTCGCAAAAGACCTACTTTTTTTCCTAAAACATCTTTATTTCGAATATCTAACACCTAAGAGTAGCTTTAACTATAACCTTTTACTATATATATATATATAACTATAACCTTTTAATATATATATATATATATATATATATATATATACAATTCTTTTAGGAAGCGGGGTTTTACATAGGCTAAGCCTGTTCCCCAATCCCATTCAGACAACCTGAATAAAAATATTATTTAAAAAAAAAAAAAAAATCCTTCAAACCCAACCATTCCCGAGATATCGGAATTTCAATGGCGGCCATAATGGATTTATCCTAATTGTTGGCCGTATTAAAGCCCTGTATAGGGAATGTTACGACAACTCATTTACAGGCGCCATGTTGGCATTCTGAACATCTGAGACACGCTACCTGCGGAGAAGTATCTCAGACACAGTCAATAGCCATGATATCCATATCACGTGATCTACACATCACAGGTCTTGACATTGACGTCAATGGGTCATGAGGTCAACATTGTAAACAATAGGTTTATCTTCCGCATTGTGTCCGTTGCACCCATAAAGACTATATAATTCGTACAGTCCCAACATGTTCTCTCTTCTTCCAATGATTTTTCACAAAAATAACATCTACAACTCATAGAATTGACGTTGTCTTCAATGACAGCGTCTGCGAGGGTTGTTCATAGAGGCCGCCATATTGCACTATTTTGTGCGTCGGTCGGGTCTATTTCAGATATACACAATCAATTCTGTTGATGTTTTTAGCGTTGGGATTGACTAATAGTTAATGTGTTTCAGTTCTAAAACAAATATTTTAAACTTTAACGCAAATTTAGAAAATAGCTGGGATTACTGAGCAAAATGGCCATTCACTGTATACGTGCGAAAAAAAAGCTAGCCACCAATTAATTTTCGTACGTTAGTTACGTACGCCATGCGTTGGGTCCCAACTATGACGCCATAAAACTATGATGGCATGGCGTCATATAGCTTTACTTAACAAAACGTTTTATTTTCTTCTTGGGATAACGTTTCACGGGCTACAATTTACCCTAAACAAATTTCAAAGGAGCCCAATGTGGTTTGGTTCAATGATAAATATGTCCGACAAAATCATACTCGAAAGCGAAATGTGCCGTAAAATCGAATTTGACATACATCAATTAAAAAAATGTATTTTTCATTTGTTGGCAAGCATTTCTGTCAAAATGGCTGCTAAATTTGGTAATATAATACTTTTTTAAAAAAAACATAAATTTAATAAAAGGGCAGCGATAACCTCGTTAAAATATGACTTTTCCTATGGCTTTAATATGGTTTTCGATGTCTCTGAATTTAAAGTTAAATCCAAAATTGCAGCAACAATCGTCATTTTTTTTTCTGTTTGGATATTACTTTACACGGTTTTTGATGTCGCAGGATTCAATACTGATCTGAATTCATGATGACAGAAATTTAAAAATAGCCGACAAAATTTAATCCAAAATTGCGGAATTTGTAATATGTCTTAAATTATATGTTTTTGGCGATATAACAACTAATCACCAAATTTATGTATGTAAATGGATTCAGCTTGCCCGAAAGGATATATTGAGTTAGAATCCCTGGTCATATACACATTGTACAGGTTTTAAATACGGTGCCTGTGATTCTCCTAAAACGGCGAATGTTCAACGACAAAAACAATTAGGGATAATGCGACTTGATGATCGGGATTTCTTTATTTCCCGAGTATTTTTTATTCTGCTGTAAATATTAGGACTACCGGAAAATTCACAACGAAACGAAGAAATGCCATGTGCTAATAATACGAATAGGCGTATATTTTAATTGTCGTTTTAAGGCGTCGTCTATTCTCTCAATTCATTAAACATTCCCTTATATGTGTTAATATTTCTACGCTGATGAAATATTAGTTTTTCGACCAAACTTAGATTTCAAGATAATTTAATCTCTGGGTTCTCTCCTAACTTAAATATGAATGGGCATATTCGTCTGAATTGTTGCATACTCTGTAACGTAAACATGTCCGACTAAACTGCGTAGTCAAATGAATAAAAAGAACAGCGGTTGCCAGGCAAGATACGCTCACATTTAGCCAGAGACGGATAGAGAACAAGCTAAAACAAAGGCGATTTTTCGTACAATCAGGGGCCTTAATTCAGGAAGTTATGGTCTGAAATGCGTGAATATCGCAATGGACTGAGATAATTGGGATATAAAGATTTTTTTTAAGTTTTATTAAAATCGGATAAAAATTGTGACTTCTAGTGAGTCCACAACCTTGGTATTACATACTTTTATACTATTTGCGTACGAGGAGCGGCCTTTTTGTCAGGCAGTTTCGGTCCGATTTTTGAACTCAATCGTCATTAGGGTGATATATTTAAACGCTTTTTAAAATCGGATAAAAATTGTGACCTGTAGAGGGTCCACAAACTAAAAACGTGAATTGTCGTACAATCAGGGTTCATAATCCAGGAAGTTACGGTCCGATATAGGCAAATATCGAAAGGAACCAAGATCTTTGGATTATATATATATAATAATAATACATTTCAAGTTTCATCAAAATTGGATAAATATTGTGACTTCTAGAGTGTCCACAACCTTGGTATTACATACTTTTACTTACACTGTTTGCGTACAAGGAGCGGCCATGTTGCCCAGCTGTTTGGGTCAGATTTTACGTTTTTTAAAATTGAATACAAATTGTGACTTCTAGAAGGTCCACGAGCTAAAAATGCGATTTTTCGAACAATCAGAGGCCATAACCCAGAAAGTTACGTTCGGATATGTGCGATTATCGAAAGGAACCAAGATCTTTGTGATATAAACATAAATTGAAAGTTTCATCAAAATCAGATCTAAATTGTGACCTCCAGAGGTTCACAACCTTGATATACCATATTTTTACACTATTTTGGTACGAGGAACGGCCATTTTGTCCGGCAGTTTTGGTCCGATTTTCACGACATTCGAATTCAACCAACATTAGGTACCGTATTTAGGGTGTAACGGTGATATATTCGAACGGTTTTTAATTAAATCGGATAATAATTGTGACCTAGAAGGACCACAATTTTCGTACAATCACGGGTCATAATTCGGGAAGTTACGATCCGATATGCGCAAAGATCATTGGGTTATAAACATGCATTTCTAGTTTCATCTAAATCAGATGACAATTGTGACCTCTAGTGTCCACAAGATAAAAACGTAATTTTTCGTATAATCAGGGTCCATAATCCGATACATGCCAATATCGAAAGGATCCGAGATCGTTTTGAGATAAACCTATATTTCAAGTTTCATCAAAATCAGATAAGAATTGTGACCTGTAGAGTGTCCACAAAGAAATTGTGGACGGACGTCCGAGCGGATAGGGGCGACGAACAATATACGTCGACATGAAAATGTGAGCGTATAAAAAGAAACATTGCCGATCAGTTAGATTTATTAAAAGACACTTTGGCTATCGCCACTGATCGGCAATGTGTTTCTCTTTCTTTTTTTTTCATTTGACAACGCAGTTTAGTCGGATATGGAAGGGTATCGCTGCCAATATTAAATGCTCTGCGACAATATCGTTTCCAGTGATAATATGCAAAAAGTACAATGTACAAAGTCCTAATACCGATAATGATAAAGGCAATGTACCTCAAAGGCAAGAGTTAAATGTAAAACGTCAATTGTTAAGTGTCAAATGACAAATGTTTTGTTAGAAATGCTTTTATTGACGTGTCTACATTTTACATCTCTCACATTACATTTTACATTAGCGCTCTGTCACATCTCATTTGTCCTTCACGCTTTCTACATATCATCTTTCGCACAGCATCAACTTTCAAATGCAAATGTAGGATATCACAAGACTTATTAACATATACGGAAAGCTGGCACACTATAAACCAGCACACTACAAGGATATTCACCGCACGATAGTAAATCAAGCTGGCACACTGTAAGAGAGAGAGAGAGAAATGGGGTTTAACGTCCACTCGACACAAACTAGGCCATTTCGGGACTAACATATGGTTTAATTTTATTTCAATAATTCGCATGCGCGTAGGGGTCTTTTGCAGTGGGAGGAAACCGGAGGACCCGGAGAAAACCCACGAGGTTGGACAGGCGACCCTACTCCTTGTCACGTACAACCGGGGATTCGTCGAAACCACGCCAGTCGACTCAATGACAGACTTTATGATACAGCGCGCGAACGCTAACCATTCAGTCATCCCCCCCCCCCCACACACACACACTGTAAGAAACTATCAAGACCACCGTGCGTAATCCTGAATGTGCCGGGAAATAATTGATAGATTCAAATAGCCACAGAAACATACTTTCCAGTTATTTATAAAACAATAACTGGAATTTCGTATTAATACACGTATTTGGACGGTCTTTCTATAGACAGGGTTGAGTACAGCCTAATTAACTTTGTTCCATTAAAAATAAACCAACAATATATAAGCATTGTGCCAAACAAATACATAATATATTTAAAGAGAAGAATGACTATACATTTTTAGTATCTTTAGTTTAGTTTAGCACCCCCCCCCTCCTTTCTTCACTTCAACTTTAATCTTATTTTGTAAAATTATGCAAATATGAATGTGCCAAAAAATTATTTGCATATTTGAAAAGAGCAATCAGTGATACGTAACATGGTATCTGGAATTTCGTATTTAGACCAGTATTTTTACTTGAATGTCCCTTTAATAGTGTTTTGTACCACTGGATGTTTTTCAAGGTATGCTAATTATTTGCATATTTTTAAGCAGCATTGGACGTGCTTTTAGTGATAGGTAGCATGGTATCGAGATTTTCGGATTAAGACCCGTATTTTAACATTGCGTAGTGCCGCTGTCCGGGCAAAATGTCCCCTCATAGCACACTGTGTGGCATATGCCCGTCTTCATTAGCCCAGTTCGAAGCAGAACAGTAGGACGTTAAACCCCATTTCATTTCATTTTTATTTACGTATATGTAATATAAGTAAACTTTTTTCTATGATGTACAACAATTATTGTTCAAATACAAACCGTGCTCGATGTAAACATTTCTACGATATCATTTCTGTTTTTTTATCCACTAATATAGTTTTAATCACAGGCAATAATATTAGCTTTAGTTGTCTTATATACAATGCATTCTTTGATACAGGTAAATAACTCAATCAAAAAAATGCTGTTAATTTGTTATATTCCAAGAACAATTAATATAATTAATATTTAATGTAGTTTGTGTTTATTGCATTTTTTCTCGGCAAGATCAAAGATCGTACCAAGAAAGTGAACGTATGATTCAACAATTCAAAGACGAAAGGGATAGCGAAATGGCGAAATTGAAACAACTAATAGAAAGTAAGATAACCGAAAGACACCGCGAATCTATGGATAAAATACAAGACCAAATTAAGGATATGGACCATCGAATAATGAAGTTGGAGACATCAAGTAATTCAGAAAACCAGACCAAAGATTCTAAGTCTATCAAAATGCAAGGTACAAGTCAACAACATTTCATAGATCGTAATGGTTTGTTCCAAAGATGTTTATGGCATTCTTCAACTCAATTAACCGCTTAGGGTTTTGTCCCTTAATCCCATAAAACACACAATTTAGAGCGCTAAATGGCAACAGCACTCGGCCCCCTCACCTTCTGTAGTCATTCTAGTTGTCCATAGCAACATCGTTCGGATCCCTCGCCCCGCTTTGGGATCACTCATCCTGTAGATTTACTATAGCTGTATATAACAACAGTGCTCGGACCCCCCCCCCCCCCCGCCCGCCCAGAGTCTGGAGTTAGTCTAGCTGTAAAGAGCAAAAGCTCTCGTATCCCTCACACCTTGGGGTAAATCTTGCTGTATGTAGCAGCAGCACTTGTGTTCCCCACCTGGGGTTATTCTAGGTGTATATAGCAACACCAACATCACTCAGATCCTCATCCCGCTGGGGTTATTGTAGCTGTATATGGAAACATCTCCCGAATCCCCCACCTTCTGGAGATATTCTAGCTGTGTAGCAACAGCACTTGAACCCCTTACATTTTGGAGTTATTCTAGCTCTATATAGCAACAACGTTGGGATTCCGAACCTCTGAAATTATTCTAGCTGTATGTAACAAAGCCCCAGTCATTGGTTAATCCGATGAAAGATAAATTAAAAGGTCTAGTGTACCAAATAAAACTGAGTGTAGGATTTAAATGCTATTTTTTTTTCCTGGAAATCCAAGACATTGAATATTCTGAGGCCAGATGAACTCAAGAAAAATATACCCGTTAAACGAAAGCTCTTGATCGTCATGTTTTTATACCTTCATTAGTTATAACCATTGGCCATTACAACAAATGACCCAAAGTTTTCATTACTTGGTCGTGTTCAAAATTTCCTCCATGTCAACTCGAAAATGTCTAGGACGTCCAGAACGCACTTGCGCAAATCAAGTTTTAAGACTAATAAATGTTCTTCTTTTCCTTATCAGAAAAACGATGTGGGGCCATGTTGGATATAGACTATCATAAGATACGGAAAAATTTTATGTACTTAATTGAAAATATAGAAGACCCTACACGTCTATCTCTATCGCTGTGTCGGTGGGGTGTTTTTGATAGCGAAGATGTGAATAAAATACGGAAGCTTTTTGTACGAACAGATCGACGAAATGCAATAGAAAGGCTTCTATTCATTTTACTGGACAGTGGTAGAGATGCGTATCAACCGTTTTTAAAGTGTTTAACTGAAGTGGGAAATGATCAGGTTATTGAAAGGCTTCAATATCCTGAAGGTAAGCTAAAAATATCGTCGTAGTGTTTTAACTGGGTTTGCTTTAAGGTGTCATTTATATACGAGGTGATGCAAGCCCTTAATGGTTCATTCTGTTTATATTGGCAAGTGATCTGGTAGTTTGTCTACAGGGCCGGATTTGTGGGTCCTTGGCCAAAATCAGCAGATGGCTCCCAAACTCATAGAAATTGGCCACTATGTGCATATACTTATAATACATGGTCCCCTTGCCCCGGACCCTATACTAATTGTACAAAGGCACTTGTGGTTTTGAATATATTATATAATGAAGTACCCAGTGCACACTTGCAACAAGGTTATACGCTGGAACGCTGCACGTACAAATCATAATAAGGTCCATGGTTTAAGTCGGCTCCCAGGTACATGAAGGGCCTAGGCCAATGGCCTACTATATATATGACTATTGGTAAATAAATGTATTTTCGTTTCTGACTTAAGACAATGATTAAAATCCCGATGCATCATTTTAGCGCTAAAGAAATGCAACAATATTGTAAAATGTGTATATCAGTCCAAAAATGGGACATTATCTAGGGTTGGTATTTTGATTTTTTTTTTTTTTTTTTTTTTTTTTTAAATATATTTAAATAATCAATCTGAGTACACATATTTAATGTGGAATTATTAAGAATATTTATATTGTAGCAAAAATATAAATGGCGCACCGGGACTTTAAACAAAAAATAAAAAATAGATTTTTAGAGTAATTAAATCTGTCTAAACCCGTTTAATATTTTAATGGAAACATTAACCAATCAAATTTAACCAAACCAAAGCTTTCAATTGTTGACAAAATCTACCTTCTGTATGTGTTTCAGGGGAGTCAAACAAACAACGAAGCGAGGAACTAAGACTAATAGAAGAAAGGGAAGCATTAATGGAATGGGTGGTCGCAAAGGAAAAAAAGCTTCGGGAAGCAGTAAAAGAAAAGGAGAACGTTGTCCAGGCGTTACAGAGCAAAAATGAACTCATTAATACGGAGCTAGATAAATTAAAAAATAAGGTGATCAAGATGGAGAATGAAAAACAGAGCGAGAAAGATGAGAGGGTACAAGAAATTAGTCGTCTAAAAGAAAGAGAAGATGAACTTCTAAAGAAACATGAGGAAGTAAGAACAAAACAACAAAGATTCCTCAACGAGATACGCAATCTGGAGTCACGTGTGGAAGATTTTAAAGTAGCAACAATCAGCAGAGATAGTGAATTGCCTACGCTACAGTCTGATATCACAAATATCTTTACGCTACTGCAAAAATCTGCCACTCTGAATACGGTGAGGGGTTTTTTTTTTTGCTCTGTTCTTGTCAAAAATTTGCACAGTGTGTTGTCAGTTTCTTTAAATAAAACTGTTTGCTTAAAGAAACGATTGAATAAATGTTTATTTACAGAATAGTCGGCCATATAAATGATCATAACTATTTCCCTTACAACAATTATTGTTCAAATATAAATCATACCCGGCGAATATTGATAAGCATTTCTACAATAAAACTTTTTATTATTATTTAAAGAATCCCCATATATATATTTATCACATGTAATATTATTATTATTAGTTGCCTTCTATTCAATGCAATCTTTGATACTGGCAAATTAACTCCAGTAATCAAACATTCATTTTAATTTGTTATATTCCCAGAACAATTAATATCAAATATAGTTTGTTTATATTGCATTACTTTATTTACCAAGAATATTGTATTCCTACAAAACAAGATTAAAGATGGCACCAAGATTGTTAACACATAATCAACAATTCAAAGATGAAAGGGATAGCGAAATTGCGAAATTGAAACAACTAACGGAGAGGAAACGTCGTGTTTTGTTCGTCAAGTTATTATATCTGCATTAATTATTACCATTGCCATTTTATCACATGGTCAAATTCAAAACGTCATTTCTGTCTACACGAGAGCGTCAAGATTGGCGCCGCGCAAATTTAGTTTTAAATCAATGACTATTCTCTTTATTTCCTTTCCAGGAAGACATAATGGAAGAATGGTAAATACAGATTACAGACGCATACGGAAGAATTTTGTGTACTTTATCAACAATATAGGAGAACCTACACGTCTATATCTATCGCTGTTTTTATACGCCCACATTTTCATGTGGACGCATATTGTCGTCGCCCCTGTCCGGACGTCCATCCACAATTGTTTGTGAACAGTCTACAGGTCACAATTTTTATCCGATTTCAATGAAACTTGAAATATAGGTTTATCACCTTAACATCTCGGTTCCTTTTGATATTGCCATGTATCGGACTGTAACTTCATGGATTATGGCCCCTGATTGTACGAAAATTCACGTTTTTAGCTTGTGAACACTGTAGAGGTCACAATTTTTATCCGATTTAGTTTAAACTTGAAATGTATGATTATAAACCAAAGATCTCGGTTCGTTTCGATATTTGGGCATATCGGAACTTAACTTCCTGAATTATGGCCCCTGATTTTACGAAAAATCGCGTTTTTAGCTTTTGGACCCTATAAAGGTCATAATTTTTATCCGATTTAAAAGAAAAACGTATTATTATATCACCGTTAATCCCTAAGGACGGCTGAGTTCGAATTTCGTGAAAATCGGCCAAAGACTGACAGACAAAATGGCCGCCGTTCGTTCTCAAAAAGCGTAAAAATATGGTATATCAAGGTTGTGGACCCTATAGAGGTCACAATTTTTATCCGATTTTGTTGAACCTTGAAATGTAAGTTTATAACCCAAAGATCTCGGATCGTTTCGATATTCGTGCATATCGGACCGTAACTTCCTGAATTATGGCCCCTGATTGTACGAAAAAATGCGTTTTTAGCTTGTGGACCCAATAGAGGTCATAATTTTTATCTGATTTAAAAAAACGTATTATTGTATCACCGGTAGACCCTAAGGACGACTGAGTTCGAATTTCGTGAAAATCGGCCAAAAACTGACAAACAACATGGCCGCCCTTCGTTCTCAAATAGCGTAAAAATATGGTATATCAAGGTTGTGGACCCTATAGAGGTCACAATTTTTATCCGATTTTGTTGAAACTTGAAATGTACGTTTATAACCCAAAGATCTCGGTTCCTGTTGATATTCGCGCATATCGGACGGTAACTTCCTGAATTATGGCCCCTGATTGTACGAAAAATCACTTTCTTTTTAGTTTGTTCTCCATCCATCTCTCGAAAATGTGGGCGTATCCTGCCTGGCAGCCGCTGGTAGCTTGTCACATTGTGTTTTTGATGAAGATGGTGTAGAAAAAATAAAGAGATGTCTTCAAAATGAAACCCCACGAGATACAACAGAAAAGCTTCTTTTCATTTTACTTGATTGCAGCGAAAACGCATACCAACCGTTTTTGGAGTGTTTAGCTGAAGTGGGTTATATAAATGGTCCTATCTTTCATTGCCAGCTAGGCTAATGAAGGCAATTAGGAAAGTTGAAACTTCGGGTGAAATAGTATTATTTGATAACTTTCTGCAGTATTAGTTCATGAATGTATATTGTTTGCGAGAGCTACATAATTTTAACGGATATATTGTTTGCTGTAAAATCAAATTCTGACCAGGATTGGCAAAACTTCAGACATAATAGAAACGTATTAATTAAGAAATGTAAGAAAGAATATTTTCAAAAACGGGACGATAAAATCAATGATCTAAAAAAAACTTTGGCAGTAAAGATTGGTTGGTGGAATCGTACCAATTATATGTATAAGGTAAACAATCCACAAACATCGATTTGCCCCAAATTGTCAACAATGCAGCCAAGGCAAACACTCTTAAAAATACATTATGTAAGATTTAGATAAAGAGCTGACCATTCTTGCTCTAATGGTTCGAAAATAGATAATGTAAAATGAAAATATTGAAAATTTCATTCAAATTACATCATTCTGAGCCAAGTTATCACTGTTTGCAGTTTTGACAAGATGTGTACATTGTGGTAAAAAAGGAACTGGTATATTCAAGACTTAGCCTTGCTTTCTCATTTTTAAATTAAATTTTTAAATGGCGAACCGTTCTAATCCGGTTAAAATATCGAGTATCCGATGCCATCGACAGTTGATTGTGGACTTGTTTTGTTTATAAATGTCTAATTAATAGTTTATATAACATTTCAGGCCTAAAGAAAGACCTGCAATAGGCAGGTTTAGCTCTTGCATAATGTATGTTTAACAAATTCTTTATCAAACACACGCAACAAATTCTCTAGCTCGACACAGCCAATGTACATCTTTCAATTCTTAAACAAAATCCATCTTCATCGTGCAGTATTGAGCTCAGGAGGTTAAGGTCATGCTTCTATCTATTGTTGATGTTTCTAAAGCCATTGGACCAGACAAAATCAATGGAAAACTTTTGAAGTCTATCATTTTTTTCAAATTTCTGTAAAGGCTCGATTCCTCCCGAACCAGTAAGGTCTTATGTAAACAATGCACGCACCATTGAGCCAATTATTGATGCCGCGTGATGAGGTGTTACGATAGAAATAGAAGATGTAAACACACTATCACGATTCGCACCAGGAAAACGCGTTTGCGGCAGTCAAATTTTCTTGGGGGAGGGGGAGAGCCCGGGTCCTACATAGTAAGCTCCGCCCCTTCGCCTCTCGCAGACAATCGGCATCGCCGTCTGTAACCCCAATTCTTACCAGCATTTCAGGTTCTTCCCCCTCCCTTCTAACATTCATCGAGCCCGTGTGCATATATTGCAAGCTGCTGTCTTACTGCGCCACGGCACCACAGTGGCTGTCAGCCTAAGCGTCAGTTTTAGATCATAGGTTTAGGGTGGAGATCGGGATTTGGATCCTAGGCGTGGGTTTCTTACCTCGCAGTAGAGAAGATGCGCAAGATCGACAACGACTACTTTATAAACGTCTGTACTAAAAAAATAATTTAGGACCCACCCTTATAATTGTGTTTAAACTGTCACCGCAAAATATGAGCGTCGGACAGACTGACGACCAATTTCCGTATTGTACGAGTAAAGGAATAAACGTTGTTTTTCTTTAGGTTAAAATTTACAACAATGGGACTTTGATCACTTATACAAGATTCTAAAACGTCTACACTGTTCACGAGGTGAGAAGGGGAGGGGGGATGGCCGAATGGTTAGCACGAGCGCGCTGTATCGTGGGTTTTCTCCGGGTCCTCCCACTGCTAAAGACCCCTACGCGCAAGCGAATTATTGAAATAAAATTAAACCATACGCTAGTCCCGAAATGACCTAGTCTGTGTCGAGTGGACGTTAAACCCGATCTCTTTCTCTCTCTCTTTCTCTCTTTATAGTCGTCATATATGTAATGATCGTAACTATGGAAACAGTTTTATATAAGCAGTTTTGCTTGTTACTGCATCCTATTCACTTATATTCTCTTAAATAATAAATTGTGAAAACTAGTGTTCTCCTGAACAAAATACTGTTTAAACCAATTAATAATTAAACAGGCATTGTGTGTCATAGCGTGATTAACTTACCTGGTATATATCACTGTATAATGCCTTTAAAACGTATAAAACGTTTAATCGATCAGAGGATTGCAGACAAGGTAAACAAGTGGATCGATTATACCACACTGATCAGCAGTGAATATCCGATTGTCCTCTATAATCACTGAAAAATAAATAAAGATGTTTCATTCTATTCGGACTGGTAAACAGTGCACGCACCATTAATCCACTGATGACACCGCGTGATGTAAAGTCACAAACTGAAAGCATTCATCTTTTACAGAGTTATTCGTTTGGGCAATACCTCTGGGCAACAGATTGCCGTTATAAATGTTTAGTCAGACTTCATCTTATTGGAAAGGTGAGAATTTACGTTCGTTTAAATAATGAAAGGGGGTTCTTTTCTTGCTCCATTGGAAATGGAATTGGATAGACTTGTCTAGCAAAAGTGAGGGACTCCAGCAAATTGAGAATGTGCAATCGGCCATTTTGAATATAGATATAATGTCAATTTCGCCAATAAATTTGAACAATTTTGACTAATAACCAATTCTAAATGGCGGCATTCTAAAACTTGCCGTAGGGAAGATAGAAGCTGGAGCAAGATCGGATTCTATAATTAAAGCGAGTGCCACAGCCTCTCTTTTAGACATGTAGGTTCAAAATTCATATGCGTATTGCTGGCGTTCAAGGTAATATTGGTACCGGTTCGGATCAAAGGATGGTGTATATATGTACCCTTTCTGACTTGGTTCTGCCTTACATAAAATTCATAGACCCGCACGTGATGGCAGTCGGGACCCCAAATGCACAATTTTATACAAATATTGTACCATTTCAACTAAACTGCGCTACAGATTGCAACTATGATTGGTACATGTAGGCCTGTTGATTATTTGGTTCTTATTTAGATTTATACTCAAGACAAGAGGAAATTCCTTTCCTAAAGCGCTCCATGGGTGTATTTCACACGTGAGATGTGAAGACATGTGACGATACAACCATTTTATCATATTCTAATTGTCAAGGCGGTGTTGATGGAAATGTGTTGGTTTTGCACTACCGTGTGACTGTTTGTGTTGTTAGATAATTTGTTGGCCAATTTGACTGGAGAAGGGCCACATATAGACCATTTCATCATCACTGGTTTGAGAGAATTTCTAATATTGATAGACCAACTGATTGGAGACCATGACAACTTGTGATAGATTTGGCACTTACTAAATTGTAGGAATTCAGCTGACGCCCATGGATTGGGGTATATCATCACACAATTCTACTTATAACTGAATGATTGGTGACCCATAAAAATCGAACGATCCGCAGTTCTTCTGTTGAATCAAAAAGAACAAGGTTTAGAAATAACTAGTGTGTTATGTCTTTAAAATAGGTAAATGACAAAATGTCAGACAGTAAGGAAATAGTACCTGACATTTTCAACTTAGTGCCGGACATGTATTAATAATATCAATAAAAAAGACAAATCAATGCCGGACAAAATGACAGGCACCAGGGGTTTAGTGCCTGACAAAGCCTGAATCTATGTCTGATATTTTCTGTGACAGGTGCCTTATTTCCAGGCTTGCTTGTGTACTACACAGGTCAGTAATAATTACATTTCGTATTAAACGAATATTATATTAAACTAAAATTTAATTTTATTTGTCAGATCAAAGTTAAGATTGCATGGTACTAGCAATAGGGAAGATAACTCGATCCTTGGCAGTCATCAGTGAGCCAAAATGTCTTTGTGGATTATGTACTGGATATTAAGAGCGGTTGATCATATTTTCCTTCTATTGGTCATTTTGTTTCTTACATGTTATTTATATCTATGGACAAGAAACACAAACCGTCTTCGGGATGAATCAGAATCAGAAAACCAGACTATAGATGTTGGGACAGACAGTCGGAATAGCAATGTGAATAACTCGAGAGGCGACAGAAGCAAAGTAATAAACAGTAAGTATGTGTAATCAGAGCCTGGTTTACCTACTTGAGGGTCTTTGACCAAACCCATCAGTGGGCCCACTAGTTGTAGACTACGGTGGGTCTATACTAAGGGCTACTATACTAAGGGCTACTCATTGCCATAGGCGTGCGGGTTCGATGACTGTTTGGTGTGTGGGGGGGGGGGGGCAGAATCCGGAATGCCCGAAAATATTTCGAGTTACAGACGGCGGTGCAGGTCGTCTGCGAGAGGCGACAAAGCGGAGCCCCCAAGATTTGGAAAATTTGACGACCGTGAATACAGCAACTTCGAAGTGGTCTAATATAGCTTAATGCATTTTTTCTGCTATTCTGGTCTGTGGGGTAAGTAACTTCAAAGTAGTCCAATGGTTCTGTAACCAAAACGTCACTCTATGACGATCTGATTTCCAATCATCCTATCAGACTGTTGCAGCTGCATTCATAAATAATAATCGATGCCCGAAAAATGTAGCACCAAGTAGGGTGGCTCCAGACAAAATGTTTTAATCTATAGTCAATTCAGTACAAATTCGTCGTATTCAATCAAATGGAAGGTAAAATTAGTGTTTTATTAGATTTCGGGGACTTTGCCAATTAGATGAAATAATAATTATTGTTTCACTTTACCTGTCTGCCCGAAAATTAGGGGGCAACTCTGAATTTATGAGACAAGTTTTTCTAGACCGAAAAATAAAATTCGAGGCCAGTTACACTCGGCGACATTGTCTTTGTTTCAATCCCAATCCCCTAACTTTCAAAATCGCAATTACGGGCCTGCTACTACATTGCGTACTCCGGTTAAAAGAAGTCATTATAATCCTACTTAATTTAAGGTATCTCCCATAGGTCACTTAAAGTTAAGTGGATTCTTTTTCTCGCTCACTTAACTGTGAGGGAAAATTTGATACTTAACATTGCCTTTGAATACTACTTACCCTTAACTTACCGGAAGTTACGTATATAGGTCGAAATTATTGTTTTTAAAAGAATAACCGACAGCTTTAATTCTTTCTAATCAGAAAAGGGATGTTCTTCTAAACAAGATGAACATTGGCACCAAGAAGTTTTACTTAAGATCCAACCAGATCCTGAAATATCTACGTTGAAACTGATAATCCAACAACCGAAAGAGGAAACGGGTCGTGAATTATCCTTGTTGAAGCGTTGGCTTAAAGATATTGAGCAAAGAGTTATGAAGTTGGAGGCAGCTAGTAATCCGAGAAAACATACTGACTGTCATGTGTTTGTTAAAATACCAGGTAATATTAATCGGCAATACTATATACCGGAAAACGCCGGAAAACTACCAGAAAACACCATGTTATACTGAATACCTGAAAACACCGGAAAAAAACTAAATACCGGAAAACACACTAAATACCGGAAAACACCCTAAATGCGGGGAGTTACCTATTTAGGGTGTTTTCCGGTATTTAGTGTGTTTCCGGTATTTAGTGTTTTTCCGGTGTTTTCCGGTATTCAGTATAACATGGTGTTTTCCGGTAGTTTTCCGGTGTTTTCCGGTATATAGTATAGTCCATTAATCACCAGCTTGATAAATGATTACCCATTATTACATGTAATCTATTTAAATACCAGGTAATAATAATCATGAACTGATAAGAATTATCAAGTAGGGCTTGAACAAACTCAAGGTAAGCTAATATCATCATAATGTTTTCAACTGGATTTGCTTTCAGGCGACCTTAGTATACGAGGCGATGCCAGCTCTTTGCGGTTCATTTTGTTTGATCGGATTTACAAAATCAGCAGATGGCCCCCAAATTTATAGAAATGTAGATCAGAGTTGTAGTACACTGTGGGCCTATACTTATTATACAGCAGCCCCATTCTCCGGAACCTATGCTAATCAGGGCCCGCGGAAGTAATTTTGGAATGGGAGGGGGGGGTGGGTCTGTGCACCATCCTAGGACTTTAAAATTACAACTAAACCGACACAACGGAAACTCTTACAGGGATTAAAAGGAAGGAATCCTATTATTTATAAAGATCAATATATTAACACTATTAATGGGAAACTAATTAACCTGAGCTGTAGATAAACAATTATATAAAGAGAAGTGTGTATGTATGGGAGTATGAGTGATCGCTGATGCAGGTGTACAGAAAAATAATAATAAATAAAAAAACTCACCGTTTTCTGCCGTCGACGATTTTTTCAGTACCGTGCAAAGATTTGTAATATCAGGGTGGTTTTATAGTACCACTCTAACTATGGGATGTTTGGAGTTCATGGCTATCATTCAATACCTCGTGATTTAATAACATCTGGCCCCAAGTTCACAAAGCATTCTCAGACTTAAGTTAAGAATTTGCTCAAAATTGTTCACCTTATTTTAACTTTAATATAGCCCTTTATAAAACTGTTGCTGTTTTAATATATTAAATGCATCAATAAGAAATTATGTGCAAAGTTTTGTGTTTCTGGATCAATGATATTTCTCATAAACGGTGATTGAAAGTTGAGTAAATTCTTAAGTCTGAGAATGCTTTGTGAACTCGGGGCATGTTTGAAATAGGTGTCGTTTCAGAGATTACATAATGATTATGTTTATCTCATTCACCTCCCGCTACTGATGTGGGACAGATTCCTTTAAGACCCAGGGGATCACGTGACTAAGTGGGTAAGACGCTGGCTCGCTAACCTGGAGGTCGGGTGTTCGATCCCTGCATTGGCCGAGAAAGTTCATTCATATTTTCCGCCGTGGTTTCCCCTTGTCAGTTATGCAGGATGGAGGGCCTGGCAAGGACAGCTGTCTAGTCGTTCGGATGGAACGAAAAACCGAGGTCCCGTTTACATATTGGCGTGCACGTAAAAGATCCCTTGGCAGTTGGAATTCGATATAAGAGTAGGCCGTAGCGCCGCTGTCCGGGCAAAATTTCCCTTATAGCATACTGTATGGCGTATGCCCGTCTTCATTAGCCCAGGTTAGGAGCAGAACAGTAGGACGTTAAACCTCATTTCGTTTCATTTCATTTCTTTAAGACACAAGAACACTTTGCATGCTCAATTTTGGATACTGTTCAATTTTAGTGCTCGGCAATTCCTCAGACGCAGAGGTGCGCTGGTATCTCGGCAATGAGTTAAAAAAAATAATAATAGTACTGTATTTTATTTTAAAATATCTTTTAGAAAGCACCAACCTTGAACACAGTGAAAATCTATACGAAGATATAAATATTGAAACGTTGGGTAAGTTGATTATCACAAATAAAATATTTTGAATACATTATGAGAGATGTTTTTAATAGAGAGTTGGCCATTCTTGCTATAACAGTTCAAAAATAGATGATGAAAGAAGAATATATTGAAAATTTCAGTCAAATTACTTTATTCTGGACAAAGTTATCACCCTGTAATTTTTCACTAGAAATAGGAGTCAACTCTCTCTTCGCCGTCTCCGAGAATGGCCGATCGTTTGATTGACAGACGTTAACTCCACCTACATAATCCCGATTATCAAGTAACGTTTTCAATGGCTGTGATCCCGTTAGCCAATTCGGTTTGAGACCGGGTTGCAATTCAATTCGTATCACATTTATTTTTACTACAAATTAAAAATAAGACTTTTAATATATAGATAAGAAGCGAAAGTTTGAAAGGAATGGACCAAATCAATGAGGCATAATTAAGCCGACTTCTTGTTAGCCTGCGTGTACTCTTAGTCTTGTACTATAACTGGTACTGGTAGGCCTACGTAACTCCCGAAGCAGACAGATACTAGGAAACAGTGATCCAATGGGGCTGCAATTCAACTGGGGTGATGTTAGCTGCGATGTTTATCAATTTCCATAATTTTTCTGTAAACGCAACTGACAAAAAAACGTATAATACCGACATCCAAACTCTCATTTTAACCACAACTAAACATAATATCAAGGCCGTATATATCGAACTTTCAATCAAATCGACTGACATGCGTTTAAGGTCATGAGACAAAGACGCCTATTGATTTGTAGCGAATTCCGATAATTACTGCCAGAGCTATGGCCCTTGAACACTTTCAAGACTCTTGTTGACGCTCTCTAGCTGCTAAAGTTAATATTCGATTGACTTTAAATTTATACGCAGGAATATAAATTGTTTAAGGTCATGAGACAAACAATCGAAACAAATTCTCATGTTTTCTGAAAATTACTTCATGAGTTATTACTCGTAATCAGATTTTCATGTGTAGTAAATGTTCTCATTACTGACAAAAGAAAAAATATACATCAAAACTTGTTGACGGCCCGTCCCCTTAGCTGCTTTGGGCTTATGTTTCGTTGCCTGACAACCTGTCTTTATTTATGTATATAAATATATTTAATTTGTCTCGTTAAAATCACCGTATGTGTGACGCCATGTTATCCGGTTAGAGCTGACGTACTATAAATTACATTTTATTTTATTTACATTTCCCGGGTGAATTTTTTGTGAATAATTCTTTTGGGCTATGGGGGAGGGGGGCCGCGCGCGCTGTATCATACGGTCTGCCATTGGGTCAACTGGCGGGGTTTCGATTTTCGCCAGTTGTACGTGACAAGGAGTATGATCGCCTGTCCAACCTCGTGGGTTTTCTCCGGGTCCTCCGGTTTCCTCCCACAGCTAAAGACCCCTACGCGCAAGCGAATTATTGAAATAAAATTGAACCATGTGTTAGTCCCGAAATGACCTAGTTTGTGTCGAGTGGGCGTTAAACTCTCTCTCTCTCTCCCTCTCTCTCTCTCTCTCTCTCTCTCTCTCTCGGGCTATTATCATGTCTTTCTGATCTATTTTTAGATGTATGTTGTAATGGCAATGGTCAACAGCAAATTCATCCGGTTCTTGGTACTGTCACCAGTTTGGGTTCTACGGCTAAAGCTATCCTAGGTTGTAATGCTAACGAACAACAGGATTCAATATCCAAGACAAGGACGCACATTATTTCATTACACGAGGCGTGCATAAAAGGGGATTTGAATAATCTGAAGGATTTAATTGACGCTGGCCATGATATAAATGAGAGGTATGAAGGTGGTATGACACCAATATTATATTGCGGTAAATCACAAATAGAACCCGTTTCTAAAATTAAACTGATACTAAATAAAAGTGGTAATATAGATGATACAGATACAGATGGTAACAATGTGTTACACTTAGCTTGTGAGTATTGTAGTCTTGAAACTGTACAGTATTTACTAGAACTGGGTGTAGACCATCATAGTAGGGGTTTTAATGGCCAAACACCATTATTGTGCTGTTCTAGGTCACAAATTGAACCCGTTTCTAAAATTAAATTGATATTAGATAAAGGTGGTAATATAGATGATAAAGATAAAGACAATAACAATATGTTGCACCTAGCTTGTTGGTATGGTAGTCTTAAAACTGTACAGTATTTACTTGAACAAGGTTTAGAACATCATAGATGCGGTTTACCAAAAATTGGTCGATGTTCAAATATTACATACAGATATGCTAGAAGACCTGTAGATATATGTACATCTTTATGTACATGTATTGGCTTTCATGGCCAAACACCAATATTATATTGCAGTCAATCACAAATTGAACCCGTTTCTAAAATTAAATTGATACTAGATAAAGGTGGCAATATAGATGATAGAGATACAGAAAATAACAATATGTTAGAGCTAGCTTGTAGGTATGGTCGTCTTGAAACTGTACAGTATTTACTTGAACTGGGAAAAAACGTTCATGACAGACATTGGCTAAGGTTTAGGAAAAAACCAATATTATATTGTAGTCAATCACAAATTGAGCCCGTTTCCAAGATTAAAATTATACTAGATAAAGGTGGCAATATAGATGATAGAGATACAGATGGTAACAATATGTTACACCGAGCTTGTATGTATGGTAGTCTTGAAACTGTAGACTACTTACTAGAACTTGGGTTAGACGTTCATAGTAGGGGTTTTCATGGTCAAACACCAATATTATATTGCAGTCAATCAGACGTTGAACCCCTTTCTAAAATTAAAATGATACTAGGTAATGGTGGTAATATCGATGATAGAGATGCAAACGATAATAATATGTTACACCTAGCTTGTAGGCATGGTCGTCTTGAAACTGTGGACTACATACTAGGACTTGGTTTAGATCTAAAGAGTATAAATAAATATGGTAAAACACCTGTAGATGTTTGTAGGTATTCAAAAGAGTCAGACGAAATGATTAAATTAATAGGAAAAAAGTTAAAATTGTGAATCGTGTGATATTATTAACCGTTTATTTGTGTCAGCTAACTGTATTATCATTTTATTTTCCATCGTGATTAATTATGGTGGTTGTCTCCACTTTAAATCATATCTCAAATCGATATTCAGAGCAAGAACCACAACTTTTAATATATCCATACTTTTTCATAAATGTTACAATAGTCAAATTGTTCTATATTTGTTGATTTTGTCAAAACTTTCTATTAATGTTAATAAATATATAGTCAAACTGTTACGAGGGAAGTCTCGGGTAACATTCTTGGGCGCGAACTCAAGACACTCTTCATCCAGGGCCCACGACAGCACCTTGTTCCACTCATAGGGCCCCGATCCGTCCTTGTTCCACTAGAGGCTCTCGTCACCTTTCTATAAATGTTGAAATAATCTAATTTTTCTATCAATGTTAATATAGTCAAACCTTTCTAGTCCGAACGACCAGACACTGTTTCTTACCAGACCCTTCGTCCTGCACCACCGACATGGGGAAGTCTCGAGGATCATTCTCGGCCAACACAGGGCGCTAACTCAAAACATCCTGGTAAACGAGCCAGTGCCTTTTTTTACGTTTTTAACCCATTGAGCCACCGCGGATTCCTATTTGAAACAATATTTTGCGAGAGTTAAATACTTTTAAACGGATGCATGTCCTGTTTATCCTCACACCAAATTTCTTAATACGATTTTGACCTTAGCATTTATATTCATATCAAGAAATGTTTCCCATGTTGTAAGTGAAATACGTCTTTTATTAAAGGAGCTTAATCACTATTCTTTGGCACCTAGAAATGGACACAAATGGGTGGCAACGCATATAATAATATAATATGAATGTATATAAACTGATTTACATTCAATCGTGTCTGTTTTTACTGCAATTTCTAACCAGTTATGTTCGGTGAAATACGCGAACAATCTGAATTGAATGGCAGTCTTTGGTGTCTGGTTATTCCATTCTACACAGGTAGTATGCTCCTACATCGAGTCGATTCCAAGAACTGGCATCCAAAAGAATTCTGGTACACATTCCTTGTGCCAATTTTTAAAAATTTTATTTTGTCTTAAGCATTGGATATCAGAAGCCAAACTTTTCACAGTAAGACTGTGGATACTATTGAGATTTAGATGAATACTAGCCATTATTGCTATAATAGTTCGAAAGTAGATGATGTAAAATGAATAATTTGAAAATTTCATTCAAATTACTCTATTGCGGATGAAGATATTAGCCTTTGAAGGTTTGACAGACGTGTGCAATAATTTCAACCACCGTACTGGTTGATCGAAGCTAAGTCTCGGTCCTCCATATTTGATTAAATCAAAGTATCGCTGAACCATTCTAATCTATTTAATATCGGAGAAATCTGATCCCATCGAGAGTTGATTTAGGACTGGATCATAATTAATACTTTAGAAGACATTTCAGGCCTAAAGAAAGACCTGCAATAGGCAGATTTAGCTCTTGCATAATGCATGTTTAATCGTACTACAAGACATTATAGTGTTATACATAATAATTATTTTTTTTTAAATTATAAATGAAAACCTTTCTGTCGAATAAACTCAGTGAACTGAATGATTATTATTATAAAAAAAAAGATATTCTTTTTGTTTGTTTTAGTTTGAGTAAGTGGGTGCGCGTGTCTGGATGACGGTGGAGGGTACGAAACACGTATTGTTTTCGTAAGAGATCTTTGGACGAATCCCATAGGGGCTCAGACTGCCGGTTTTTCGATATCAGGATGTTCGTTCGATTAATTTTATCATCAAAGATTTGCAAAAGTATTCTTCGGCATTTCTTCGACATTCAAGACAGTTCGTGTCTTTTAGTAATTGAGGTATCGAGTTGAAACTTGGTAGAAATAAGGAGCACATTGATGCCTTCAAAGTAGCATATTCAATTTTTTTGTGACGGTTTCAGAAACTTCCCGAAATAAGCGAGGCATTCCGATTTTCCCGAACATGGATAGTTCTCTCCATTTTAAAAATAGACTAAAATGACATATGTTGATGTTAGCTCCAGATATTATCTTTCATTTTCAGAGACCTTGTTAACGTGTTCAACCGTTTGGCCGCCATATTGAATTTTACAAAAAAATCTTCAAATCGATATTCAGTTGCCATTATGATTCCGATTTTCGAAAACTATTTTTTTTATTTTGAATTTACTCCAAAAGGCAATAATTCTTTGGGAGCCTATTTTTTAATTTCGATTTTGTTTACTTCCGGTTTATCTGGTGACCGAGCGGTTCAATGACCCTTGATTGACCCTTGATTGATGACTGACGTCTACTAACAACTAATATCAAAAAGTTCGGTGTGAAGTATAACTTCCGGTTTTATTAAGAGTTCAAAATAACATGTTTTCCACTTTAATAGGTATTGGATGTTACTATACTCAATAGTTCATGGTGTAACTTGATTGTTGCCGTGACCGGACGTGGCCTGGTGTACCGAAACACGTCAGTACTCCTTCAAAGTTAATAGTTTTTATATTGTTATTTCTTTGTGGCTTTGTAAAACAGAAATTTCCTTTGTACTTTTGGCTTTCAAACGTGAGCTTTAGTATTGTGGAGGACGGAAGTGTATGTGTATGTGTGTGTGTCCTGCATCGCTGAAGAGGGCACCCACGCCGGAAAATCCTGGATCAAACACAAGGTCCCCTCAGGTTAGCAAGGTCCATAGGCGTACGAGCAAGGGGCAATCTGACTTTTCTTTTAATTAAATCCCACGAATTTGTACTGAATTAAATATGGATTAAAACCTTTTGTCTGGAGCCACTCTACTTTGTGCGACATTTTTGGGGAATCAATTATTATTGGAAACTTTGAAGTTGCTTAATTTACTAGCTAGAATAGCAGAAATAATTATTTTCAAAATTTTTCTCCCAGAGCGTAAGGGCCCCCCCCCCCATACCCTGCGACAATTGTTTGCTTGTTTTTACCATATTGGGCCATTTTGAATTTGCTGTATTCAAGGGCTGTAATGGTAGGAAATGGTCAAATTTTCCATATTCTCTTGAGGGTGTGTGTGTGTTGGGGGGGGGGGGGGAGTCCTACGCGGTAAGCTCTGCTCCTTCGTCTGTCACAGATCACCGACACAGTCTTCTGTAACCCAAAATTCTTTGGGGCATTTCAGGTTCTGTCCCCCCACCCCCTCCCTAGCATTCACCAAGCCCGTACACCTATGTTAAGCAAGCTACCGTCTTACTGAGCCACAGCACCACAGATACCGTGGCTTGCGGTCTAAGCTTGTGTTTTAAAATCATGATTTGAAATGGGGTTTAACGTCCCACTGTTCTGATCCAACCTGCCTAAGGAAGACGGGAGATCATAGGTTTAGCGTGGTCATTGGGATTTGGATCCTAGGGTTTGGATCCTAGGCATGGGTTCCTAACCTCCCAGCAGAGAAGAGGCGCAAGATCGACAATGGCTACTTTATAATTTCACCCCACTAAGAATAACCATTTTATTCAATAAGAATATATCCCAGATGTATCCTTTAACAAGACCTTTAAAATACATAAATGATTTAAAAATACATAAAGGACGGTCCTTTTACACAGAAAACATATTTTATTCAATAAAAATATACCCGAAACAGCTCCTTTAACAAAACCTTAATTTAAAGATACATTAAGGAAATGAAATAGAATGGGGTTTAACTGACTACTTTTCTGCACAGACTGGGCTAATGAAAACTGATCCATAAATAACAGTCGTTTCACACAGAAAAGGTAGAACCTCACGATACATCAAGGACAGTCTGCTTTTTGTATTTTTGCAAAATGAGTTTAACGATTGCTGGATTCCTCATCTTGCCAATCCATGTATTATCAAGAATATTTCAGTTCAATCTATAAACATCATCTTTACTTGCCGCCTTGTATTACAGTATTATCAAGAATGTTTGAGTTCAATCTATAAACATCATATTAATGTCTGTCTTTTTCTTATAATTTTGCCTCCTGCACACCACACTACTTCCACACTACTCATGATGTAGGTTGATGTATTGCAGCCTTGTATTATCAAGAATGTTTGAGTTCAGTCTATAAACATCATCTTAACGTCTGTTCCTTAAAATTTTGTGCCGCCTACTACTCATGATGTAGGTTGATCAGCCATTTTTGTAGCAAATTCTGTGAGAACATCATGTATTTCTGTGGCACAGTTTATCTGAGTTCGAACAGTTAACAAATACTGGGGATAATGAAAACCTTCTTGTTGGGTATCCATCTTGAATGATGAAACAACAGGAAATGGACTGTATCTCATACTGTCTAAGAAATGGGAATGCATCTCAAGAGCTAATTTCTGAAATGTAAAAAAAGACAGAAAGATGTTTTAGATTCACATATAAATCGTTGCGTGGAAATACTACTTTTCTATAACAAAAGGGCTGTGCATACACCATGCTGTGTGCAATGAGTATGATGGCAATGAAATGGGGTTTACCTTACTACTTTTTTCTCACCAACCAGGCTAATAAGGATGCGCATATTCCAGACAATGGGATATGAGGGACATTTTGCCCAGGCAGCGGAATTTATGCCTACTCATTGTCAGATTCCAACTAGCAATGGATCTTTTACAAGCACGCCAACCTGCACATGTACATGGGACATCATTTGTTTTGTTCTATTCGACATTGGGAAACCAGGATGAAAAATTCTGAGGAACTTTTTGTTGTAATACTTTGCTTCAGGAACATTGGGCCCCAGTGAAAATAATTTGTCACACAGCATGCCATCGTATAACTTTGTTATAAGTGTACATCAGATAAATTTGAAGGCCACGGATGAGCTTGGTTTAGGGCCTTAAAGAAGGTAAATTCAGTCCTGCTCACATTTACAGTTATACTGGGTCTAATTAAATTCGGAAAAAAGAAATGAAATGGGGTTTAACCTCCTACTATTCTGCTCCGACTGGGCTAATGAAGACGGGCATACACCATACAGTGTGCTATGAGGGAAATTTTGCCCGGGCAGCAGCACTATGGCCTGCCCTGATATTGAATTCCAACTGCCAAGGGATCTCCTACATGCATGCTAACGTATACACGAGACATCGATTTTTTGTACCCATCCTAACAGCTAGACAGCTGTCCTAGTTAATGTAAATATTTATTTGCACTTACCAAATTAATCTCTATTTGATCACACAGGGCGTAAAATTCTTCTAAACTTTTTTCAAATTTCTGTTGAGGACTATCACCAGGCCGTCTGTAAATGACAAAATAAATAAATGACATCATGTAGGCTAACAAGAATAGAATACAAGATATAGAGATTTCTCTACATTACCAATTCATTCACCGAATAAAGTTTTATTTTTAAGGAGAAAGAGACAGAGAAAAATGTGTTTTAACATCCACTGAACATAAACTAGGTCATTTAGGGACTAACACGTGATTCAATTTTATTTCAATAATTTTCCTGCACTTAGGTGTTTTTTTAGCAGTGGGAGGAAATTGGAAAAAACCTGCAACCCTAGCTCCTTGTCACATACAAACTGTGAATCAAAACCATGCTACATGTACATGTACTTCATTCAAAGATGGACCTTATGATCTGAAGTGGATGCGATAGACCTTTTGACCACCCACCAAAAATAGCATGGGATAAGAAATTAACTTACGTTCCACTGTCTTGTGTTGCATGGTAACGAAATACTTCTCCAGCTGACTTGAATAAAATCTATTAATAAATAAAATATATTAATAAATAAAATATATTAATAAATAAAATATATTAATAAATAAAATATATTAATAAATAAAATATATTAAAGTTACAATTTCATATTTTTAAGTTATATTTTTAAAATGTATTAAAATAAAGCCCTAAAATAGATGGTATCTATAAACAGTCCTACCTTGTTAAAGAATAATCCTATTAATAGTATAATTCACTATTGCTAGTTGTGAAAATGGCAAAAATATCATTTTCAACTTCAAATTCAAACGTTTGAAGATAGCTATTCCATGGTGGAGAATAGGAAAACAACGGAGGTAATTGGGAGGTTATTGTGTTATTATTTCCGCTGTGAAGATTTTTAAGTGTGAGAATGACACATATGATCATATAATAGTGAGCTGACAACCTATTGAGCAAAAGACATAGAAAAAGTTATGTTTTGACTTTCTTAGAAAATATGAAATTGTAACTTTAATAAATAAAATATATATTAATAAATAAAATATATATTAATATATATTAATAAATAAAATATATTAATAAATAAAATATATTAATATATACTATTCAAAAAAAGTAGGGGATATTTGATTTTTATGTGTTATTAAAGTCACCTAATGAAACTGACGAAGAAACAAATGACAAAATGAAATGAAGTTCACATTCATCGATTTATTCCAAATGATCGTTAGACTAAGTAAGGCACAGACTGACCATTATAAGGGTAAAATGATACCCGGGGTCAAACAGCAAAGTTACCACAGCATCACAACCAAGTCAGTAACGGGTAAATCCTCCTCTGTTTGCCAAACAAGCATTGATCCGACGTGGCATACTCCTAATGAGACGTCTAAGGTCATTTTGGTCCAGATTGTCCCATTCCTGTTGCAACGCAGCAGCAAGTTCTTGGACATTGGCAGGACGTTGTTGACGTTGACGTAACCTCTGTCCAAGCATGTCCCAGACATGCTCGATGGGGGAGAGGTCGGGACTCAGTGCTGGCCAAGGTAATGTGGTGATGTTCTGTTGTTGGAGGTAACCTGTAACGATCCTGGCCCTGTGACATCTTGCGTTGTCATCCTGGAAGATGAAACGGCGGCCATGACGTCGTGCGAACGGCACAACATGGACTGCCAAGATGTTGTCCCGGTAGTACTGGCCTGTAACACGCCCTGCAACAACATGTAAAACCGTTCTTCCAGCAACAGTGATGCCTCCCCACACCATAACAGAACCACCCCCAAATCGATCATGTCTGATGACGTTAACGTCTTGGAAGCGCTCGTTTCGACGACGCCACACCCTCCTACGTCTGTCCAAAAAATCAACAGTGAACCTTGACTCATCTGAAAACATCACATTGCTCCAGCGTCGATTATCCCAGTGTTGACGATCCCTACACCAACGACGTCTTGCCTGAATGTGATGATCTCTCAAACAAGGGATCACGCGAGGACGTCGGGCGCGAAGGTGACCCCTATGCAGTCGATTCCGAATCGTCTGGCCACTCACTCTCACACCAGTGTCTGTTTGAAGACGAGCGCTGATCTGATTTGCTGTGATGACACGATTTCTCAAGGCCAAGGTACGGATAAATCGATCCTGGGCTTGAGTTGTCGCCCTTGGTCGACCTGAGCGTGGTCTGTCCTGTACAGATTGTGTATCACGGTATCTGGACCATAGCCTGCTTATGACAGACTGAGAAACATTCATCGTCCGCGCCACAACCGCCTGTGTTGTGCCGATCTGTAGCATGCCAAGGGCACGTAACCTTTCATTTTGGGTAAGCCGACGCATATCAAAATTTGTTTTCTGGTCACTAAAACAATTAAACTGATGTTTCCACCCTGGAATTCAATGCCACAATGACTGTAACATTCAAAGTCAGAGTCGTGCAAATCTTGGGTTGGACCCCCATGATGATCCCAAGCATCACCTGCATTCCATGCGGTAGCTATTGGTGCGTTTGGGCGTCACATGTAACTGGAAATGTTTCTTCTGTTAGGTTCTATAGTGACTTTTTTCGTAGTCATTTGCATATTTTAGTATTATGCCCCCAAAATCAAATATCCCTTACTTTTTTTGAATAGTATATATTAATAAATAAAATATATATTAATAAATAAAATATATTAATAAAATAATAATATTGAACTATAACTCAGGTATCATTTAATTGTGTTGCTTTAGCAGGAGTTTCTGTATTTAATGTTTAATTTCAAACCATTGTTAGAAAATTGTTCAAATTCCAGACAATAGGAACCCAATACATGTAAGAGCATTCAGGATTTTTTGGGGTAAATACCCACTCACCCATTCCGAACCCCATTTCTCAATGATATGAGTTGTGGCACAATTACCAACTGACATACATCATCCATAGCCAATACATTGTTGTTCATAAATATGCTAACATGATGTTATGTCTTACATCACAATGTACTGGTGGTAATCTGAGGCAGCACAGTTTGACAGATGCTTGAGACAGTCATACTGGATCGGCTATTGCGAATGAAATGACTACTTTATCCAATTAAACTGGTTGCCCTGAGCAGCTCTGGAAGTGAGCTGACTAGGATTACCACTGGAACATCGTGAAATGAAATGGGGTTTAACTGCCAACTGTTCTCCAAACTGGGCTAATGAAGATGGGCATATGCCATACAGTGTGCTATGAAGGAAATTTTTGCCCAGACAGCGGCACTACGGCCGACTCTTATATGTCAAGGGATTTTTACGTGCACGCCAATGTGTACACTGGACCTCGGTTTTTCGTCCTTGTCAGGCCCTCCGTCCTGCATCACTGGCAAGGAGGAACCACGCCGGTAAATCTGGATGAACTTTCTCGGCCAATGCATGGATCAAACACCCGATCTCCAGACTAGCATCTTGCCCACTTAGCCAGCATGATCCCCGGCACATTGTGAAAAAAGGTAAGACATTAAATCATTTTAGCATATCCATGTATGATAAACCTATATTTCAAGTATCATCAATACAGGATAAAAATTATGACCTGAAGAGGGTCCACAAACAAATGCTAACCGACGGACATTTTTGCAATTTAACTCATTGTTATTGACAATTGAAGTCAGTGGCAGATCCAGGAGCCAGAGCCCCCCCGGACACCCCACCCCTAAATAACAGTTCAAAAATTTAGTTATTATGTTTCTATTTGGTATGTCAAATGATCGCCTACAGCCAATGAATGATGACTATCTATAGGTGATTTAAATGTCATCACCCAAAGCGAGATTTGGATTATTATCCGTATATCTTGCCAAATCGCCGCAAGCGAGATTACGCATCTCATAAAAATATTTCTATGACAGGTCTAATCATTGACGTCATATTTTTTTGACGCGTCAATAAAAATAATTCTCACACTTTTTTGTTCAAACAAAATTAATCATACAATTTAGATCAATTCGGAAAAACGAAATTCTTTAACATTCTTTATATCACTTGAGAAACTTAATTTAAATAATGAAGGTTTTTTTTAAATTTAACAACAATCACATCTGCTTTGAACGAATGCCTTGTGGACGACTCAACCAACGGGTGTGGACGACTTTGCTTGTGGACGACTTGACTGGCACCTCTTTGGAATGAACTATTCAGTCAATGCCTGTACATGTTGGTCTATCCTATTGCTTTAGCATGAAAATGTAGAACATGAGACTGAATGGGATAAAAACAAAGTGATCATAAAAAAAAAAGTTTACAAATTATAAAAGTTAATAATAATAATAGACACAAAGAGCCGAAAAGTATAATAGCATCAAGATATAATTTTTATCCCCTTGCTGCTGAATTTCCGATGAAAGTTTCACTTACGCCTAAGCTCTCTTTTAATCTCGGTAGCAAATTTTTAAATTTGGCGACTGGGTCAATTTCTGCATGTTGAAGTTGTGCAGCTTGCGCAGGATTTGGAGCTTGTTGAGGAGGACCTTGTTGATTTTGAACTTGCATGGGGGTGGCCATTTTTGATTCTTACTCTGATGTCCCATGTGATTTTTATACGATGCTGAAAAAACAATATTATATTCTTGAAAAGTCATTTAACTAAGAAATAAAAAGGCATTGCAAATAGTATTTTACTTTGCTTTTTTACGATATTCTATATTCTTGTTTCAATGAGAAATAAATAATAATTCCAATTATTTTATATTGTGCATCATGATAGGAAAGACAACTCTATTGCGAGAAGGTCAAGGTTGAATAGAAAATGATGCGGTGCTGAAAATAAACCAATGTTCAATTGTTTACGAACTTTGGTTAGAATTTATCATGCCGCCAACGATACAGACTGGCTCTAGAGAAGACAGAGATAAAAGGGTTAGACCTGGAGAAAAAAGGTGAGAAATATGGACCATGTTTTTTTTTATTTTCATATTGCTCTCAACAAAATAAACAACGATAAAATAATATCTGACTGAAAATGACAATAATGACAATGATGATTGTCACAATGAATGTTTTGATTCGAGTTTGCCAGAGATAGGCCTACCTGTAATACATGGACGCCTACATGTTAGAAAATTGAGTGGCCTAAACATCCTTTGATATAATATAATAAATAATGTATTAGGAAATATCAGGTACTGGTAGACCTATATCAGAAAATGACTACATTGAGTATATTTTATGGGTAAATAAACATCCTTTTATACAATAAATATATTATGAAATATCAGGTACCAGTAGGCCTACATCAGAAAATGACTATTACGGGTAAACTGCAATATTATATGTAGCTTGTGAATGGAATAAGGAAGTAAAACATGTTGATTTCTATATAGTAGACATATTTTTTTATCTATTTATTTATGTTACATCTATACTGTGATTTAAATTAACTTTTCTTCTGTGTTCCAGGTCAGATCTATTATGCCGTGTGAAGTTCAACAATACTTTGCCTGATATTCCATTTGATCCAAAATTTATAACATACCCTTTTGAGAGTAACAGGTTAGTTCCCCCCATTATTTAGTTGAGGGGATTTTTCTGAATGATCTAATATATGCAATTAAGAGTAGGGTCACCTGTCTCCTGCTGCTAAAGACCCATATACATGTATGCCCAAATAAAGCTATAGGCCTATTATAAATAAAATCAAAGATGTCTGTGTGTATGTTCTCCCATCAAGCTTAGTTGACACGATCCACCCCCACATGTGTGGTATCAAATTAAGCAGCATGACCACGTCAATGTTTTAGGCCATGATTCGGTTCTATTTGGCCCCAGCTTGTTATTTGGATAAAATTGAACCATACATTATTATGTTAGTCCTGGTTTTCGTTTAGAGGACATTAACCCACATTTCTCTGTTTTGGTTGAAGGATGTGGCTTTTCCATTATGAGATTCAATACTGTTATATGCAATTAAAGGCTTGATGTGATTCGCAGTTTAATTCATGTTAAATATGTACTCAAATTGATTATATATAACATTTAATTAAGAAGTCAAAATCTGGATTTTAACTAGGCCCATCAGGTTTCTCCTCTACCAATAAAAGATGATGCTATCTTGTTACATAGTAAATAGCATAGATTGATGAAATTTCAATTTGTCATAACTTTGTAAATACTGAATGAAATTGTAGCATTTATATTCCTGTTAGAGATTAAACTTTCACGATACATGTATATTGTTGTTTGCAAGGGATTCCTATTACTAGTATTAGTGCTAAATGAAGTTTTGACCTTATATGTTTTTCATTACAGATTTATACAGTATAAACCAACATCTTTAGAAAGATCATACAAGTATGATTTGTTAACAGAGCATGATCTAGGTGTTACTATAGACTTGATCAATCCAGAAACTTACAGATTCGATCATAATGGTAAGTTGTATCACTTGATATATTGAACATCCAGGTTAGAAATGAAGTAAGTCTAGTATTAAAGAAAATTAGTGGATCTATTCTGTGATCATTCAAATATTATTTCCATGGATATTTGCTTATGTTACAACATTTGAATCTGGAAATCTAATCTTTGATTCAAATCTTGTTTTATCAAAGAAAATCTGCTTTTAATGCAGGAATTACAAAATTTCTTTCTAATAGTCTACTGGGTAGTTGTAGAAGGAAAGGTTGAATGAAATGGGGCTTAATGTCCTACTGTTTAGAAAGGTTAAAAGGTTTAGTATATACCTATAACATAATTCAATGAAAGAAACATTAAATGGTTTGTACATGATGTACAATCTGGTTTTAATGTAAAAGTTACAATTTTTTTCCTATTCTACTAGGTATTTGTATTATATATATATTTTTTTCTAATATTCTACTAGGTATTTGTTGAAAGAAATGTTAAATGTTTTGTACACTTATAGAATAAATTGATGGTTGTGTTATTTTCTTTGTAGTTTATCCAGAACCAGAAGATGAGAGATTATTGGAAGATGAACTCAATACACCAGCCGATGCTAAAAGGTTAGATTTTTACTATAACATATTGTACTTGATTATAACAAGTGAATTATTGTTGAAACAATATTGAAGTCCAGTTATTGACAAATAGAAGATTTTTATACGCCCACATGTATACATTGGCATGCACGTAAAAGATCCCTTAGAAGATTTTTATACTCCCACATGTATACATTGGCATGCACGTAAAAGATCCCTTGGCAGTAGGCCATAGTGTGGCTACCCGGGCAAAATTTCCCTCACAGCAGACTGTATGGCGTATGCCTGTCTTCATTAGTCAAATCGGAGCAGAACAGTAGGACGTTAAACTCCATTTCATTTCATTTTTACAAAATAAATATATTGAAAATTTTATACAAATTACTTTATTCTGAGCGAAGTTATCAATGTTTGTAGTTTTGACAAGATGTGTACTTTGATTGTTCATGGTCGTAACCATGGCACTGGTTCCTTATGGCTTAAATCATTAAATGGTTGAACCGTTGTAATCTACTTAAAATCGTAGCCGTCTGATGGTATCAAGAGTTAATTATGGTCTTGTCATGTTAATAAATGTCTAAGTACTTATTTATATAAATATTAAGGCCTAAAGAAAGACCTGCAATAGGCAGATTCAGCTCTTTAATCTTGATATACGTTAATTAAATGTTTATTGATATTTTCAGGTCTCGACACAATAATACAAATGTCTCCTGGTTGAGGAAAACAGAATATATCTCCACAGAATATAACAGATTTATACAAAAAACAGACAAATCAGAAATCAGGTGCTTGTTCTTTGGAATTATGTATTTACTTGGAAATAAGGCCCCTATCACAGACACTATAAGGCACAAATTCAGGAACCTGTCACAGACAAATTCTGTTCCACTGGCGAGATTTCCAAATCGTTGTTACGTGCCCAAGAACCATAGATGCAGAATAAATAGTCTGCATGTTTCTTGAGTAAAAATTATAGCATCAGGATTAGAATTAAAATAAGAAACACAATGATCTAGATTTTATTGTGGTCAGTATTTATACTTTTTATCACCTAGATGTAGAATTACATACATCAGTGGAAATCTTGCAAAATTTTGTAAATACTGAAAGAAATGGAACCCTTTTTATATGGATATTTTAGGGGGATCACGGTGGCTAAGTGGGTAGGACGTTGACTCACTACCCTGGAGGTCAGGTGTTCGATCCCTGCATTGGCTGAAAAAGTTCATCCAGATTTTCCGGCATGGTTCCCCCTTGTCAGTGATACAGGACAAGGGCCTGGCAAGGACAGCTGTTTAGTCGTTAGGATGGGATGAAAAACTGAGGTCCCGTGTACACAATTGCGTGCACGTAAAAGATCCCTTGACAGTTGGAATTCGATATAAAAGTAGGCCGTAGTGCCACTGTCCGGGCAAAATTTTCCTCATGCCCATCTTCATTACCCCAGTAGGAGCAAAACAGTACGATGTTAAACTTCATTTCATTTCATATACTGATACAGTAGAATCTGTATGAGCAGCCACTCCTATTCAGCGCCATCTCCTTGTAAGCGGTCACGATAAATTCCCCCCGTAGAAATTCTGTTGTTTCATCTCTTTTTTCAACGGTCACTCCTCTAACGCAGCCAGCAGTCACTATTTTACAAATAAATTCCCCAAAATATCGCCCATTCAACGGCCATTGTTGAATGATACCATCTTGTCGTTCTTTGTAACACCCCCGCTAATCCCGTGAGTAGTAGTTAATTAACTGGACCCCCACTGATCAGGTAAAAAGAAATGTAAACATAACAATCAACCCGGGATTATCTGTTAATTAATCTTTTGTTTTATTTAACGACTAACCTGATCATTGTTTTTACGCGTAACGACACATTGTTTGATACTGATTGAATAAAATAAAAGTACCGAGTTTTGTCACGATCAACGACACATTATTTGATACTGATTGAATAAAATAAAAGTACCGAGTTTTGTCACGATCATCTAGTATCTCTTTATTGTTAAACAGACGTTTTAGCGCCTCCTATAATATTACATACAGAGTTACACCCCCTGTAAATAGTGATAAAATTAGCGATGTTTTTTTGTTCATGTGCTTTTTTGATAAAATAAAATGAATTCATCGATTTTCTTCACAAAAATGGATAAATAGTATCGAATGCATCACAATGGTAGACAGTAGTATCGAAGGTTGGTACAAAATGACAAGTTTACAGAAGTTATGTCCGAAATTTGAGTAAAGAATTTTCGTTCGGCGCAAGATTCAGCGACGGTCAAATTTACCGCTTCCAATGCATTTAAACGTAATATTTAATTTATGTCAGCACAAAAAGCACCAAGATTTTATTAAGAGGCCACTCCCGTTATGTTATGTCCGTGATTTGAGTAAAGAATTTTTCGTTCGGCGCAAGATTCAGCGACGGTCAAATTTACCGCTTCCAATGCATCCAAGCGTAATATTTAATTTATGTCAGCACAAAAAGCAACGAGATTTTATTAAGAGGCCACTCCCGTTAAGCGGTCAGTTGTGAAAATTCCCTTGGGTGGCTGCTTAATGCAGATTCTACTGTATATTGGTTTTAGAGATTGAACTGTCAAAATATTGTAATATGCTAGGGATTCAACATTTCTCAAATGACAACCAGAGATTTTAACAAATATGATTATAATTTATTTAGAGTTGGTTTTAAAATCAAACAGAAGATGAAGGAAGATGATATGTATAAAGACAGAGACAGTCAAATAGAAGCCATAGAAAAAACATTTGAAAAAGCTAAAGGAGAGGTATGTTTACTTGTCTGAAATAGGAAAGTTTTATTTATTTTCAATTTCGATATGAGATTCGCAACAGGGTGGAATGGACCTAGGGGTGCATTAACAAAAATTTCAAAAACCTAAGGGAGAGGTATGTTTACTTGTCTGGAATAGGAAGGTTTTATGTAGTTTACATCTTGATGTGAGTTCCACAACAGATTGGGCTCGGTAAAAAACATTTCAAAAAGCTAAAGGAGAGGTATGTGTACTTGTCTGGAATTAGACAAGTTTATTCAGTTTCAATTTCGATATGAGATCCGCAGCAGGTGGAATGGACATAGGGTTCAGTAAAAAACATTTCAAAAAGCTAAGGGAGAGATATGTTTACTTGTCTATCATATTTTGTATAATAATATCTATGAATTTGAATATTGTATAATACTATATATAAATGTATATTATATTATATATATAAATGTGTATATTGTAGATTACACAGCATTACAGTAAACCTAATGTAACACCAGTAGAAGTTTTACCAATATTCCCTGATTTCAAGGTTAGTTTAATCTGTATTAATATTCCCTGATTTCAAGGTAAATGTAGTACAGATTCTCATACATCATATTGGATACTTAACCATAGGAAATTAATGATAAAGACTTTGGTAACATATCCACAAGCCTCTTATAAACTAGAGAAAATAAAAAGATAACAGAAGATTATATCCAAGCTCAGATTCGATCAGATTAAAAGTGGCACTGGCTTGTCAAAATAGTATGCCGAATGTTACAAATAATTTTTTTATCACATCTTTGTCAGTAAAGAACAGAATTGAAACATTATTCCTTTTAAACATACATTATGCAAGAGCTAAATGTTATATCTTCTATTTAATAACCCTCTGATATCTACTTAAGTCTGGTTAATCACAACTATATAATGTTTTCTCTGGATAATTGAATATTGAGAGCCTCGTTGTGAGGTTGACTTGGTAGAATGGCTGAATAAACATCAAATCGACAATCAATTCTTTTGATTTCAATTTATAAATCGGCACAGCGCATAATCCCCCGCCGTTGTAAGTTAACATAAATCTGCCTATTGCAGGTCTTTCTTTAGGCCTTAAATGTTATATATACTATTAATTAGACATTTATTAACATGAAAAGACCATAATCAACTCTAGGTGTCATCTTAGGTGTTCGATTTTCATTGGATTTAAATCCGATCTGCTGTTCAACATCCGTTGATGATTAAACGCAAAAATTAATAATCAAGACATTGTTAATTATTGTGACAGTGGTAATTATGACAATCAAGGCTACAGTGATTTTAAAATTAAGTTTTCTCTGCTTAGAGAAATATCTTCACTAGCAATAGAGTAATTTGAATGAAATTTTCAATATATTCGTTTTGCATTATCTTTTTTCGAACTATCATAGCAAGAATGGCTAGCACTTTATCTAAATCTTACATAATGTATCTATAAATATTCAACTTGTTCATTATTTTAGTTTGCAAGTGATTGAAAATTACTCAAATGATAATCTATGGTTTTAAAAGTTTTGATATTTTTTTGTAGTTATGGCAACATCCGTTTGCTCAAGTTCTGTTTGATTCTGACCCTGCACCTAAAGGTCAATCTTTACCTGCACAGATGGAAGAAATGTCACAAGCCATGATCAGGTATGTAAATATTTACTACCAAGTGCTTGAAACTAATATTAAACAGTGGGTTGTCTCCTGATTTCCTATGTGGAATGGCCAGCGTGTTAGATCAAACAGTCCGTCATTGAGTCAAGTAGTGGCATGATTTTGACCCAACACTTGCAGGTGGAGGGGATGTGGTTGAGTCGGGCAAACAATTTTTTTCGGGCGATCATCAAATTTTTTGGCAGTGGCCAAATGATGAAAAAATAGATGTAATGGGAAAAATATGAAAATTATTCCACCCCACAAAAGGAAGTTCCCGAAATCCGGGACTGTTACTGACCAATGGGTGAGGTGATGCAATTCCCAACCGGAGTTCAGAGTTTCAGAAAATCACACAATTCTGATTTTAAAGTGAATCAGAATGTCTAGTTCTCAAGCCCAAAATGCAGTTCCAGAAAATTGCTTAGTGTAGTCCCTCGTAGCACATTGCATGGTATATTCCCTCATAGTGCACTGCATAGTGCATTCCCTTGTAGCACATTGCAATGCTTGTACCTGTCTTCATTATCCCAGTCAGTGCAGTAGGATAGTACATCCTGTTCACTTTAAATCATTTTCACCCAATAGTTTGGATACATGTTCTCTTTCATTTCATTTTCATATATATATATATTTTATATTTACAGAGGAGCTGTAGATGAAAGTGGAGAACAGTTTGTAGCCTATTTCTTACCAACAGATGAAACGTTAACAAAACGTAAACGTGATGCTGAGGAAGAGAAAGATTATGTTACAGATGAAGTGTAAGTAATGGTCATCTGGGAATTTGGGGGTCAGTGATATAGGGAGCTGCGGTGGCTCACTCGGTAAGACACAGTATGCTAACCAGGTGGTGTTAGGGGTCACTCCCAGTGTTGGCCACGAAAATTCTGCAGGATTGTCTGCCACAGTTTTCCCTTGTGCAGGACAGAGGCCCTGGCAAGGACAGTGTCTAATCGCTTGGATGGGATGAAAAACCGAGGTCCCTTGTACACTTAGTAATCTGAAAAAAAAAGAGTAGGCAATAGCGCTGCTGACTAGGCAGCAAGTTAAAGATCAAAATAACAGGCAGTAGTGTTACTTACTGTCTAGTCAAAATATATCTCATCCATAGCATACTGTATGACTTCATCAGGCCAGTTACTGTCCAGGCAAAATATAGCTCATAGCACACTGTATGACTTGATTAGACCAGTTACTGTCCAGGTATAGCACACTGTATGACTTCGTTAGACCAGTTGGTGCAGTAAGGTGGGATGTTAAACCCCATTTCATCCCTAGTGATACAGAGAGATAGAGAGAAATGGGGTTTAACGTCTACTCAACACAAACTAGGTCATTTCGGGACTTGAACATGGACAGACCTTATGACCTTAAGCACACATTTTAGACCAGTTCTCTCACTCTATGTCACAGACCTTGTGATCAAATGCACATGCGTTAACCATTCTGCCACCCAAGCCCAATCCAGTGAAACCCCTACGCACAATCAAAGTATTGAATTATTATAATGAAATTGAACCATATGTTAGTCCCTAAATGACCTAGTTTGTGTCGAGTAGACGCTAAACCCCAGTTCTCTCTGTGTGTTTATAATCTAAAATGATTCTAAATAGTTGAAAATTCTAATATTTAAAAAAGCAACATAATTAATAAGGCTCCAGTATATTTAGGTTTTCCACTTTTAAAGATATGCCAATTTTGAAATTATTAGTCACAAAACTCCAACATCACAAAGATTAGTAAAAATAAATGTCAGTCTGACAAACAAATTATAACAAACAGTATTCTACCGTCATGTTTATACAGTTATCTAATAACTTTAAGCTTTTTGATGCAACCCTTTGTGAATACCTTGTGCTGGCAGCTATAATTGAGGTCCTGTATTATATATTTTTCATTCACTGTTGAAATAACACAAACACAACTTTATGGATAACAATCACTAGTAACTTGAATAGTGCAACGTTTCAACAAGTATCCTCTTGTCGTTATCATCTGCCTTGTACTTGGTAACAACAAGAGAATACTTGTTGAAACGTTGCACTATTCAAGTTACTAGTGATTGTTATCCCAATCTGATTAAAACACAGATCTTATTTCGTTTTATTTTTTATTGCTCAAAATTCTGTTTTATTTGTCTGTACTACACTAGGATCTGGAAGTGTTGTTATATAACTCACATTCTGGATGATGTGAGGGATTAGCCAATAAAACGGTCTGTTACCTTGAGTTTTTGGCGTGAGGTGCACAGAACTGTGGGTAACCCACTAGAAACATCAACGCTGATTGGTTAATCAAATGGCTGATGTAATAGGGTCAAAAGTTACTTGTACAAACTCTTTCAGGACCTTCCACTACAACTTGTCAGATCTTCATGTAGTAGCGGCCATCGAAAGTATATGAAAAAAAAACGAACTATAGATCTGTTTTTTAATTAGATTGTTGTTATCTATAAGGTTATGTTATTTCCATGTTTTTCATATCACTGAATGCCTTATAAACAATATATCAATTATTGAGATGTACATCAATGTTTTATCAACAGGTATGACTACATGTTAGCCAGAGAATATAACTGGAACGTGAAGAATAAATTATCTAAAGGTTACGAAGAAACCTATTTCTTTGTGATGAGAGAAGATGGTGTTTATTATGATGAACTTGAAACAAGGTAAATACACAAATGTTTTATAAAGACAACATGGCAGTAAGACACTTGATCACTTGATCAAACAGAGTGACATGGCAATATGACAACCCATAAAAACACTCAAACAGAAGTGGCAGTAAACCAACCAGTTGTTGACTCAAAATTCAGTTTAATTTGATCTTCGTCATTGTTGGTTTTTGAAATTACTTAAATTAACGATGCATGATTTGCATTTATTGCTAAAACATCAAATTTCTCACGGTTTAATCTATGCTAATATATACTCAGATTGATTATTTGATATTTAATTAAGAAAACAAAATCATATATACCACTGTTAGATTATCTCCTGGCTTTAATTGATTCATTTGGATTTAAACATGCTCATCAATTTAGTTTTGCCAAATAAAGCTTGTGTCTGTATGAGCAGCATAGATTGATGGAATTTTTCAATTCCTCTTTTCTGACGTGGTTCCCTCTTGTCAGTGGTGCAGGACAGCTGTCTAGTCATTTGGATGGGACGGAAAAAAAACCTGAGGTCCCGTGTACACATTGGCGTGCGCTTAAAAGATCCCTTTTCGGTTGGAATTCAATATAAGAGTAGGCCATAGTGCTACTCCCCGGGTAAAATTTCCCTAATAGCACACTGTGTGGCGTATGCCCATCTTCATTATCCCAGTATAGGAGCAGAACAGTAGGACGTTAAACCCTGATATCTTTGTAAACACAAAATTATGGATTTACAAATGAAGAGTGTTATGAGGTGTTCTAGAAAGTAAGCATGTCCTGCCCAGTGTACAAGACGTGTATTATTTTTCCAGGGTACGATTAAGTAAGAGACGAAAGACAGGTGGAACTCAGGCAGCTAAATCACGACTTTTAGTAAAACATCGACCCTTTAACGAGAAGGAAGAAAATGCACAGGTAAGTTACTGGGATAATAAACGGAGGGAAGGAAAACTGCACAACTAAGAACAGATAGAACAAACCATACATCAGTGAGAACACATTATAATGTATGGAACGTCCCATCTTTGAAAGCAAAAAAAAAATCAAAATGGAACAAATTAAACGAATTGCACAAAACTAATAGAAATGGAACAAAATACAGTTAATGAAATATGGTATTATAAAAATCCACCAGCATTAATTAAAAGATAGATTCCATCTGATTAAAATACAGAATGTGGGTTACATAACAACTCTTCCAGATCCTAGTGTAGTAAAGACAAGGAAAATGAAATTTTGAACTATAAAAAATGAAATAGGATCAGACTGAAGATAGATTCTACTAATTAATAAGTAGCTTGTTAGAATGATTATTCACCAGTTTGTTGTAAATTTAGAAAAGGCTAAGCATTGAGAGTGCTTCAGTCAGATCATAAGAAATATATAAGCCTTTATTGAAATATATAATTACCATATGTTAATCCCAAAATGACCTAGTTTGTGTTAAGTGGATGTTAAACCCCATCTCTCTCTTTCTCTTCATTCATGTTTGGTGGCTCAGTGCATAAGCGTTGGCTCGCTGATCTGGGGGTGCCACGTTCGATCCCTGCTTTGGCCGAGAAAGTTCATCGGGATTTTCAGGGCTATAAAACATAACTTTGTTTGTATAAGTGCTATGAGCGTGACAGAATTTGAAGTTTAGTGCTGTATAAGTGATATGAGCATGACAGAATTTGAAGTTTACCACTGTATAAATGGATTGAACCATGTGTTAGTCCCGAAATTACCTAGTTTGTGTCGAGTGGACGTTAAACCCCCTCTCTCTCTCTCTCTCTCTCTCTCTCTGTATAAATGGACTTATTATTATTTTATCAATAATTATATTTGTATTTTGTAGAAATCACGACAGACCATGTTAGAACCTCCAGCAGAAGAAGAAGAGGAAGAAGAAGAAGTCCAGTTACCAGATATTACAACTAAATCAGGTATATTATTTAAAATATATAACATATTAAATCTTTGTATCAATAATCAAAACTTGTTAAGTCTTTGTATTAAATATACAACACATGATAAATATTGGTATTAATAATCAAAACTTGTTATTGTTATTAATACACAACACGGGTTAAATCTTGGAATTAATACTCTGATGTTATAAATAAACCCCCATATTTCTCAAACTCTTCATGTGTTTGATAATGATAAGAGAAAACTTGTCAAAATGTTGTGCTATGTGTGTAGAATCCAGTAATTGTTTTCCATATAAATTGTGTTGTTTAATTTGCTTGATTGTTAAATATCACTCAAGGATTATCTTCTTCAATCGACATTTTGTGGCAGTGGATTTATGCAAGCCAGAATATTTTTTTGTCTTTTATCCCAATAATCACTGAATAAGTCTATTGATTTAGAAATTCTAAGAGTTAATCCTCCGGTACATGGCAATATTATTGAATAATGTGCTTGTTTATCTCTTGATAACGTCACTGACGTAAACAAACACTATTTCAGTTACCAACTGAGTTTTTGAAATATGGCAATTTTTGAGATTCAATAAGTTTGGAAATGCAATAGTATGGTTAATTTCTTTCCTATCAAATTTAAAATCCATATCTCATTGCTGAGGTCTTGTGTCGACCTGTGTATACCATGGGCAAAACGTTAGAGTTGATTAGTTGGGGTTGAAAATTACGAAGTTACACCCCATTTCAATTCATTTATGTCATATGTAAATGGTCTTGGTTCAATATATGATATATTTAAATTATTTTATTTTTTAGATGATGAAGGAGGAAATAAATCCCCGAGATCTGGTGACGAAGAAAATAAAAGTGAAGACGAGGAAGACAAACATAGCGTCCAATCAGGCGGAAGCAGACGAAGTCGAAGTAGGAGTAAAACCCGTAGTAGAAGTCGTAGTAGGAGCGGAAGTCGGAGTCGTAGCCGCAGTCGTAGCGGAAGTCGAAGTGGGAGTGGCAGTAGAAGTAGTAGTGGCAGTGAGAGCGGAAGTGACGCAGGAAGTAAAAGTAGTGATAGCGAAAGTGAGGCTGAAGATAAGAAAGGAAAGAAAGATGAAGAAGAAATCTTTGGTAGTGCTAGTAGTAGTTCGTCGGATAGTGATTAATAACATTCATTGACAGTGCTTTATATCATGTTCAGTTAGGCTTCATTATAAACTCCTCCCACAATCAGAAACAATCCTTATATGGACGTATAATATCTGTCATCTTCATTACAAATTCCTCTCACATCGGAAATTATCCTTATACGGATGTATGTCTTCATTACAAACTCCTCCTACAATCAGAAACAATCCTTATATGGACGTATAATATCTGTCATCTTGATTACAAATTCCTCTCACATCGGAAATTATCCTTATACGGATGTATGTCTTCATTACAAACTCCTCCTACAATCAGAAACAATCCTTATATGGACGTATAATATCTGTCATCTTGATTACAAATTCCTCTCACATCGGAAATTATCCTTATACGGATGTATGTCTTCATTACAAACTCCTCCCACAATCAGAAACAATCCTTATAAGGATGTATAATGTTTGTCATTTTCATTATAAACTCCTCCCACAATCAGAAACAATCCTTATATGGATGTATAATATCTGTCATCTCCGTTACAAACTCCTCCCACGTCGGAAATAATCCTAATATGGATGTATAATGTATGTCATCTTCATTACAACTCTACCCATATCGAAATATGTATAGTATCTGTTATCTTTTATTCAGAATTTTTGCAGATGTTGAAACTACTTTTATGAAAATTTTAACAGTTCACCTCGGTGTAATGTTAAAATCATGATTTATATTATATCAAGAATAATAAATTGATGAAGAATTTAATAGTTGAGTCGCTAAATCTATTTGTTAAGTCCAGCTCAATTTTTATCAAAGTCGCTGAGATGTAAATAAGGTTAGGGCACTTGATTGTTGGCGAGATTGTCAGTTAGGATTGGGGCCAGGTCCAGGGTTAGGGCTGGGATTAGTGTGTTAGCCCTGTTTACATCTCGTGACCTATGACGAAAAATTGAGCTGGCCTTATCATTTAGCACTAACCATAGTTGAGTGGCATTAAGAAATTGAGCACAATAGAAATACAACAACCATTTATAAGGAATGCTATCACTGGTTTTCAAACCTTAAAGGGGCATTATGTAAAATGATCATTCTCATAATATTCCAAAAATAGATAAATCAAAATGAATATATTGAAAATTTCATTCAAATTACTCCATTTTGATCAAAGTTATCAATGGTTGTAGTTTTGACAAGATGTGTGCATTCATCTTAACTACCCTACTGGTCATATGAGTCTTAGTCTCGTTTCTCCATTTTTAAATTAAATAATTAAATGACTGAACCATTCTAATTTACATAAAATCAGGAGCATCTGATGGCATCGAGGGTTGATTATGGTCTTGTCATGTTAATAAATGTCTTATTAATAATTTTTATAACATTTAAGGCCTAAAGAAAGACCAGCAATAGGCAGATTTAGCTCTTACATAATGCCTGTTTAAGTTAACACTTGTTGAAATGTCAGCTATATATGTATACACAAAGAAAAGTGTAACCTTGAAACCCTGATATTATGAATACTGTCATTTATCAACAGGATGCTATCACACATTGCGTAAATGTTCTGTTGGAATTCCTCCAGCGGTATTTCCCTGGAGATAGGTTTATCTTGTGTGACATGGATCCATGTCCGGCACACCCTCCTCATCTTTCCCCTGTAGACTATTCCTTTGGGTATATCTGAAGGAGAGAGTCTACAACAATCCTTAAACAAAAGAGACTCTGAAGGCAAACATTCATAAGATAATTCACTGTGCACTAGCAACTGTAATTCAGAGAAGGGGTGAATGGATTGAGCATGTCATTAATTACTGAACCGTGTTCAGAAATAGTGACAAAATAGGAGACTATTAATATCCAATAAAAACTTCATACATATGTGACATTTTTCTGATTTTTTTTTATTAAAGTATTCACATTTAAAAAGTAGTTTACAATCAGAATTGGTAACATTTTTTTGGCCCACCTTGTCTCAACTCTCCAATCAACAACATGCCCAAATATCATCACTCCATCCGTCCGTCAACAAATGGCTTGTCAACAAATGGCTTGTGAACGCGATAAGAGGTTGCAGTTTTGGACAGATTCTTTTCAAATTTGATGTGAAGCATTGTGGTCATAAAAGGACGAAACCCTATTCAGCATTCTGCGACCTTTCAGACCAAAGTTATGCCCCCTTTTCCAGAAACCTTGTGAATGGGAGAGACTGTAGCTTTTAACAGATGTAGTTTAAATTTGGTGTGGAGCATTGGCATTGTGAAAGGAAGAACCCTATTCCAGAGTTATTCCCCATTTGCCCAACATCCCAAATTATTCTTTTGGATAAGGTGCTGTCCAGGTATTGCTGCTGTGTGACCTATTTCCACACTTTGCATGGCTACTGGTTTCCAACCTCTTCTCTGTTGCAAAATAATTAGACAGAATATTTGCCTCTAAGTCCCAAAAAGCCTGATGGTTCTAAAGTATATATACAAAATTTTCTGGAGGTGCGGTAGTCAGTTCTTGGGTGTGGATATTTGAATTCCAACTAGTATTGTCCTGCAAGGAACAACATTTAATCACATAGAGGGACGGTAAACCGCACCAAATTACAATAATAATGTACATTTGTTGAGTGCCAACTGACTGAACCGTTTTACTGTTTAAAATCGGACCCATCCGATGGCATCAAGAGTTGATTATGATCTTGCCGTGTTAATAAATGTCTGATAGTTTATATATAACATTTAAGGCGTAAAGGACTTGCAATAGGCAGATTTAGCTCTTGTATAAATAATGCTTGTTTGAATTAACAATGCGTGATTTTTCATTTTCATTATGCAGAAAATATCAAACTTATCATGGCTGAATCTATGCTAATATGTACTGGGATTCATTATTTGATATTTATTTAAGAAAACAAAAACACAATACCAACACTAAATGATCTGGCTTTGATTCAATCAGATTTAAAATATGTGCATCAATTGGGTTTTGCCAAATAAAGCTTGTGTCTTGTATTATGAATGTTTAAATACGAGGGCGCCGGAACTAGGGTACCAAAAGATAGGGGGGTGGGGGGTCCTCTCCCCCCGGCCTCTAGAAAATTTTGAAATTTGTCAATTCCGAGAACGCGCCGCTAGAATTCTAAATTCCAACATAAAACCCTTTAAAATACATGATAATGAAAGAGATAAAAGGCTAATTATTCACAATTTTCGTATCATGAGCAATTCATCTCATAAAAAATTATTTTTAATTTGACATTCAAAACACCAATCTTCATCAAGAAAATAGAATAAGCTTTTTGAACGAGACAGCAGATTTAGAGACACGATTCTTGCAAGAGCTCATATTCAGGAGCAAGTGTTGACGAGACACTATAATTGATCAGATTTCACAATAAATTCAGATAATCTCGTTACATATACATGTATACCCCAGAAAAGGGCAGGGTACCATTTGTATACCCTGGTACCCGGGTTCCGGTGCCTCAGTTTAAATACTAATAGTAGATATCCCAGCTTGGATTCAATCAGTTTAAAAAGTTTCACAGAAAATCCTGGTACTGATGTTGCCAAGCATCAGTCAGCTTGACCTCCTTATTTAACTTGTTTTCATTATGACAAAAGGAGAAGACACCCTCTCTGTCTTCCCATGAAAGCGATTTTATAAATGTGTTTCAGGTGATTTTTTAATATACAAGGACTTTTTTTATTTTGTGTTTTTACCAACTTTCAACCCTTTAAGTGTAAATAATTTAATTAAATCAACCTGTCCATAATATCATATTTATTGTATTGGACAAACAACATCCTGGTACCGAGTTTTGTTATATTATCATCTATCTGTAATGGATGCTAAATGTTGTCAATTTGTTTGTAAATACTGAAAAGAATTGAACCATTTTTGGACAGATATTCCTGTTTGGGATTCAACTTACACAATATTATACCAGTAGTTTGCAAGGAAATCTGATTAAAACACAGATCCTATTTCGTTTCGTTTTTTATAGTTTAAAATTTTGTTTTACTTGTCTTCACTACAATTAGGATCTGGAAGAGTTGTTCTGGTTGAAGTGAGGGACTGGACAAACAATCGGTTACGGAGAGTTCTTGGCAGTGCATTAGAAACATCAACATCATATGTCTGACGTCATAGGGTCAAAAGCCACTCATGACCCCTGACATGACCTTCCACAACAACTGGCCAGATCTTCATGTTGTGCAGGTCATCGAAAGTATAAAAAAACAAAACGAAATTTAGATCTGTATTTTAATCCGATTGTTTGCAAGGGATTCAAAATCATTCAAATAAGGATCAAAGACTTTAAATAATTGTAATTCATAATTTATTTTAACTTTTGTTTTAAAAGAAACTCAGCTTGGGTAATTCTGTGGATCTGTATGTCACCAGTAAAATCTGAACGTTGAAACATGTTTTTTTTTTTATTGTAATATTTATTAAACTGTTTTGTTTACACGAAGCACAATTCACTGAGAATAACGGCAATTCCAAGTCCAAGCTTTTCTACAGCTCTTTCTGGCAATAATAATAATAATAATTACAACAAAAGGTCTCGCCACTTGACCCCTTTAAAGTTCACAGTTGTGGCAGTAGTTTTATATATTTTACACTATATGTACACAAGTTGTCCATCAATTGGATAATTACACATGACGTCACTTTCAAGTTTTATCTACATGTATACAAATCTTGAATTCCTGAAAATAAAAAGAAGAAAAACAACATTAGACAACCAGGTAAAAAATATAAACACTGATCTATCAGAGAGAGAGAGAGAGAGAGAGCGGCAAACCGCGGCAGATTCTGTTACTCTACATCTAGCCTCAGCTGTATGACGGTAAGTGATATGTACCTACGTCTATATAATTGTGATGCAGCACCAGTTTGCTTATTAGGAAAACTTGCCGCTTTTAAAAAGAAGTTATCAAAATTGCGTCGTTTGAAGCGTGTTTAGAATTTTCAGATAAAGAAAATCAGATAAACTTGAAAGAAAAACAGCGTCAGACTTCGAAACATTTGTATGATAAAACATTCTTCAAAGGTGTCGTCATGGGCAATGCCGCTGGTAATTCGGGAACTGGAAATAGTTCCAATGGCGGACTTCGTCATACAGCCGAGGCTAGATGTAGGGTACTCGAATCTGCTGAGGTTTGCCGAGTGCTTTAGGTTACAACATCTGTCCTTGTGTCAAGTGGTGTGGTTTTGATTCCCAGTTTGTTCATGAAATGATGTAGGGTTGCCTGTCCAACCTCATGGGCTTTCTTCGGGTCTTCCGGTTTTCTCCCACAGCTAAAGACCCCTAGTACAAGCAAATTATTGAAATAATATTGAACCATGTTAGTCCCAAAATGATCTAGTCTGTCAATTTTTCTCTATATATTTCTTGATAATTTATTTCAAAGGTCAGAACAGAGGCTTCCAAAATAAAACTTCTCACTAAGAAGGTACAACCTACCTTTAATTAGCCCCAACCAGGTGATTCTGGAGGTAAAGTTACATAAGTTAAACCTTGTGTTACTCTGTAAAATAAACAAGTTTTATATTTAGTTACAAGTTAGTTGTTTGTACAGTTTATAGTCATTGAACAGTTTATATCGGTTTATATTACCTGTCATTGACTTGTAACATGCCTGAACAGTTTATATTACCTGTCATTGACTTGTAACATGATTGAACAGTGTATAATCATTGACTTGTCACATGTGTGCATACTTTATATACTAGTCATTGACTAGTTATATCCTAGTTATTGACTTGTAACATGTCTGTACAGTTTATATACCAGTCATTGACTTGTAACATCTCTGTACGAAATGAAATGAAATGGGGTTTAACGTCCTACTGTTCTGCTCCTAAACTGGGTTAAACTGGCATAAGCCATACAGTGTGCTATGAGGGAAATTTTGCCCGGGCAGCGGCACTACGACCTACTCTTATATCGAATTCCAACTGCCAAGGGATCTTTTACGTGCACGCCAATGTGTACACTGGACCTCGTTTTTGTCCCATCCGAACGACTAGACAGCTGTCCTTGTCATGCCCTCCATCCTGCATCACTGACAAGAGGGAAACCACGCCGGAAAATCCGATTGAACTTTCTCGGCCAATGCAGGGATCGAACACCCGACCTCCAGTCTAGCGAGCCAGCATCTTACCCACTTAGCCACGTGATCCCCCAACATCTCCTAGTCAATGACTTGTAACATGCCTGTACAGTTTTTATACTAGTCTCGTTAGTTTTTGTTATTTAGAGGGGGTGGGGGGGGCTTGGGAGTACAAAAAAAAGAAAAAAGCAGTCAATGTTTTTATTTTATAGATAATGTCAAGTCAGTATCAAGATAGATAAACCGATTCGGTGTTCAACTGTTGACACAGGTACTAAAATTAGTAATCAAGCTAAACTTTTCTTAGTAAATATAGATAGATAGTTTGAATTAAAAATAATATTGACTTACTGAGCACCTGGTATCTGGTATGTCGGCTGATTTCTAAAATTTATAAAATATAAACATCATTATCATCAATAAGCTAAAAACTGATGATCATTTTTGGACAAAATCTAATTATTAAACTACACTTTTTGTCATTCAGAACATTTGAGGGGACATGATCTCTTTAATTAGGCAGAAATTGAAACTGTTCATGAATTTATGGTTTATAACCACAAGTTAAATATGCTCCTTTAAAGATATACATTTTTGAGATTAATTGGGTCAGTTATTGGACTCCCAAAATTTGTTCTGATCTGAGAGTATGATATCAAATTTGTAGATTGTCAAAAACTATTTCTTAAAAGGTATACTGTTCTTGGTAATAAATATATTTTCCCGGATACTTTGACATATTTTTTCCCCTTGTCAGATGTGCAGGACAGAGGGCCTGACAAGGACAGTGGTCTGGTCAATTGGATGATACGACAAACCAAGGTCTCGTGTACAAATTGGCGTACACCTAAAAGATCCATTGGCAGTTGGAATTAGGGTCGGCTGTAGTGACGCTGCCTGGGCCAATTTTCACTCATAGTACACTGTATGGCTTATGCCTGTCTTCATTAGCCCAGTCGGAGCAGAAAAGTAGGATGCTAAACCCCCTTGTTGATTAAAAAAAAAAGAATAAAGAACTTACTTTGCCTTGGCATGTGTTAGTATATGGGACTTGAGATTTGTTGACTGTGCAAATTTTTTATTACAACCATCAAAAGGACAAACATAAGGCCGATCTCCTGTGTGTATTCTGACGTGTGTCCGTAAATTAAAATCCAGTGAAAACCTCTTCCCACATCCTTCAAACGTACACTGGAATAAATAACATATAATACATGAATAATTGTTGTAATTGTCACTTCAAATAAACAGCACTTTCACGAGAGGTAGATAAATGGAGTTATCTCCTATAGACTGTCAACCAATGAATCAGAGATTACAACAGGGATACTCGATATAACATTCCCCAAAACAGCGACAATCGAGTGAAAGTGGGTAATTTTGGGCTACAACAAATGTGCCCGACTTCATAAGAAATTATCTCAATCAACAGTGGCAGCTGATACACAATCATTTTGTTTAATTTACGTAACCCAATGGCCATTTTGTTGATGAGGGAAATTCTAGACTGGCAATCGAGCTGCCCAAATAACAACAGCCATACATTAGTCAATATAGACTATAAGACGAAGGATTGACTTCCGTGGAAAACAAGTACTCCTTGAAAAAAGACAGTTTCGGTGAGTTGCTGAAAGATCTAACCTATATTAACGTGAAAGATCTAGTCTAGACATTAATTATACTAACTTGAAAGATCTACATGTAAGCTATATTATAATTGTACTAATTTGAAAGATCTAACCCAGACATATAATTGTACTTACTTGAAAGATCTAACCCAGACATATTATAATTGTACTTACTTGAAAGATCTAACCCAGGCATATTATAATTGTACTTACTTGAAAGATCTAACCCAGGCATATTATAATTGTACTGATATGAAAGAGAGAGAGAGAAATGGGGTTTAACGTCCACTCGACACAAACTAGGTCATTTCGGGACTAACATATGGTTTGATTTTATTTCAATAATTCGCTTGCGCGAAGGGGTCTTTAGCAGTGGGAGGAAACCGGAGGACCCGGAGAAAACCCACGAGGTTGGACAGGCGACCCTACTCCTTGCCACGTACAACCGGAGTTTCGAAACCACGCCAGTCGACTCAATGACAGACTTTATGATACAGCGCGCGCACGCTTACCATTCAGCCATCCAACCCCCCGTACTGATATGAAAGAAGTACATGTAAGTCTGACGTATTATAATTGTACTGATATGAAAGAACTACATGTAAGTCTGACGTATTATAATTGTACTAACTACATGTAAGTCTGACGTATTATAATTGTACTAACTACATGTAAGTCTGACGTATTATAATTGTACTAACTACATGTAAGTCTGACGTATTATAATTGTACTAACTACATGTAAGTCTGACGTATTATAATTGTACTAACTACATGTAAGTAACTACATGTAAGTCTGACGTATTATAATTGTACTAACTACATGTAAGTCTGACGTATTATAATTGTACTAACTACATGTAAGTCTGACGTATTATAATTGTACTAACTACATGTAAGTCTGACGTATTATAATTGTACTAACTTGAAATGGTTTTTCTCCTGTGTGTACCAACTGATGTCGTTTTAACTTTGAACTTTCAACAAAGGCTTTACCACACTCTGCACATACATGAACTCGAGGACCGTGAGTATGTAAATGTTTTCTCATTGCAGAGTTATCTCTGAACATTTTATTACAACCCTGAAATAAATTAATAACATCAATATAGTAACAACAATATCAAATAAATACATCAATATAGTAACAACAATCAAATAAATACCATAAAAACATATTTATATTGTATATAATACAATCACTGGTTTATGATAGATAACCTGGAGGGTTACTCCATGATGACCATGAAAGTTTGTAGTGATTTTCCAGTGTGGTTTCCCCATGTCAGTGGTACAGGGCAGAGAACCTGTCAAGGGGGCCTGTGTAAAAGAACCCTTGACAGTGGGAATTTGATGTACAAAATTTCCCTCATATAGCACACAATGGTGTATGCCCATCTTCATTAGCCCGGTCAGTGCAGAACAGTAGGACATTAAATCCCATTTCATTTCTCGTTTCTTTAGCACACAGTTCAATCTTTATATCATTACAGTTTTTGTGCCCTAGGTTTTGCTAAGCTGGCTGACTTACATCATTTAACATAGTTCCCATACATTTTTATATCCATACCTTCTAAGGGCAAGGTGATGATCTTAGCATACATGTATAATTTCTTTCACAATCGTTTAATATCAAATCTCTGTTTAAAAATTCGTTAAAAATGTTTAAAACACCATAAATCGTTTAATTTGTACTTGTAGTCCAGTTTAAAGCTGACCATTCAATTTTGATAATGAGTGTCCAATTTAAACAATTTTAACAAATTTTTAAACAGAGATTTGATATTAAACGAATGTGAAAGAAATTAGTGCTAGATACACAAGATTAAATGATACCTGGGTAACAGTGTAGTGTGTTGTGTTTTGTAATGTATAATACATACCTTATGTGGACAAGGAACTGTTCTAGGTACATCATCTGTAGCCTTCTTAGGTTTAATACTGAAATAACATCAAAAAATACAAATCATTCAAAAAATAAACTCGTCTACACGAACTTCATGTCTGACAACTCGAGGAACAAAATTAATGACTATACTATTCCCTTTCATCCATGCAATGTAGCCTACGTCCTCATGATAAACTAATTTAATTAAAACTAATTTAATTAGCTCATAAACTCGTCTACACGAACTTCGTGCTTGACAACTTGAGGAACAAATTTATGACTATACTATTCCCTTTCATCCAGGCAATGTAGCCTACGTCCTCATGATAAACTAATTTAATTAGCTCAATTATCTAAAGAGATAACAAAATGGATGTCATAGCCAGTTGGCTGAAAATGTGACTAATCTCTCCTACATTATACAGTACAGCTCACTTTGCTCGAGCTTGTCATTATTTTCACATTACAAAATTTCAAGAGAGATGAAAATTTCTGCCTATTTAAAAATCAAATCATATGTTCATCCGTTATCTGAATATACATGGATTATATAATATAGACATCAACAAGGTGTGAAACCTTTAACGGTGGGACAGGGGCAACTTTCACACTTTTACTAATTACAGCTTGTTTATTGGATATACTGTTAATTAATTTTACAAAAGAAAAATACACAAGCTGACACGTTTTTAATTATTAGGAACTAAATATCATTAGTCTAGCTGTTCAGTAACTAACCCTTATTATTTAAATATTTTAGCTGCTCATAAACTAAATCTTATTCTTTTAGCTATTTGTAGTATAAATAAATGTCATTCATTATTTAAATATTTAACTGCTTAGGGACTAAATATCATTAATTAAATATTTTAACTGCTTAGGAACTAAATATTATTATTTTAGCTGTTCAGTAACTAAATCTTACGATTTAAATATTTTAGCTGCTTAAAAACTAAACTTTTAACTTAGCTGCTTAGTAGTATACATGTAACTAAATATATCATTCATTAACTGCTTAGTAAATAAATCTCATTATTTTAGCTATTCAATAACTAAATCTTATGATTTAAATATTCTACAATGTAGCTACTTAGTAATTAAATCTCATTCTTTTAACTCCTTTGCAACTAAATCTCATTAGTTAAGTTTCTTAGTAACTAAGTCCTTTTTTATTTAGTTTCAGTTTCAACCTGTGACTGAAGGAAAAAGCATTGAATTTCATTAAAAAATTCATGCTTTTATTGGTTGTGATTAAAAACAATATATTTTCCTTTTTACAATTTCAAATGATCCTACCTGTAGTCCAAAATGTTTTAAAGTAATTCGAAAACTAAACAACTAACTTTTTGGGGAGTTACATGTATATAAAAAGACTAGAAAATTCAACCCTGGTAATGTGACAAGTTTTAAAATATATAATCTCTGAAATCTCACATCAACCTCCCCTCAACCCCACCCCCTCCCTTCAACACTTCAGTTAAGAAAAAAGATAAATAAAATACCTGTGATGATGACAAGCAGCAGATGAAAAGATGATATCATAAAAGTCAAACAGGTTTTATTTACATGCAATAAACAAGTTTGGGGTTGTAGGGGGAGGGGATTCCTTTCACAAATATATCAAATTCCAACTGCCAAGGGATCTTTAGTGTGCACGCCAATATCTAAACGGGACCTTGGTTTTTCGTACCATCTGATTGACTATACATATCCCTTGCAAGGCCCTTGGTCTTACACCACCGACAAGGAGGAGCCATGCCGGAAAATCTTGATAAACTTTCTCTGTCTACACAGGGATCGAACATGTGACCTCCCAGTTAGCGAGCCAACGTCTTACCCACTGAGGCGCCTTCCATCCAAAGGACTAGACATATTTTACGTGCTAGGCCAGTTCATATCTTTAACACACGTCCCTGTTTATTGATCCAATAAAAACTCTATGACTTTTATTTTGGTTTTAAAAATGAGATGACAGAAAAGTAAATTACTCATACGATTCTCGGGTCAACTGAAATTCTTGCCCAACTTGGTCAGTTACATACGATGTGAGGTAACTTCCACCTGGAGACCTGAAAATAAAATTAATAGTCAGTACACGAAAACAGCCACTTAAATTTAAAAACTTATTTAAATTGTCATCTAATCTTAAACCAATTTTAACTGACTAGGAACTGAAATGGGGTTTAACGTCCTACTGTTCTGCTCCAACTGGGCTAATGAACAAACAGTATGCAATGAGAGAAATTTTGCCCAGGCAGCGACACTATGGCCTACTCTTATTAGGGGTTTCAGGTCGAAGTTTCAAATGACAGAAAAAAAAATTTTTAAAATATTTTGTGAAAATATACATAAAATGCTACACAAATTTTTTTATTTCATCAAAATATTCTAATTAGATCCAAAGTTATGGAATTTTAAAATCCGAGATCGACGTCAATAATGTAATCATAATGCTCTATACCAGTCAATGCGGTATTTTCCCTTCAGAATCGCTAGTACCAATTTTAAAACTGAAATCTGCACGTTATTGTCAGCTAAAATTCATTAAAATCATAATAATTTGAATGATAATATGTCAAATATTTATAATCTGGATGATACCTCAAGAAAGTTTTTTTATATTTAGTCGAAATTTGGCAATTTTCAGTCATCAAAACAGATAAATCCCATTTTCTACGGGTCTACTTGTCCGATCACGAGGTATCAACAACCATAATAACCACAAAAATTTTACCTATCGTTTGATTGGTTCTCTATCAAAATCCCCCGGTAACTAAGGTGCGGATTCACCAATGAAGTGAGTCGTAGCAATGGAAAATCTCCGGCCGCGTGACGTCAGAGCAGTATTTTCCCGCGAGCGTCTCATGTAAACAAACGGTAATTTCGCTTACATTTCGATAATTTTTTAGCCTGAATCTTTGCAGATATTGAGATTGATATTAAACTATTGTAATACAATTGCTAGTAATGCATTTACATAAAATAGTAATTCAGAATCGTAGATTGAAGTGGGCTATATTTCAGCCGCTGGCTGTCCGATTTCACGCTAAAGTCAAGTGACCTGAAACCCCTACTCTTATATCGAATTCCAACTGCCAAGGGATCTTTTACATGCATGCCAATGTTTTTCGTGCTATCCAACTAGACAGCTGTCCTTGTCAAGCCCTCTGTCCTGCACAACTGACAAAGGGAAACCATGTCAGACAATCCTGATGAAATTTCTCAGCCAATGCAGGGATCGAACACGCGACCTCCAGAATAGCGGGCCAGCGTCTTACCCTAAACCGACTAGGGTGCGTTCACGTCCATGTTAATGTCTACCTGTATTTTTCTTCCCATCTGGGAGCCACGGCGGCTAGGTGGTTAAGACGCTGGCTCGCTAGCCTGGAGGTCGGGTGTTGGATCCCTGCATTGGCCGAGAAAGTTCATCCTGATTTTCCAATGTGGTTTCCCCTTGTCAGTGGTGCAGAATGGAGGGCCTGACAAGGACAGCTGTCTAGTCCTTCGGAGGAGACGAAAAACCGAGGTCCTGTGTATACATTAGAATGCATGTAAAAGATCCCTTGGCAGTTGGAATTCGATATAAGAGTAGGCGATAGTGCCGCTGCCTGGGCAAAATTCCCCTCATAGCACACAGTATGGCGTATGCCCGTCTTCATTAGCCCAGTATAGGAGCAGAACAGTAGGACGTTAAACCCCATTTCATTTCTTCCCATCTGAACAACTAGGCACACATCAGCCCTTAAAAAATCCTGAGGGTCTAAATTAAGGTTACATCGAAGTGTATTTTTTGCAGTAAATGAAAATTCTCTATTGGACGTTGTAGGGTCTAATCTATTTAGTATCGGTAACTCATTTATCAGCAGATCATGGGAAGAGTGATGAACGGAAAATAATGCCCACAAAAACATTGAATAAATTCAATATAATGATCATATCTATGTTCAAGCATTTACCGTGCAAATTCTGCAAGTGTTTTTGGATCACTTAAATCAAGACCAGGAATACCACCAGGAGGTAATTTTTTGCCGGTCATATATTCGGTAAAATCGGCATCTGTATCGGTTGATGATACTGTCTCTTCATCCAACTTGTGATCATCTGAAAATATTTTTAAATAAAATAATTTAACATTCAAACTTTTATATATAGATGTATGATAACTACACTGTATATCTAATGCCTGTAGGTTTCTGGGGAAATTTTCAAGTCTGGAAGTAAGGCATCTATCACAGACAATGTCAGCCACAGATTCAGGCTTTGTCAGGCACAAAACTTCTGGTGCCTGTCATTTTGTCCGGCACTGATTTGTCTTTTTTATTTATATTATTAATACATGTCCGGCACTAAGTTGAAAATGTCAGGTACTATTTTATTAGTGCCTGACATTTTGTCAGGTACGTCTGAAACCGTTATTTCCAGGCCTGGAAATTTTATACATAGGCCTACATGTACGATAACTATATCTAATGACTGCATGTTTCTGGAAAAACATTTCAGGACTCATCAGGGGAAGCAACTCTGTCATAAAAGAGGGTAATGAAATACAGGTGAAAGATAGCTACCTTACAATTAGTTAAGGAGGAAAACTTGATTTATTTGGGACAATTTAGGTCAAAATAAAAGTAATGAAATGTGTTGATATCATTGGTTAATCTGAGTTAATTTTGCTCTATTCTTGGCTTAAAATGTAAACACACAGTTGGTTATAAATGATCTCAATATCGGTTTAAGCAAGTTGTCTGGTAGCATGATCTACCCAAATCCACCATGATTTCACATAATATCATAATAATTCATATGTACCCTTCTATATGCTATAATTGTCATTTGATTGATAGTAATAGTAGAAATAATGGTAGATTTGGTTACTGCCTCCAAACTTGCTTGGAAATCGCATTTAAGGGGCATCTTGACACAAAAACGTTATAAAAATTTTAAAGGAGCTAAATCGCTAACATTTGGGACCTAGAAATTGACACAAGTGGGTCGCAACTCATATAATACTGTAATATGAATGTATATAAACTGATATACATTCAATGGTTTCCGTTTTTACTCTACTTTCAAATCAGTAATGTTCAGCAAAATAAGCCAGCAGTCTCAATCGAATGCAAATTTCTAGCGTCTGGTTATTCCAGTCTACATACGCCGTTCGGTTTGGTGCAATATGTCTAGCCTCGTTCCTCGAGTCTCTTGCTAGAACTGGGGCTGAAACGCAAAATAAGCTAGCAGTCTCAATCGAATGCAAATTTCTAGCGTCTGGTTATTCCAGTCTACATACGCCGTTCGGTTTGGTGCAATATGTCTAGCCTCGTTCCTCGAGTCTCTTGCTAGAACTGGGGCTGAAACGCATTATGGTACACGATTCGTGTACCAATGGTAAAATGTTTATTTTGTCTTAAATATTGGATATCAGAAGCCCACCTTTTTCCGGTAAGATCACAGCATCAATGTTGATATAAATTGACAAATAATTTGTGTTTTCAATGTTGAAGATTTTTGATGATATTGAATTAGAGACTTACTGTGTGAACCATCGTAAATTTTAAACGCATTTCTTCGATTATGAAAAAACTACTTAAATTTCGTTTTTATTAACTTACCCGTGTGTTTGAAATCAACTCCCGTCCAATAAAATCCATTGCACAACTAAATATCCCAACTTATAAAAAAGTTCTCTCTTGACAAATTTGACTATTTACTTGTATTTTCGACTGAGTAGACGACAACAATGATTTCGTTACGTGTTGGGCGATCCCATTGAGGGGGTGGTTTAATTTTGACAGATAGTTTGATAACCACGTGTTGCAATGAAAACATTACGATCGTTTGAGTTTGGGCGACGGAAAATATCAACTGAAGATTTTTATTGAAACCATGGACCGTATATATAATCCCGTTGGTTGGATTCTTTGCCGCTCGCTCGAGACATGACGAGATCTCAATTCTCAACGGCAAATCAAGCGATGTGATATTTGAAATAGCTGGATTTTATACAGATTAATTTCTCGAACTTACAGTATTCTTATAGTGACATGGTAATTTTTCAACCCAATAAGTATTCCTATCCGGTAGTGACCAATTTCTCCAGTTTAGAACTTTGAAATAAGCCAAAGGCAGCAGTTGGAAATTGTGGAATGATCGATTTCAATATTTTCGTAGTTTTTGTAAGCATTTTGGTGTTGCTAAATACTCCAAATTCTCGCATGGACGAAGGATTTTAAAATTACGAAAATAAAGTTAAGGAATAATACTTTCCGGAATGATAATTAATTATGCAGAAGTGAAAATTAAAAGAATGTTTTAGTAGGTTTGTTTTTAACGAAAACTCGACATGTTTTTTTTCGCATGGGGGCGTCCGAAATAAACAAAGACGATGTGTTGATACATTTACTATCTATGTATGGGTGGCAAAGAAAAACAGAGTAGCAAGATTAATAAAAAATATTATGAATTGATTTATGTTTCTTTGCTTTTAAACTTACTGGTAAGTGCGCGAGGGGAGGTAATTTTATTTTAGTCACGATTGTCCGGTCTATTTTTTGTTGCGGCACAGAATTCTAAAGGCTTCATGGACGTTTCCTGTGTATCTACTAGAATGTAAAAGACGGCAACAAAATAAAAGAATACGGAGAGTTCTGTGTGTGAACGCCCAAACTCAATGCCGAGCCGAGATTTGTACTATAGCTTTTTCTTAAACCAAACTTGAATTGTCGTAAAAGTGCCGATTTGCTCTGCTGTCACCCCTTATATGAAATGATATCTCCCGGAGAGTGACGTAATCAGCTTACCAAATTGTCATCTAAAAAAACAAATCAATGCACAAAAGGCAACCAAAATCAAATGACAATTTGACAATTTTGTTTTTGAGCAAAGACAAAGAGAGAGCATTGTTTTGATAGGGTATATACCGTAGGCTACACTGTAACACTATAATAACTAGCACTACTAGTAACAAACATATTTCAGATGAGCAAGATTGTAAAATTTTCATATTTTTTTCTTGAAAATAATTCAACAAATGTCTAAAATTGCAAATAAGAAAATAAAACTATATTGATTTCTCGTCACTGATTTGATATCTAAAATTATACTTTATTGGGGAAAAAAAATGGAAATAGTGGAAAGGAAGCAAGATGAATAGGCCCACTTTCTCTCAAGTTCAAAAGTTATAGTCTAATCACATTATGTTTACTGGCAAAGTGAGTTTCAATGATATATTAGCATGTTTATGAATGTATTCATTACAGAATTGCACCTTACCCACTCGTTCCGACGACAAGCTTCTGAGTCTGAACTTGACGTTTTTACGGCGAAATTTGAATGCTCGGTAAAAACTAGCAGTAAACCTATCCCCAGTCCATGAAATAAGAAATGCAGTGCAATAACAAATATATACGTCCCATGGAAAAGGCCACAGCAAAACTTGGCTCCGATACAACAAGGCACGCCATTCATCAATAAGATCTACGTCACTCGCTGGTCGTTTTCCTGCTGAACAAAAGGCGTCATTTCAGCTAATGACCAAGGTGAACTCAAGGTCGTTTGTAAAAATATAAATTATAAGAAAATACACATTTATTGAGTTCCAAACGGTGGCTTGATCGTTAGAGATTTACATACTCTTTATTTTAAACGTATATTCTGTACACAAGATGCTCTCAAACATGAAAGAATAAATTTCGAATTTCAGAGCTCCTTCAGCCCTACTAACCAAAGATGGCGGCTGGTCGCCATTGCTAAACCACCGCCATTTTCCAACATAATATGGCGGCGCCCATGAAATCATGATGGCGGACAGAAATATCAAAACAAAGTAAGAAAAGCGTATTATTTCGCATCTTACAATCAATAAAAGTTATTTTACATCTAGTATATGGTAAAATATGTCGAAAGCGATGCCCGCCAATCGTTGGCTTACGTCACACTTTCTTCTTGACCCTTTTCTACCTACTTTTCCAAATTTGACCGATTCTTCGCTGTTTTCACTAAATATTTCGATATAAACATGACGGACTGACATAAAACACATGTCACACAATAAAACAAACCGTATTCTACACAATTCGTCTTACCCGAAGCCCACATTGTCACAGAGAATTCTCCTTCTAATGTTTTTATCTGCACCTGTTTTTGTTCCCATTTTTTAGTCGATGACGGATCCCCTAATGTCAAGTCGTTATGGCCCAACCCTGACAAAGTTGCATTAATAAGTCCTCTAGCTTTAGCTCCTTTCTTTTTGCCACCCTTTCCTTTTCGTGGAAGAATAGAATCCTCGGTGCTTATTTCAATTTCAGGTGCAGGAACCTGGATACTGTCATACACGAGGTTCGGATCGCCGACAACTTCTTCTCGAGTTTGTAAAATTATTTCCTCGTGCGCGGATTCAGGCAACGGTTGTAAAGCTATCATGGGTTGAACCGAAACTGTGTCGTCTGATGTCTCCACTGTCTCTATTGGCATTTCTACCGGAATGGCTTCAACTTCTATTTCTTGAATTTCAACTTCTGAACCGATGACTGACGCCATCTTTGTTTCTTCCGACAATGAATGGCGGGTATAGCTAGCATACGACAACTGGATCACGTGATAACATAGGGTTTAGCAAAATGGCGATCTTCTGAATAATGAGCTCATGAATATTGATCTAGGTCATGGCACACTGTCTGGTTTAAAGTCAACTTACGAGGTGCTTAACAGTCACACGCGGTATTTCAGCTCATGAGAGACTGATATCGTTGGATCGGGTAGAGGTTAAAGTTTCACTTAGACATACGTTTTCTGACAGAACGTGTGTGTGGTGCTTGTCGTTGTTAGTTTTAGTAGATCTACATAGTTTTACTGTTGTCAGGAAAGGTTCTTTTCTTTTATTTTTCGGCGAGATTCTTTTTCGTTCAACAAAATGGGAGCGACTGTCTCAAGAACAGACTTCGAATGGTCTTACACTGACGAGCCTCATGCGACAAGAAGGAAAGAAATATTGGGTAAGTTTCGTTAAATGTACGTCTTCATATAATATAAATCATCCCTGCGTAGCCTATCTATCGACTAAACATTCTCGAAAAGAAAATAAAAAAAATACGGCATCGTAAGAAGATAACACACACTATAAGTATAACACTAGTCACTAGACACAGCCACGAGAGTGATTCATTCAATCAATCATTGCATTGGCGAAAAAAAAAAGTCGGAACAGGATTAGCTAGGTCAGGATGAATTGCTTTGTATACTTTTGCCTAGATTTTGGACAAATAATCATATTTTCTTCATCCTTAAAGAACTGTGCTATATTCTTGGCACAAGCAGCCTACGCAAAATAGAGGACTTTTTGTACTAAAAAATTTAATGTCAATCCAATGATACTGGATAGGACTCCCAACTTAATTTCATTTCATTTACTCAGTTGTGTTTAATTATTTACCTATGGTAATAATAAACAGACATTACATTAAAATAGTCCATTATTTTTTATGCTTTTGAAATCATGTAGCAGATTTATTTTTAATGAATGACACATATTAAAAATGGCTTGTATTTGAGTTGACATTGAAATTATATAAATGATAACCTTGCATGACAGGTCACAGGTACACCAGTGACCATAGACTGATACAGAGTACACCAGTGTTTATTCTGTGAAATGATTATGTCGATATCTTTATAATTCAAATTAATAATATTTATACCCTACGGGTTTTGTACCTAATAAATTTTTTTTACTGTTAGTGTTGCATACATGTAAACACCTAATTTTTAGAAAAAGGCCAAGAAAACATAATTTTGAACTATAGAAAACGAAACGACATAGGATCTGTGTTTTAATCAGATTATTCAGATTGAACAGATCCGTGAGCTAGCCTAGACATAACCTTGCACTACAAAGCACTGTACATAGTCCTGGGCCATAAGTGTCATGTAAGCCATGTCTAATATAAGATATATTTTTAGATACAAATGTAGCTAATAAGGCTGGTAAGGGACTATTCGTTCCCAGGTAATTTGCCCTCTGGGACTAATCGTCCCCGGGCAATTTATCCCCTAGGACTATTCGTCCCTGGACAATGTGTCCCCTAGGTCTATCCTGGGATAAATTGTCCTAGAGCTTAATAAGGCATAAGTTGCAGTTCAAATGGAAGTTCAATTATCAGTAATTATTTCAAGGGTGTGAGGTCTTATGTTACGTATTAAATGATCGATCATATTGTAAGTCGGCTAACAGCAGAATAAAAGATATATTTTTTGATTAGACGGGGTTTTTTTTTTATTATAAAGTATTAAGATAAAAGACTAAATTTGCCAATTATATGTCTTTCTTTAGGCCTGAAATGTTATAAAAATCATTAAAAAGACATTTACTAACATGACAAGACCATAATCAACTCTCGATGGCATCGCTAGCCTGCTATATTTTCTGGATTAGAATCTTATCTGCTGCTGATCGCTCATTGATAATTAAATAAAAAAATGGATAATCGAGACATATGTTTTTTATCGTACCGACCTTAGTAATGATGATTGAGGCTAGACCTAAAATTCAATCGCTAAATATCTAGGTTAAGAGAGGAGTAATTTGAAATTTTCAACATATTCTCTTTACATTATCTATTTATTAACTATTATAGCGATAACTGTCCGCTTTTTTTATCTAATCTCCTATAATGCCCCTTTAACCTTGCAAACTTGATTTTATAAGCCTTAGGCTTCTTGAAAACGAATTTAACAAATAACACTAAATTAATTTTGCAATACAATAACACTTTATTACACTTTGACACTTTTCAAGGCATCCACAGTGATTCGTGAGGGTTATTCAATCATAGTCCTTCTAGTAGCCTGATATCAATACCCTGTCCTTGAAACGACAACAGGGTACGCAGTGTTCTCGTATGCCCACCGTCAAATCATGCAGGTATTTTAAAAATATTACATGTATCTGATACAGGTTATTTGTACGGTAATGGATTATATAAGTTTTTTTAACAGTACTATGGAGAGGTTATATTTTCAAGGAATAGAGATAACGATGACAGGTTATTAGCACGAATTATCATAAATCAACACTTTGATATCTGATATTATAGATAGAAATAGATAAATTTAACCCATATATAAATAGATATGTCAGAGTGTAAATGTAGATTCTATTTCACTTCAGAACATTACAATGCCCAATCAACAATATATGTGAACAGATACATGTATATGTACATCCTAGCAACTTGTCAAAACAAATTTATTTATCCTAGCAACTTGGGAATTTTATAAATATTAATGATGAGATTTTTTTTTGTAGAGACATTTTCCACAAGGTGTTCTCAAAGTCACTTAAAAATAAACAAATGATAAAAATATATGTATGTAAATGTAATCTAGTTCAAATCTTGAGTATCTGATGCCATGGTCTTGTTTTGTTAATAAATGTCTAATTAATAATAATAGTTTCTATAATAACATTTCAGGCCTAATAAAAGACCTGCAATAGGCAGATTTAGCTCTTGCATAATGTATGTTTAACAGTATACTAACTGTTGAATATGTGTACGTACATGTATAGATATTTAATTTAGAAATTCTAACCAGAGCTTAAACTGTCAAGTTTTCTAAACTAATTTGCATATTTAACACTTACTATGATTAAACTTAATCACTGATTAATGACCAGGAATTAGTCTGTCTTGTATAGAATTAGATGTGGTCATCATATTAATTTTTGAATGTTCAAATTTCTAAATTAATTTGCATATTTAACACTTAGCATGATCAAACTTAATCACTGATTAATGACCAGCAAATTAGTCTGACTTGTTTAGACTTATTGTTGCCTTAAGGAATTTAAGGTGCTCTGTTGCTGTGTGACTTTGTGTATTATTAATGACCTAGTGAGAGATGAAACCAGTGTTTAACAGATCTGTGGGTGTAGTTTATAGGATATCAACTGTTATATATTATTAATGAGATTAGAGATTTAAAAACAAATCAATGCTTGACTAATTACCTGTTAGTTGGGTATAATAAACATGCTAGTTCCCATGGCTATTATATTAAACATATTAATTATAATCCCATACTATTTATAATTGGCTTAACATGATACTAATAGAAATACTAGAGTTGTGAGGCAACAGACATATCAAATATTGTGATTATTAACTATAGTTAATATCAAATTTAGTGGACATTATAAACTATAGTAAACTATATATAATTAATATCAAATTTAGTGGACATATTATATACATACATAATACTAATACTAGGGTTGTACCGGTACATCAAATTAATATCAAATAAGTGTCCACATTAAAATTTGTTTTTTTTCCAATTTTAAATGCATTATTATATACAAATGCCATTCAAATATTTAATTCAATTGATTTTATAACGAATAATATTCAAATATTTAATTCACTTGAGATGAGAAAATTTGGAAATATTGATGTGTCAAAGGTGATTTGTGATGCATATCTGGACCTGATTATAACATTCAATTTCATCAGCTATACATCACCCTAACAAAAAAAAAAAAGCTCAAATATACACATTTCATAGAATAAGAAATAGATTTATAAGTGGATTTTTTATACTGTTATATGAAGGAGGGGGGAGGGGAAGGCCACTGAGCACTACTACAGTTCCCAACATGCAAGCGTATTATCTATTTTGTACCTTATTAGCAATCTGTTTCACAGTAGAAATTGGTTGACCTTCAAATTGAAGTGCATAATAGGGTTACGTCATCATACGACTTCAAATCAATAGAACGTGCACCAACAGTGACAGTAATAATACCTTGAAAATGAATGTGCACATTTTTAATACAGTCTATAAATTTATACATTTATCCAAAAGACTCGTAAAAACATCATACAAACAAAGCAAGCGTATTAATAAATGGTAAGGCAATGTAAGTGATACAAACTATTAAATTACTTATATGGACAATTAATAGTAAATAAAATAGAAAATACCATACTGTTAAATGTATTTTGTATGTGAAGTGTATATATTACTATTAAATAAGGAGACGAATTAAAGATACATTATGGGAAATTCGATAACGAATTGGCAGTTCTCACTATAATAATTAAAAACTAGATAACGTAAAGGCAATTTGCTGAAAATTTCATTCAAATTGATCCACTATGAACCGAGAAGTAAGCAAATGAAATTTCTGCCTAGCCTCGGTCATCATTACTAAAGTCAGTAAGATAAACAGCATAGTCTCGATTATCCATTTAATCGTTTAATCGAGAAGGAAACGTATGCAGTAAATCGGCTCACAATCCACTTAAGATCGCAGACTAGCAATGCCATCTAGAGTTGATTATGGTCTGGATAAGTTAATTAATGTCTAAGTCAGGGATCGAATTTGACGGACGCAAACACGCAAAATGCGTGTTCATTTTGTAGACTGCGTGTTACAAAATATGTCACACGAAAAAAAATTGGTTGTAACATTTTTTCGTTTATTGTTACTGCATAATATGATTATTCAATAAAAACAATATACACACATATCATAATTGACCTTTTTTAGTGTTCGACCATCTGTCCTTTCATTATTGTATGTGAAGTGTACATAATATGATTATTCAATAAAAACAATATACACACATATCATAATTGCCCTTTTTTAGTGTTCGACCATCTGTCCTTTCATTTTGTATGTGAAGTGTACATATTACTATTAAATAAGGAGACGAATTAAAGATACATTATGGGAGATTCGATAACGTAAAGGCAATTTGCTGAAAATTTCATTCAAATTGATCCACTATGAACCGAGAAGTAAGCAAATGAAATTTCTGCCTAGCCTCGGTCATCATTACTAAAGTCAGTAAGATAAACAGCATAGTCTCGATTATCCATTTAATCGTTTAATCGAGAAGGAAATGTATGCAGTAAATCGGCTCACAATCCACTTAAGATCGCAGACTAGCAATGCCATCTAGAGTTGATTATGGTCTGGATAAGTTAATTAATGTCTAAGTCAGGGATCGAATTTGACGGACGCAAACACGCAAAATGCGTGTTGATTTTGTAGGCTGCGTGTTATAAAATATGTCACACGAAAAAAAATGCGTGTAACATTTTTTCGTTTATTGTTACTGCATAATATGATTATTCAATAAAAACAACATACACACATATCATAATTGACCTTTTTTAGTGTTCGACCATCTGTCCTTTCATTATTGTCGTTATATTCCATCAAACAAATTCCGACATCGGTGAAAAATGTACGTTATTGGCAAATGGCTTTCACGCGACACAAACAGTTTTAATAGTAAAAAAACACGTACCGTTTTGATTTTTCTGGATGATATTTAACATAAATATTGAAAAAATGTTTTTCCTTTTGATATTATTTTATTGCTTAATCATGAATAAATACTGTTATAAACTCCAGAGTATTCATTCCACAAGTTGCAAATGCCGATAAGGAGATTTGTTTATGTCACGTGACTTCTCACTAACTTTTCCACCCATTAGCATTATCCCTGTTTCTGTTCAATTTCTATACATCTTGACAAATTGTTTATACTAATACTTTGATTTTCCAAAGGAATCATTGATTTTCAGAATGAAATAGATTTTAATAATGCAGAAATATAAATAATGCCAACATTGCCAACTATATATTTTATTTTGAGAGTTCCGGTAGACTGATTATCATTCAGCGTCGGACGTGTGCGGTCCGTGATCCGAAAAATTGCTATTTGACTAAATCAATGGGCACTTTTTGACATGGTACTTATGTTTTATAGTTAAATTTACTATCCTTGTATTATATAATGCATCTTCAAGAAGGTGTACGCTTGAGTGAGAAAAAAACGAGTTTTCAAGGGTAGCTATAAAAATTAATATGCACGGACGAAAGAACACAAACTTTTTTTTAATGTTTTTTTGTGCCTCCGTCGTATGTAAATATTTTTATTTACATAAATAAAAAAAATGTTTAAAACATCTTTTTTATTATTATAGGACGACAAGTTGAAGAGTTATGTATGTTCACAATATAATTTAGCTATATCATACGACAAATTATTCTAATCTTCAGACTTGGCAACTGAAAATTTTGTTTGGCTAGTGGTTTTGATAATTTACTTATGTTTGCACAAGAAAGTGTAGAGCCTTGATGACATTCATATATATATCATTTAAAATAGTGAAATGAAGAACCCTATTGAATGTCAGCAATTTCTGTCAATTACTTCTAGAGTTATGGCCCTTGTTTTACTTTGTTGAACCTTGTGAACGTTCGAACGACAAAAGTTATCCGATCTGTATGAAATTGATATGCATTATTTAAATTAGTAAAACGAAAAAGCCTGTTGAATTTCAACAATTTCTGTAGATTACTTCCAGAGTTACAGCCCTTGTTTTAGTTTTTAGAACCTTGTGAACCCTCAAACGACGAAAATTATAATGTCATCTGTATGAAATTGTCTATTAAATGCCCCCTAATTACCTACAAAAGAATAAATATACGACAACTCTTGTCGACCGCTCTGACGATTTAGCTGCTGTGGGCATAAGTTTTGTTGCCTGGCAACCTATCTTCATTGATTGTAGCAGCCAGTGAATATTCACTTTTGATCATTTTGTCTTGTCAGTCCTGAAATGATGCCATTTCTCTCTGTACATTATAGAATTTGCATATTTGTTAGCAATAACATTTAAAATGCAAGAATGTTTAATTTAGCAACAACTAACAATGACAAAGTTTATAATCAGATAATTTATGAAATATATCACACGTGTACATTTATCAGATCGCTGGGTCAGAGCAAAAACATCGTAAGTGACAAACTTTACGAAAACTGTTTTTTGATTGTTTTGGAGTTCGAATACATATATCCACCTTTCTTGGGTATGAAAGAATGAATTTATCAATTTTTCTCGGAGATATGGCTATCCCCAAAATGTCGTATCTGACTTGTTTAGGGCAAGAACATGGTAAGTGAGGGAATCTCTCTCTCTGACTATGATGTCATAGCTGATATGACATCATAATTTATGACATCACAGCTACTTTTCCATGGTAACAAATTGGAAGTGATTAAGATAAACAGTTTTTTTGCTTACTTTCCTTCAATCTCAGATGGGGATATTTGTGTATATTGTGCTAATAAAACAGGAGGTGATAAAATATTAAAACCCAAAACCCTATAAAAAAAAAAACTAGGAAATGTGAACATCAGAAAATGTTAATAGAGCCTATTATACGGAAAAAACTAAGTCATTGATTAGTAGGCCTAAGCCTAAAAGAAAACTGATCTGCTAAAACTTGCAGAATATCTACAAAGTGACTGTCGACACTTCTAGAAATGTATTTCCGATGTCTATATAACGATGTTAGCAAGACATGTTAACAATTGCATTAGATTTTTGTATCAATATAGCCTATCTTATTCTTTAGCAGCCTATGATAAAAACTGTATTAGCTCATTCGTAATATTTCTATATTTGCATTAATATATATATATATACATGTAAATGAAAAATATATATATAATGATGATTGGAACATCACTAAAAGTGCCTCCTTACTCCCCAATCACACCATAGGGCCTACTCAATTACCAGTGCTGGTAAAGTAAAACCGAAAGAAAACATACAATGTTTTTGCACTAAACTAATTGAGTGAATATTAAATTTAATTCAGAGCAAAAACATTGTAAGTGATATTTTGGACAGAATGGTTGTAAATAACTGTAATTCCAAAATTGCACTAAAACATTTCAGTTACCGGTACCATTAATATCATAAGTCAACTGTAGAAATGTGAAATGTATTGCAAAAAAATTGGATTTACCAGAAAGGTTTCAACCTTTAAAGTCATTTTTCTCCACAATTAAAAAATGTCACTTACGATGTTTTTGCTCTAACGCAACAAGATGTAATACATGTACATGTAACAGCTGAGTTTGGAGTATTTGCAACTTTTATTGATATTTTTTTCCCTTTATTAACATGACAATACCATAATCAATTAGCCATGTGGCGTGAATTACAGTTTAGTTCAGTATGAGTGAACTGATGCGACGGCTTTGTGTACTAAACGTTGAAAAAAAACAAAAACATAAGTTCGTATTTATAATATCCTAATATACTCTTCAAAAAAAGTAGGGGATATTGAAATGCAAATACCTATGCTGCAGGTTGTGATATGATAAATAGTCATGGACACTTGACATGCTTTGAGAGTATGTTCACAGTTGAATAACTTATTGCCCCAACAGAACCACTGAGCTGCACATGCGGCACGCAATAGCGCCATACATGTGGGAGGGGTTCATTGTCAAATTTGACACTTCTAGGAATGGTTGATGAAAACTGCCGCATGCTGGTTTATCTATCGATGTTTGCTTTCCTATCGGTTCTTGCATAAGATTTACTGTTTCGCGTATCTTTGTTTTAGTGTGTTACGTTTAATTTCATCGAGACGTGTTCGTCAACGTCAACCGACAACACTGCAAGAATTGGGTCAGATTTCTCCAAATCGTGATCGGACGGTTGATTAGGAGCATGCCACGACGAATTGCTGAATGTCTGAGCATTGATGGAGCAATTATTAAGAGAAAAATAAAAAACGTCCATTTTCACTTTTGACGATGTATCTCTTTGCGAGTGAAATGGGGACGTCGGATAAGCCGCCCATATGAACTGTTTATGTCATGTGTAGTCAATTGGCCTGTTATTAACATACACTAGTTACCTCTAATAAAAATAGCAGTGCATTTCCGCAGTTTTGTATTGTTTCTGAATATCCCCTACTTTTTTTGAAGAGTATATATATGATTTTTGGCCAAAGGATGACACGTGAACACACTACAGCAGTAAACTTATGCCAAATTTGTATGCTTACTATAGAGCCCAGTGAGCGTGTTGAACCAACTATGCCACTTCCGGTTTTAATAAAAATTAATTTATCAATTATATATCAATTATAATTTATCAATATATATTTAAGGTTTATGGAAACCTTGTTGAAAATCGTTGGTCTTCACCTTTAATAAATCTAGTGAATGTTATCCATAAAGCTGTCTGTTATTATATATATCGCTTTCACTAAATGCCTTTTAAAAATATTAGACATTTATTAACATGAAAAGACCATAATCAACTCTTGATGCCATCTGATGTGTCGGATTTTCACTTTATTTTAATTCAATTTGCTGCTCAACGCTCATTGATGATTAATTTCAAAAATGGATAATCAAGACTATCTTTTTTATCGCACCAACTTTATTAATGATGATTGAAGCTAGGCATAAAATTCAAAAGCTATAACCTAGGTTCAGAGTGGAGCAATTTGACTGAAATTTTCAACATATTCTATTTATGTTATCTATATTATTTAACTATTATATTTATATCGAACAGTCCAACTCTTAATCTAACGTCCCATAATGCATCTTTTAATATTGTTTTACAGGTAAATATCCAGAGATGAAGAAATTGATGGGAAGTGATCCAAACTTAAAGTATTCTGTTTTATTTTTGGTTTTCATACAGTTTGTATCAATTTATCTGGTTAAAGATGCATCATGGACAAGTTTGTTGATCCTAGCCTATTGTTTCGGTGGAACTATTAATCACTCTCTAAATTTAGCGATTCACGAGATCGCCCATAATCTGGCTTTTGGCCATTCAAAACCTTTAGCCAATCGTGTTCTAGGTATGTTCGCTAATTTACCAATAGGTTTTCCCGTATCTATAACATTTAAGAAATATCATTTAGAGCATCATCGTTACCAAGGAGATGATGAAATGGATGTGGATATTCCATGCCAACTCGAGGCCAAGATTTTCGTTAATACTTTCCTGAAGATTGTGTGGGTGATTTTGCAGCCATTTTTTTATGGAATTCGACCTTTATTTATTCGACCGAAATCTCTGACGGTGTTGGAAGCGGTGAATATACTGATTCAAGTTGTATTCGATGGATTAGTCTTTTATTTCCTGGGGGTGAAATCTCTGGTGTATATGGTCGCAGGATCTTTAATGGCAACCGGAATGCACCCATTGGCTGGACATTTTATATCTGAACATTATATGTTTGTCAAGGGTTATGAAACATATTCCTATTATGGACCTTTAAATTATCTCACCTTTAATGTGGGGTATCACAACGAACATCACGATTTTCCCAGCATTCCTGGATCACGGCTACCAGAGGTGAGGCCATTTTCACTTATTTTGTTTCATTAATAATTTTGTAATATTATAATTAAAGGGAAGGATCATTAGGGACAATATGATGACAGTACAGATGTATATTTCGTGGCCTACACTACATGAAGATATGACCGGTTATAGCTATAGATCCCGTCAAAGGTCATACAAGCAGCTGTTGACCCTATGACGTCAGACATTTGATTAACCGAAGAATCACAACCGATCCTTTTTTTTGTTGAGCACAAGTTATTTTTTTTTTGCCTAAAATAACACCTGACCTGTCAAACAATTACTGACTATAATCGGCCGATTAAGATCTGTTATTATACCAATGACTCAGTCATAAACAGTAATTATTTTCCATTGGCCTCAATAAAAACCTGACCTGTCAAAAACTTACTAACTATAATCGACCGATTAAGATCCCTGGTTTTATACCAATCACTCACTCATAAACAGTATTTATATTCCATTGAATTGTGTTTTGCTTATTATAAAGACCAGAATTTTGTGTCCTATAAGATATAAGCCTATATATGTTTGAAAGAGTTGTAAAGGATACAGTACACAAAAGATACTACGCCTATATCTCTATAGAATGGTAATCCTGTAATGATTTTAATAAGTTACAGGCCCTTTCATTTAATGTCAGTGTTGAATAATAGAATACGTGATCTAAATAATAAATCACCTCCATTAGGGCATATTTAGTATTATACATGTATACACCACGATTAATAATATCGCATTGTAAGGGACTGTTTGCACTATCAATACAGTACATGTTTCAAAAGATCAATGGTAGATAATCTTCTGACTTAAACTTATAATCAGTCCAATTAAAAAGAGAGGCCCATCAAAAGATTTTGGCGAAGATTTAGGTATCACGATTATATCATCTATGTACAGTGGATGCCACATGTTGAAAAAGCTCAATTCATCATATCTTTGGAAATACTGAACAGAATTGAACCATTTTAGAAATTCAACTTTCACAATATTGTATGTAGTTTCTGAGTGATTTCTTAATCCCTTGCAGGAATAGCCGAATGGTTAATGTGTGCGCACTGTATCATAAGGTCTGTCATTGAGTCAACTGGCGTGGTTTCGATTCCCCGGTTGTATGTGACAAGGAGTTGGGTCGCCTGTCCAACCTTGTGGATTTTCTCTGGTTCCTTCGGTTTCCTCCCACTGCTGAAGAGTAAAGACCCCTACGCGCAAGCAAATTATTGAAATAAATTGAATGATGTGTTAGTCCCGAAATGACCTAGTTTGTGTGGAGTGGATGTTTGTGTGGAGTGGATCTGAGAATGTTTTGTGAACTTAGGGCTGGATCCGCGAATTTCGTCTCACTGTTAAAGATCACATGTTAGTCCTGTATTTATTCGAGATTTAACTTTCACAATATTATTGTGGCCGAATGGTTAACCCGTGCACTGTGCATGATAAAGTCTGTCATTGAATTAAGTGTCATGACAAGGAGTAGGGTTGCTTGTCCAATTTCGTGGGTTTTCTCTGAGCAGTCCGGTTGCCTCCCTAGTTTGTGTGATTATAAACCCACTAAAAGTCGATCAAAGACTTTAAGAAATATGCATACTTTAAATTTTTATCTACACACAACATATATACTGTATCAATGAAACTTGGTCTTTGTTAGAACCGGGGGATAGATGTTAATATTATGGCCAGAGATGTAAACAGGACTAGAGCTAACCGTTACTCTAACCAGGCCTGGAAATAACGGTTTTAGATGTACCTGACAAAATGTCAGGCACTAATGAAATAGTACCTGACATTTTTAACTTAGTGCCGGACATGTATTATAATAATATCAAAATAGGCACCAGAGGTTTAGTGCCTGACAAAGCCTGAATCTGTGCCTGACATTGTCTGTGACAGGTGCCTTGTTTCCAGGTTTTACTCTAACCCATGATCCTCGGCAACAATCACGTACCCTAATACTATTAACATCTCTGAGACTTGTGATCTTGAGGAAAAATGCAGGTGGTCTTAATTTTAAGATTTGACCAAACCAGGACTGGTTCTTGGAAAATGTGCCTAGTTATTCAGATGAAATGAAAAACCCAGTATCCTTCAGCAATATTGTTCAAAAATAGATACATGTACCGGTATTATAAAAGGAATACCAGTTTATTAAACATTTCTGTCAATTATTTTGAGCAAAGTTATATGAAAATTTTGACAAGATGTTCATGTAGCGTAGAATGTTTATTACCGTAGTAAGTCTCAAATATTATTAAATTTTAAAATTTCCCTTGGGTTCTAATCCAGTTGAATCTAGACCTGAACATCCAGATCTGCAATGCCAATAGGCATATTTACATGTATAATGCATCTTGAAACTTTTCAACTATATACAGTAGTATATTGTACTTTATATCAGTTAGGTCATGTCCTTTAAAGTTAAAGGACAAATTAAGGTGTGTCATGATAACTATCAGACTGTATGGTTACTGGTAAGATTATATTTTAAATAATACATTCGCAAGCAGGTTTTATATTTAAAGTGTGTCCCGATACAATAACCTTGTGGTATATTTACACTTTGAAAGAAATGCACTTAGAGGTTGTTATAATTTAGGATGCAATTATAGTAATAGTGAGTTCTTATCAAAACTGACACAGTTAATATGGGACAACAATCACTGGGTTCAATAAGTATCCTCTTATCGTTATTAAGCACAATGACATTTAGTTGTTGTTTATTAAAGATTTAACATCCCAATACATTAGATATGATATTATGGACAGGTTGATTTAATTAAATTATTTACACTTAATGGGTTGAAAATTGGTAAAAACATACAATACAAACGTCCATGTATATCATAGTCTCCTTAAAATTGGTTAACACACAAAAAAAAAAGGCTTTGTGTATTAAAAAGTTAATTTAAAGCACACTTACAAAATCCCTGTCGTGAGAAGTCGGGTAATCTCAACATTTAGTAAACTTGAGGGTCGATGTGAAGCCATACTTAATAACAATGATAAGAAGAGTTCAAAAATTTAACAAACATATTTAACAACAAAGAACTAAACTGCCCCATTGGTTTCACTGTGTAAACATCATTAAGATTTCATGTTAATCAATATCTTTGTCATCATACGCTAAATGCCACAAAAAGAGTGAGTTCTTATATTGCACACAGATTCATCAAAGTTAATGCTCATAGTCCCTCATTTTATGATCAATTTAACAAAACAGGTGTCCAGTGGCCCTACTTCTATTCCCAGACAATTGGGGAATATCAAAAACAGTAAAAAAAACATCCCATATATACACAGGTAGCACACCTCAATATATCTCAGTTGGTGTAGAAAAGTAGGGTATATTACATTTCATTGTATTTCTACTTTATCCCTGACTTTGTGAAAGCACTATTTCTATCCTGTCTACAAGGTTCATACATGTATACTGGCTGTTTCTCTATAGATGTGGATGGTTTAGGCCAGTTGTTATTGACAGATGTCATACATAGGGCAGGATATGCTTGTTTTTCTAAAACATCCGACACCAATTATATTGTTAAACATACATTATGCAAGAGCAAAATCTGATTATTGCAAGTCTTAATTTAGGCTTCAGATGTTATAGAATTTATAAATTAGATCTTTATTTAAACAACAAGCCCAAAATCAACTCTGTAGACCCACGGATGGCTCGGCTACAGCTCGGATTTAAATAGGATTTCACTTATTGATTAATTCAAATATGGCGCACCCTGATGAGAATACGTCAGTTAGATCGAGGTTAAATGATAGAGTGTACTTAGCGAGGCCGCTGTAGAGCGTTTCCGCATGCCATTGAAAACTTTACTTGATAATCGAGATATGTAGGTGGAGTTAACGCCTGTCAATCAAACGATCGGCCAAGGTGAAGGCACATTTCACTACCATTTCTAGTCAAATATTACAACGATGATAACTATGTTCAGAATAAAGTAATTTGACTGAAATTTTCAATATATTCTTCTTTCATCATCTACTTTTGAACTGTTATAGCAAGAATGGCCAACTCTCTATAAAAATCTCCCATAATGTATCTTTAAGTGGACAGTTTTTATTTTTTTAGCATTAAATTAATTGTATAGAAATACCCTTTTTTTATTCAATTTATTTAATGGGTTGGGGGGTTGGATGGCCGAATGGTTAGCATGTGCGTGCTGTATCATACGGTCTGTCATTTAGTCAACTGGCGTGGTTTCGAATCTACGGGTGTATGTGACAAGGAGTAGGGTCGCCTGTCAAACCTCGTGGGTTTTCTCTGGGTCCTCCCACTGCTAAAGACTCCTACGCACAAGTGAATTATTGAAATAAAATTAAACCATATGTTAGTCCCGAAATGACCCGGTTTTTATCGAGTGGGCGTTGAACCCCATTCTCTCTCTCTCTCTTTAAAGAGTTGTGTTTGAAAGGTTGTTTTGACAATATTGATGATTTTAGAAATTTATTTGGCTATATTGTGAAAGTTAGTTTTGTATTTTACAAAACCAATCAAGATTTTAATTTCCAGATTTTATTTAAGAAGGCCTTAAATATTTGCATAATTGTTCTAATGGTGGCTGATCATTATTGAACATGGATTTTGCAATGTACGTATGTACATGTACATGCATTACATATTGTGTATTGTAATACACCTGGTTGTACCACCTATTGATATTACCTGAAAGAGAAAAATCTATAGTATTAATTAATATTTGATTGAGAGTAAATTTCAATGCTCTGTTTGTTCAGACAATCGGGGATTGGGGGTGGTTGGTTGGCCAAATGGTTAAGTTTTGTGCGTTGCATAATAAGGTCTGCCATTGAGTTGCCTGTCCAACCTTGTGGGTTTTCTCCGGGTACCCCAGTCTCCTCCCACTGCGAAATACCTCCTACGTACAAGCAAATGAAATAAAATTTAATCACATAATATTATGTATGTTAGTCCCAAAATAAAGTAGTTTGTATCGAGCAGACATTAAACCCCATTTCTCTCTCTCTTTCTTCAGACAAGAGCGGCATTAATAGCGTTGTAGAAATTAAAATGTTTTGATCCAAGTTACAAAAACAGGCCTTCAGAACAGGTTTCAGGTGAGCTGACAAGCTCTATCACTGAATTTGAACCCTAATCTAAGTGCATTGTTTATTGCTCTGCATATGATGATAACACAAGTCATCTGATGTCCTTAGTTCCAGGAGAGCAATTTTCAATTGTGTCCAATCTCAGGAGAGCTTTTTTCATGTGAATGCCTGGTATACAGTGTATCTAATCTGTTGATCATGTTGGTTTCATAATTCATTTAATAGATCTGTAGCTTTAGTTTATATATAGTGTTAAACATACATTCTGCAAGAGCTAAATCTGCCTATTGCAGGTCTTTCTTTAGGCCTGAAATGTTATCTAAATTATTAATTACACATTAATTAACTTATTCAGACCATAATCAACTCTGGATGTCAACACTAGCCTGCGAGGTTTACTGGATTATGATCCCTTTTGCTGCTCCACTTTCATTCTTGGTTTAATCATGAAATGGATAATGGAGACTATGTTTTTTATCGTACCAACTTAAGTAATGAAGATTAAGTCTAGGCCGGAAATTCAATCGCTAAAATCTTGGTTCATATTGGATCAATTTGACTGAAATTTTCAGCAAATTCCCTTTACATTATCTGGTTTTTAACTATTATACTTATAGTGAGAACTGCCAGCTCTTTATCTAATCTCCCATAATGTATCTTTAAATCTGTACTCTACACTGCTGTAGCAAGGCATAGTTTATAGTGTTAAATCTGTACTCTACACTGCGGTAGCAAGACATAGTTTTGGTGTTTACTGTCCAGTTTCATGCTTACCATACTTGTTTTATTTTTTACATAAACCTATGGCTTGGGTTAATTCTGTTTTTCCTGTCTTCGTTAGAAAAATAGAACATTTGATTAGTCATACTGTATTTGATATTAGTTGTTACACACATTGCGTTCGTCCTCGTAACCATAGAAATGATACCATGTTAGTCTCATAATGAATTTAACCCCCGTTTCATTTAATTGATGGAAATATATAAATATATTATTTATAAGCACCTGTTCAAACAAAATACCTGTTTGTGAACAAACATTAATAGTACATGTAGTAGAAGATGAAATAGACAAGTCCAAGGTCGTGTACTTTTAGTTTTTAACAAAAGACCAAGTGATGCTTAAATTAAACGCTCTGTTGGAGAGAGTGATAATTATAAGTAGAATATGAAATAGATGAAGTGTAGGCTACATGTAGGTCAGATCCTTGTAATTCCGAAAAGAAATAATGCTAAGGAGGATGGCTCATGCCAACGGGGGTTGGTGTGGGGGGGGGGGGGGGGCTTTTGGTGCGTGCGCGTTACAGCACGAGGTCTGTCATTGTGTCAGGTGGTGTGGTATCAATTCCTGCTTGTACGTGACAATGAGTTGGGTTTCCTGTCCAACCTTGTTTGTTTTGTCGGGGTCCTCCAGTTTTCTACCACTGCTAAAGATCCCTGCAGGCCACGCGCAAGTAAATTATTGAAATATAATTGAACCTTGTGTTAGTCCTGAAATGACTTAGTTTGTGTCGAGTGGACGTTAAACCCCATTTCTCTCTCTTATGCCATGCAGGTTGCTACATCATACATGTATGTATGAGGGAAATTTTGCCCATACAGCGGTACAATGACATAATATATCTTATTTCAAATTTTAACTGTCATGGGTTCTTTGACATGCACACCAATGTGTTTATCCATGTACGTGTAATTCTTAATAAAACGAATCATACATGCAGAATTGCCAGGCAGTGATTAGCAGTAACATTCTAAAAGAATGGTTTTCATTGTCAGGGGCATTAATTACCATGGCAGACAATTTTGAATTTTGATAGGGTTCCTTGAAATTAACCGCCAACAGCAGGTTTGAAAACATAATCTTGAAAACTCTATATGATTTGGGTGACAAGGGCAATAACTCTGTGAAAAATCATTGTACGACTGAATTTTAAATATGGCTCCTCTTTATGACTAGCTGAATGATCACTGAAAGTATGAACGTAAAAATATGTATGTCTGAACAGTAGAACATATTGACAAGAACTGTTTGACAGACAGGGGTGACACGGACACTGTCTGACACCATCATACTCCCAAATAGATGTTGGTTTATAAAAACTCAAAACACCTACATTTAAAGTAAGAAGTAATGATAAGCAGGAATCATACTGGCTCAAGTGTACGTACACAGATTTGGCCGAGAAAGTTCATTAGATTTATCTTTGGTTTCCCCTTATGTGGTGCACTCTGGTGCAGGATGCTAGACGGATGGCCTGGCTAGGAACAGTGTGGTTTTGATTCCACAATTGTACGTGACAAGGAGTAGGGTCGCCAGTCCAACCCTGTGGGTTTTCTCCGGGTCCTCCAGTTTCCTCCCGAAATGATCTACTCTCTCTCTCTCTCTCTCTCTCTTTCTGTCTCTGTGGCAAGGAACAGGGTGGAGTCACTTCGATTTACACATGTAGATGATGTTGGTGGCACTGTCCTGGGAAAATTTTCCTCAAAGCACATGTGGCGTACATTACTCTTGTTGGTACAGAAAATAGGGGTATTAAATCCCATCCCATTTCATTTCAATAATTAGCATATAATTTCATAAATTTATTTTTAATATCTTTTTCAGGTCCGAAAGATTGCTCCAGAATATTACGATAATTTGCCGTGTCACACATCATGGGTCAAGGTCATCTGGGACTTTATTGTAGATCCAGAGATTGGTCCCTACGCGAGAATTCGACGAAAACAACGAAAAGTAAATGGAGTGTCTGAAGTCGACAAATCTGATTGATTATATTACTTATTTCTATATATTACTTAAAACTTATATACATTATATTACTTAAAACTTATATACATTATATTACTTATAACAATACCTAGCCCTCATAGACAATTTGTCATACAATCTGATTGCAATACAGATCAATATTTCCTTTCTTTGTTTTATACTTTCAATGGCCTTCATGATCTGACCGGTTATAGTGGGAGGTCTCTTCATGAGTCATAAGTGTGAATTATGACCCTATGACATCAGTCATTCGATTAACCTATAGTCTCAGCATTTATAAAGTTGTTGTTCGGAAACACAACTTTTCCTTTAATTTGTTTACACACAGTTTGCGATCTCTGCACCCTAAGAACTTGAATCAATAGAACATCAACCAAAACGCAGGTTATTTAACACCTCTTTCAGATCCTAGTGTAGTGAAGACAAGTACAACGAAATTTTGACTTTAAAAAAATGAAAGGAAATAGGATCTGTGTTTTAAAGGAGCTAAATCGCTAACATTTGGGACCTAGAAATCCACAAAAGTGGGTCGCAACGCATAAAATACTGTAATATGAATGTATATAAACTGATTTACATTTAATGGTTTCCGTTTTTACTCCAATTTCAAATCAGTTATGTTCGGCGAAATAAGTCAGCAATCTCAATCGAGTGCAAATTTCTAGCGTCTAGTTATTCTAGTCTACATAACTCCATTTGATTTGGTGCAATGTGTCTAGCCTCGTCCCTCAATACAACTGGGGCTGAAGCGCATTATGGTACACGATTCGTGTACCAATGTTAAAAAAATTATTTTATCTTAAATATCGGATATCAGAAGCTCATCTTTTCCCGGTAAGTTTACATCATCAATGTTGATTTAAATTGACCAATAATTCGTGTTTTCGATGTCGAAGATTTTGGAGGATTTTGAGTTACGGACTTAGGTCCTTTAATCAGATTGTTAGTCATAGTATTCATACCTGATTATACGCTTTTCATTTCTATACAAACTCGCTTTGAATTGTGGGTTACTGTTGCCCCCATTGAATGTGGTTATAATGCATATTTCACCCACATTGAAGTGTGGTTGCCTGTTGTATCCATGTTAAAGTTGGGGTGCCTATGGCAGGCCTACCCACATAGATGTGTGCTTACATGCACATAGCCTATGGTAACCCACCTTGAAGTGTGGTTGCCTATGGTACCCACCTTGAAGTGTGGTAGTCTAAGGTAACCCACCTTGAAAGTATAAAACAAAGAAAGGAAATATTGATCTGTATTGCAATCAGATTGTATGACAAATTGTCTATGAGGGCTAGGTATTGTTATAAGTAATATAATGTATATAATGTGGTAGCCTAAGGTAACACACCTTGAAGTGTGGTAGCCTAAAGTAACCCACCTTGAAGTGTGGTAGCCTAAGGTAACACAACTTGAAGTGAGGTTGGCTATGGTACCCACATTGAAATGTGGTAGCCTAAGGTAACCCACCTTGAAGTGTGGTAGCCTAAGGTAACCCACCTTGAAGTGGTAGCCTAAGGTAACCCACCTTGAAGTGTGGTAGCCTAAGGTAACCCACCTTGAAGTGTGGTAGCCTAAGGTTACCCACCTTGAAGTGTGGTAGCCTAAGGTAACCCAACTTGAAGTGTGGTAGCCTAAGGTAACACACCTTGAAGTGTTGTTGCCTAAGGTAACCCACCTTGAAGTGTTGTAGCCTAAGGTAAGCCACCTTGAAGTGTGGTTGCCTATGGTACCCACATTGAAGTATTTGTTGCCTATGGTAACCCACATTGAATTGTATTTGTCTATTGTATCCACATTGAAGTGTGGTTACCTACGGTACCCCCACATTGATGTGTGGTCGTCACCCATGTTCATCTGTAGTTTCCAATTCTTGTAAAGATTCTGAATGTCACAATGTCATAGTGGATGAGCATAACTGATATGTCAATAACTTTAAGAATTAATATAATCAAATAATCAATACTCATCCAAATAGGGCTAACACCCTTAAATATGTATGTTTTACGGGCCTACATATATGTTATCTACCGTTACGCCCTTCATTAGCCCAGTCAGAGCAGAACAGTAGGTCATTAAACCCCATTTTATTTCAGTTCCTTTATGTATGTTTTAGGGACCTATGTTATATTGGTACACCCATTATATATGTTTTAGGGGCCAGGTCCTATGCTATCTACCTGTACACCCTTTATTTATGTTTTAGGGGCCTATGTTATCTACATCCTGCATGTGATATTTATATAAGGATGTTTTAAGGGCCTACATGGACATTATGCTATTTACATCATTCCTATATGAAATATATAAGGATGGTTAAGGGGCCTACATCAACATCCTACATGTAATATTTATGTAAGTTATCTATCGTTATACCCTTTATGAATGTTTTAGGGACCTACACATATGTTATCAGAAAGTTTATTCCAGTCTATCACAGTTCTGATGAAGAATGAGTGGTTGTGAGTGACCGTTTTCGCGACGTTTACTGTGAAGCACTTCGCATTGGAAGTAGCAGAGTTTTCAACAATGTTTATTGTATTAAAGTTTGTGAATGTTTTAGGTGTTATCCGACGTGTTAAATTTGTGTTTATAATATCCTAATAAACAACCCATTTGAATGTTTTAGGGACCTACACATATGTTATCTACCAGCACACCCTTTATGGATGTTTTAGGAATCTATGTAATTATCTACCACGATGTTTAGGGGCCTATGTTATCTAACCCAACACCCATGATGTATTTTTTAGTAGCCTATGACATTAGTGTCTTGTAAATGCTCCAATTTCCTACACAAGAATAAATATGATAACCCTTAATATCAACTGCTCAGACAATTTTAGCTGATGTTTTGCTGCCTCAGCTGACAACCCATTATTACTTTTTATGTTATGTGACTGGCAGTGAAATTGACCCACCTGTCAACTTACTTGTTAGTCAGTTTTACATGCCATTAAAGTAGGATTTCAAAGAATTTAATACATGCAATCTAATTTACAGTTTTTATGTGGGGAAAAAAAACAACTTAAAATTGGGATAATTGTTAAATAATTGTCATATTCTTTAAAAAAAAAAAAAAAAATATCTTGCCAAATCAGAGAAAGATAAATTAGGTCAAAAATTGACTGACTGGCAAAAATTTTAAATGAAAGCCTTGATGTTACACATGATTAAACAAAATTTTGAAGAGCCAGCTGGTTAGGTCTTAATATTAAGGCTACCTGCAGAATTCATCAAGGTCACAAGATATAAAAAGGGCTAGCGCTAACACTAACCCACAATCCTCGGCAACAATCTCATGACTTCAACGAAATCTGCAGGTGGCCTTAATATTTAGACCTGACCAGCGAAAGCCCTTTTGAGCGAACACAGAGCTCAAACTCACATGATCAAACATTATAATATGTTGCATTTTTGTCCCAAATGATATTCCTTGCTTTAAAATGATACTACAATTGTTCACAAAATTGTCTAAAACATTTCTATAAGATTGTTGAAAAAAACTAATGAGATTGTTTGATAGTTTGTGATTTTAGTCTGTGGTACATCTCACGTCTTCATCTCGGGTATCGTTTCTCTTTTTTCAATAATTAAGTGATCAAGTAGCTCTTGTGATATGCACTCTTAGGGTCATGTTCCTGAACACTGATTACAGTCGCACTTTTGACAGTGTGCAAGGCTTTTGTCGAAATGGATAAAACGTCTTTAAGCTGGAATTTTCAATTCACAATTGAATTCTAAAGATTGTGGAAGCAGATGTTATTCCACTACCCTACCGTGCTGGAGTTTGGGACTAGAATCGTCGAACACGGCGGAAAACGCTCTGTTTTGTGGTGGAATCTTGGAGAATCGCTCGAGAAACGGCAGCTAGCCAAATCACCTCGAAATAAGGTGTTTCACAATGTATTACAGTGTTTCGCGTTGGAACACAGTGTTTCCCGTTGGAACACAGTGAATTGCTTGATATCGTCCCGTTTTAAGCATGTTGGAAGAAAAATGTAATCTATTTAAGCTACCTACTACTGCCCCCCCCCACCCCAATCTATCAAACCACTCATGCAAGTGATCAATGCAATTCTACATATAGTAATGTAACACTGTTGAAAAAGCAAATATGGCAATATCATTTCCAAGAAATTCACAATTTTCAGGTATATAGGGTATGTATATTTACATGGCCGCCCTGTTTAATCTGGGTAATTTCCCCTTAAATCAATGTTCAGGATTATGGCCTTTGATGTTGCTAATATTGTAAATATATTGTTGTAAATTTGTACAAAGATTCATAAAAAAAAAGGTTTGTTTGTTATTTTAAATTCGCATATTTATAAGTGATCACTTTATTTTTCTTCTGAATTAAATTTGCTAAAACTTTTATTTTGTTCCAGTCTCCACAGGCTAATATTTATTGCTGTAAATAGAGCATCCTGCAGATTAAAGTTGCATTATGTAAGATTTAGATAAAGTGCTGATTGAAAATATATTGTAAAATTCATTTAAATTATTTTATTCTTGTCGAAGTTATTATGTAATTGAAGTCTTGATTATCCATTTTAAATTATTAAGTCGTGACAGTGTTCTAATCCATTAAATATTACAACTACTTGACGATCGTTGATACGGGCTTGTGTGAATATATGCCTAATTAATCCTTTTTATAAAGCAAAAAGTGGTGCAGGACGTAGCGCCGGACAAGGACAGTTGTCTAGTTGTTCAGATAGGACGAAAAATCAAGCTCCCGTGTATACATTGTGTGCAAGTAAAAGATCCCTTGGCAGTTGGAATTCGATATAAGAGTAGGCCATAGTGCCGCTACCTGGGCAAAATTCCCCTCATAGCACACTGCATGGCGTATGCCTGTATTCATTAGCCCAGTTGAAGAAGAACAGTAGGATATTATATTAAACCCCATTTCATTTCATTTTCATTTTATAAAGCAAAAAAGTGACCTACAATAGACAGGCCTAGCGCTTACATAATGCATCTTTAAATCATTATTTAATAAGCTATTGTAAATTTTTTGTTAATTTTTATTTGTTTTAAATTGTTGACCCAGATTCATAATGATTTTAAGAAGGTGCAAAGGATACTATATCCCCTTGTTTTGAGCATGAATTCTCAGTCAATGAACATTTGCTGTTCATGAGGTTTTTTTTTACATTTTTGCACCAAAAAACCCCCCAATAAACAATAGTTTTGATCTGTATTGTATGCTGTTTCAATTCATGTGTAACAAACATCCGTTTACAAGCAATCATTGATAGGCTTAAATTGATTCCTTGGCATTTAGTAATTTAAACAGGCTTATTCAAGAGCTACATCTGCATATTGCAGGTCTTTCTTTAGGCCTTGGGGGGGGGCTGTATCATAAGGCATGTTATTGAGTCAGCTGGCGTGGTTTCGATTCCCTGGTTATACGTGACAAGGAGTAAGGTCACCTGTCCCCATCCTTGTGGGTTTTCTCCGGGTCCTCTGATTTCCTCCCACTGCCAAAGACCCCTATGCGCAAGCGATTTATTGAAATAAAATTAAATGATGTGTTAGTCCTGAAATGACCTAGTTTGTGTGGAATGGATGTTAAACCCCATCTCTCTCTCTATATATATTTAGAAATTCACATTACCCAGTCATAGAATCCTAGTGGAAAGATCACTAGGTATTAAAACAGTAATGGGTCTAGTCTGAGGAATTGTTCTCAAAATAACATACCAAAGTTATAGGAAATAATAATGAATATACATGGAGTTGAGTTAAGAGTGTGGGGCAGATTATCTTAATTTTATATATTGGTTTATAAAATGTAAAAGCCAAACAAAAAGTGTCAGTAGTCTATGGTTGGGAGGTGCATGTTCACCAATGTAATGTCACAAATAAGGTAAATTTACAGTGTCAGTAGTATGGTTGGGAGGTGCATGTACACCAATGTAATGTCACAAAAAGGTAAATTTACCATCTGGTAGGACATGCTCTTCCAGTCATGGTTTTCTGGCCTGGAACAACTGACTCTGAGATTGACCTTCTGTGGAATTTACCCTCTGAGTAATTCACTTGAATTATTTAGGTAATTACAAGTTAAATCAGCCTAAATATTACAAATCAAATCTAGCTCCGGTTTCACAAAATGTTCTCAGGTTTAAGTCAAGAATGTTTGCCTTATGGTTATGGTTAGCATGCGCGGGCTGTATCATGAGGTCTGTCACTGAGTCAACTGGCTTAATTTCGAATCCCCGGTTGTATGTGACAAGGAGTAGGGTCGCCTGTCCAACCTCGTGGGTTTTCTCTGGGTCCTCCGGTTTCCTCCAACTGCTAAAGACCCCTACTCTCAAGCGAATTATTGAAATAAAATTGAACCATGTGTTAGTCCCAAAATGACCTAGTTTGTGTCAAGTGGATGTTAAACCTCATTTCTCTCTCTCCCTCTCTCTTTTAGACAAGTCTTTTTCGCCAAACAAATAAGAAAACAATTTTACAAGCAGGTACTTTTGATTTTTTCCAAAGAACAGAAAATCAATTAGCTGTGGCCTTATGTAAATCTATGTTGAACAATGCGATTTTTTTTTATCTTAATAATTCTATTGTTATCAATGTTCTGTCAGACAAATAAAGATATTGATTCATTTTGAACCTAGACTGATGTTACATGTTTTTCCTACCCGCCATTGATTCTCTTGACTAATTGTTGCACTTGGTTAACCAGGATGTATTATATATTATATATGTATATATTAGGGGTCACAATAGTCAAGCGTTAAAGGGGAAGACCAACAATTTTCAACAAGGTTTCCATAAACCTTAAATATATATTGATAAATAATCCCCTCTGTAGCACAAGCAAAAAAGTCAGTCCCAAGTACGGGTTGTTATTGACTTCCTGGAGGAAGATACCGTCTAATTGGTAAAAGTGTGAAGACTTTGGATTGACACGTAGTACATAACATTTTTTAGCGTTGAAACGCATACCCCATGTCTGGGCCCAGATTTCAAGTTTCTGTAGGTCATGCTGAAGGGTTATGTGGTCCTTAGTGTTGCGGATCATCCTATACAATTCAGTATGAGAGAATTTCCGCTACGGCTTTGTGTACTAAACGTTAAAAAAAACATAAATCCGTGTTTATAATATCCTAATAAACAACTCATTTGATCAGATTTTTGGCCAAAGGACGACGCGTTAACACAATACAGGAGTAAACTTATGCCAAATCTGTATGCTTACTATAGAGACCAGTGAACGTGTTGAACTATGTCAATTCCGGTTTAATAAAAATTAATTTCTCGCTTACAAAAAACTTTTTTGCTTGTGTTACAGAGGGGATTATTTATCAATATATATTTAAAATTTATGGAAACCTTGTTGAAAATCGTTGTCTTCCCCTTTAAGAGCACCATACTATTCAACTATTCAGGGATGCGGTAGACGAGTGTCACACTTGTTTCATCCTGTTAAAGTAGATTAAAGTAGATAAAGTAGAAGTACTTCTATAGTTCTATGTTACGGTAGATCAATACAGCAATAAAGAAGCGGGTAGTGTGTGGAAGGATATTGTCATCACTTTGTCCCCAAAAAATAAAATATTTCATTTAAGAAAAGTGCAGGTTTTAGGGGCAGGATGTGAGGAAGAACAGAAGGCATATTGTGGAATAATATACACCCCTGAGTAGTAGAACAGTAAAGGCATTGCACTCTTCAACTATTTTGGCCCCGGTACTACACCAGGCTCTATTATGTTTGGGGATGGGTAGTCGGTAAGGACACTGTATTCTCAGTAGTCAGGGCTGAGCTAGTCAAATGGTAATGGGCACTGAACTCTTGAATATTAAACTGGATTCACTAGTTTCTATTATTCGAAGCTGCTGTAGTCGAGCAACGAGAGATCTGAACTCCTCAACTATTCGGAGCTGAAGTAGTCGAGTGGTAAGGGCACAGAACTGTCGACTATTACACTAGGGTCTATTATATATTCGAGGCTATTGTAGTCGAGCAACGACAGGCCATCTTTCGGGCTTTAGAGTTCATTAAATCCTCTTCATCTTTAAAACACATTATATTTACTGATTCTTTGTCCTCTTTGCAGGCAATAAATAATAAGCAGCTTGTACACCCTTTAGTGGCGGGCATTTATCGTCTGCTACTATCACACGAGTTTAACGGCAAGGACACCGTCCTTTGCTGGCTCCCCGGTCATGTTGATATTAAAGGGAATGATCAAGCAGACTTAGCTGCCAAGTCTGCTTTAGATCTTCCCATATCACAATTTCTTTTACCTTTCTCCGATTTTAAATCGTCGATTAACTTTTTTATATATGACCGCTGGCAACGGTCTTGGGATCTTGCAGACACAAACAAACTTCATCACATTAAGCCTCTCTTAGGAGACTGGCCCAACTCCTATAGAACTAACAGGAGAGATAAAGTTGTTTTGTGTCGCTCTCGCATTGGTCATACTTTTTTAACTCATATTTTCATTTTAAAGCGAGAGCCTCAACCAGAATGTGAACACTGTCATGTTCCTTTGACAGTCAAGCACATTCTCATTGAGTGCAAGCATTTCAAGGATATTAGATCGAATTTTTACCGTTGTCAGTCATTACATCACATGTTTGCCCAACCGGGTTTATATATTAAAGTGTTAGACTTTTTAAAGGAGACAGGATTTTATCATAAATTTTCATTGTATATATATATATATATATCATTTCATTTTTGTATTTAATATTTATATGCATAAAAGTTGTATTTTATTTTTAATTTTACTAACTGTGATATTGTTTTTATTTATGCATATAATGTTTTTCTGTGATATAATTAAGCCTGTCTCGTAATATTCACCATATGTTTGGCGCAATATAGCCCAGTTGGTGCTGACGTGCCATAAAACCACATTTCATTTCATTTCATTTAAAAATGGACGATTATAGGCTACACATTTATCTTGGAATTCTGAATGTAACAACACCAGATCCAGTCTGATTAAAATACTTTGGGGGTTTTTTGTGGAGCAGTTGTCGCCCCAAAAATGTGACTTTTATAAAGGAAAGGTAAGTAAAAGTTCTCAAATTCTGTAGTAGACACAAAGATATGCAGGGCTGCATTAAGGCACATGCCTACTAGGCCATGGCCTAAGGCCCTGTGCTTTTAGGGGCCCTATGCGTAATCATTCTCCGTTTCCCTAAGCTCTCGCTTGGTTCAAAAAATGCAAACTAATGCAACACATGTATAAGTACCTACATAATATACCACTGTAATGGATGGATGGATGCCTGTGTAATAGGCCCCATGAAATATTTTGATCTAGGGCCTCACAAAACCTCAATATGTCAACTTGACAAAACCAGCACATTATCCAACTACCAGCAAGCTTGATGTACCGTATGGCTTCCAGTGTGGACAGGTCCGGTATACATAGGCGTACGGGGAAATTTTTGACTGTGGGGGGGGGGGGGCGGTGGTGGTTGGTGCCCAAAAAATGTAGTTAGGTTCTTAGTATGTTACATAATAATAATAAATTCGCTGTTAATTTGGACACATTCAAGAACACAATATTTTTTTATACAACTTTTACAAAGTACAATTGTGTGCCCAAATTTTCCCAGCATTTGGTGCCCAAAATGGGGGGGGGGGGCGCCCCCCCCCCCCCAGCTCGTACGCCTATGCCGGTATATGGCTTCATAATTGCTGACACTATTTCTCACTGATTATCCTGTGTTGGACAGGGGGAATTGGGATGGCCTAGAGTGTCGCGCTTAGAACTCTAACTAGCCGGTCACCTCTGTCTTGCGGTTGTGGGTTTGATCCCTGGTGTGAGCATATGTGGCTTGCGAGTGCACTAAGATAATAAAAATGAAAATAAGACAACTTGTCTGTGATATCACCTTTGATGGAAGTGGATGCTAAAAGCTAAGAACAACAACAAATGTTGGACAGCATGACAGAACATTCACTTTTGTTATGACCTCCATATGTTGTTGGTTTTCTTGTGTGTCAGCCAATGTCCAGACAAAATTGCTCAGCTTCATGATTATGCTTCCCTCCTCCAGCCAAAAATAAACAACCTCCAGTTCTAGTCAAATTGGTTTCTATTGTGGCTCAGTATATGAACAAACTATAATTTGTTGGTGCATTTGAAATATCCAGACTTTAGTGTGTTACTCATTCATATATTTTTGTCTTTTTAAACGCGGCGCTGCCCCTTTAAATTAACTGCACTCCAAAAGAAAAAGAGTTATCTCCCTTGAAAAAGTGGTGAAATCCAAACGATATCCAGGCCACTCGGACCAAAAAAAAGACCAGTCGGACCAAAAGAGGGACCACTCGGACCAACCCAAAAGACTACTTGGACCAAACCAAAAGACCACTCGGACCAATTAATTTATATTGTAAGACCACTAGGACTAGTATTTATCTCTGCTACTCGGACCATCTCCATATGCATCAACAATTTATATGCACCAATTAATTTATATTGTAAGACCACTCGGACCAGTACCACTCGGCCAGTATTTATCTTTGCTACTCGGACCATATGCATCAACGATTTAATTGTTTTTCTTTGATGTGCTTCATCAATTTGATTAGCATGTAGGCCTAACACGGTAGAAATAGTTCCACTACTACTACTGATGTCTTCCGTCTTGCTCCAGCCACAGTAGTCATTTGACTACAAAAAAGTTACTGGCCCATAACTTCGTTAAATTTCCCATTGTAGCCGTTAAAAAGAAATTATTATCACAAATATTGCAGCTAGTAACACAGGTGAGTACAGATATATACAAATTAATCACTACTCACTTATCGTTGTTTTAACTGATTTTCTTTGATACGTGCTTCATACATACCACGGGGAAGTACATAACACTTTATTATTTTAAAGAAAACAGATGCATAACAAACACAATTATCAATTTATTAAAACAACACTTTATTATTGGTTCGAGTAGTCCTATTAAAACAAACACAATTATGAATTTAATAAAACAACACTTTATTATTAATTAATAATATTATTCGTCCGAGTGGTCTTTTTGTTTGGTCCGAGTAGTCTTTTCGTATGGTCCGGGTAGTCTTTTTGTTTGGTCCGAGTGGTCTATCAGTTGAAATGAAAGAAGTGGTGGGAATAACCATAAGACACGATATTGTTGCTCTTTCGAGAACATTTTATAACACTTTTCGTTTGATGAGTTTATATATCAAGGGAGATAACTCCATTTAAACTTGTTTGGACTAGTCCTGTCTCTACGTACGGAAGAGTGTGTTTTTACTTCCGGTTGTGTTCTGCTTTTGGGATAAAAATTCGTTTTATGTTTGTAGTTTGATATCTGAAAGCTATCCTGATTTCATTGACATTATTCTCATATTTATCAAACTGTGAACGCAGAGAGAGAATAGTTCATGCCTTGGAATAATTAGCCTCGGTGTTTTAGCTGAGATTGTGAGATACAAGAAGGTACCGTATGCGTATGCCGTATGTGACATGTCGATGAAGACACAGCTGACCCAATGCCCCAATGGCCAAAATATGTGAGCTATTAAGGCCACACACACACCCGTGTGTGTGTATGTGTAACCCTAGTTCTTAGTGCAGACTTCGTAAGAAAATAAATGAAGTTTGGTTGTGTATTTCTTTTAGTTGA